GCACCGGGGGTTTTGTTGTTATAAGGAACTTACAGGTCGGATGGAGAGATAGATGGCCAATGAACAGGCAGTAAGACATAGACTAGATGCATGGCTGGCTGGATAGATGGTGCGTTTATTATGCACTTCAGCTGCAGCAAGCCCTGTACTAAGAGCTGTCAAAGTAAAGACAAGCAAGCAAATAAGGGAGCCTGAATTCCAGTGGTGCCACAGAAAGAAAACGGGGGCAGGGGGTGTCACAGCAAAGACGTGGAGATGGCTTTGAAGTGAGGTGAAGGCCTGGATTCTGGCAAGATAAGGTAAAAGCTCACAGCTCAGAGGCCCACAGAGGGCTGTGTGGGAAGTAAAAGAGGTAAATTCCTTATTCCTGTGTAAGGAACTCATCAATCAGTGAGTCAATGAGGATTCTTTAAGCACTTTAGCTCCGTTCTCAGTGAAAAGTAAAAACAGTCCCTGTCCTCAAGGAGCTTACATTCTAATCGAAGAAATAAATATGAAAATGATTGAGATAAACTTGGAGGAGAAGGCTCCAGCGGCTGGGGTGGGGATGGGGAGAGAGGACTAAAAGGGGGGGTGTAAATCCAAGCTGTCAACAATTGTATGAAAAAAATGCTTTTAATTTAGACTAGAAATGACTAGAAAAACGCACATTGAAGCAACCCTGACATGCTACCTTATACTTCTCAGGGCAGGCTGGAAAAGATGACAGATGTGGGAGGGGCTATGGGAGACTAGGAACTTCTCTGTTGGTAGAACTGTGAGTTGGACCAGGCATTCTGGAAAGTAATTTGGAACCATGGCCCCCAAGTTACCAAAAGGTGTATATACCCTTTCACTCAGCTATAGTGTATGTATATATGTGTGTGTGTATATATATATATATATATATATATATATATATATATGTGTGTGTGTGTGTGTGTGTGTGTGTTATATAGTATATAACATATGCATTATAGAATATAATATATATACATTCTAGCATATGTACAATATATAGTGTTTATATGTGTATGTGTGTATATGTAGGGTGTGTGTGTGCATGTATGTGTTTGTGCATACATGCATGTACACACACACACACACACGCACATATAAAACCATTCCCCAAAGAAATCAGAGAAAGAGGGAAAGGATTTTTATGTACCAAAATATTTATAGCAGCTCCTTTTGTGGTAGCCAAAAATTGGAAACAAATTTTGATATATTTATGTAATGGAAAATTATTGTGTCACAAGAAAAGATGAAGTGGATCATTTTCTGAGGAAACTGGAAAGACTGGAATGTCTTGATGCAAAGGGAGCAGATCCAGGAAGTTGACATAAACAATAAATAACATTGCAGAGGAAAAGGATGCTGAAGAACTTGAGAACTCTGAGCAAACAGTGATAACTCTTGAGTACAAAAGACTGAAAATGGACCCCCTGAACAGAAAGGTGGTGAACTTAAAAATGCAAAAAGAAACGCTTGTTTTTAGACATGGCCAATGCAGGACGTTTTTCTTTCTTTCTTCCTTTTTTTTTTTTGAATTTACACATCTATATATTAAAGGCTTTATTTGGTGTTAGTTTTAATTTGCTCAATGGGAAGGAAGTTGTAACAGAGACATTAAAAAAAATTAAGTGGAATTTCAGCTAAGTCTTGAAAGAAGTTAACAGAGGTAAGGAGAGAGACAAAGACAGAAACGGAGAGACAGACACAGACACAGATAGACACACAGCATCTCAGGTGGAGGGGACAGCCAGTTCAGAAGTGGAAGAATTGAGAGATTAAATGACTTGTACAGGGAAATGTAAGGAGAATGTGTGTCTGAGCTGGGCCTTGAACTTCCTGGACAGCTCTCCAGGTGCTAGGGCCTCACCCCTACCCCCCCACCCACCACCCCATGCTATATATACTGAACTGCTTAGGGAGAAGCAGGAGTGACTGGGGGTTCATGGGTAATAGCACTAAGGATGTGAATAGGATGGGAGGGGGCTTTAAAGGAAGAGAGGGGGACACTAGGCCGGTGGTATCAGAGGGAGGGAGTGGCAAAGCCAAGAGGGTGACAACTCCTCCTCTAGGCCCAGGGTGCCAGGGGCTGAGAGCAGCAGCAGTCAGCCTGGGAGCAGAGGCCAAGAGGTGTGGTGTGTTCAGGAGAAAGCTGGATGGCAGTGAGCCTCAGGACATGGAAGGAATGTACAGAAAGAAGTCTAGAAAGACTGTTAATAGATAAGGATCCCCCCTTCTTTGCAGAAGTGGGGGACCATGAATAGCGAATATAATACTTCTTATATATGTTGGTTAGTTTTATAGGACTTTTGCATTCTTTCTTCCACTTCAAAAAAATATTATAAGGAATAATGAAACTGGGAGGGTATAAGAGAAATGTAGGTGACCTAAAAACAAAAGATAGCAATAAAATGTATTTAAGGACAACAAAATCCCCATAGAACAGGATCCCAGACGGCACAGCAGAGAGAGAACATGGAGGACACTGATTAGGAAGAGCTGGGGTGAATGTGGCGAGGGTGGGGCTCTCCCGCCCTCGTCCCCCCACAAGCGACCTCTGAACCCTGCGACGATCTCGTCTTCAGTTCAGGCTATGCTGGGGGCGCCCAGTGAAAAGGAATCTGTCCCCAGTAGAAGAGCCTGTGAGCCCCTCCCGAGGTGAGGAGGCAGACGAAGGTGCTGGATAGTGTGGTGGAGGGCCCTCCGTTGGAATGGGGCTCAGCGCTCATTTTCCCGCCACGCGCGCTCCGGGGGGGGGGCTGGGGGAGGTCAGGTTCAAAGTCCCAGGCGCTCGTCCCAGCCTCCTGCCCCCTGGCTCCCCCAGGGTCCACAGACTCACGAGATGATGCATGCAGCGGGTGAGGGTGGCCGCGCTGGCCCTAGACTACCCATAAAACCCCAAGACTGGGTAGGGCAGAGACGCAGTGGCAGAGTGGGGGCTGGGCATCCATTTCCCGCCGCCGGCTGGAGTGGGCCGGGGAGATTTGGGACCCGCCCACCTGAGTTGGGAGGATCGGCCCGGGCGGCGGGCCTGAGGAGCATTGGAGAAAGGGGGGCTGTTCCAGAGGCTGCCCGAACGTCTCATTCGCACTCCAGAATGTCCAGAGGGCCTGGTCACGCCATGTTCCATGCCAGACCGCCGGGCCACTGAGGGCATTGCCACACTTCGTTTCCACACCAGAACGTGAGCCGTGGAGGAGTCCTGAGACTCTGCTTCCCCACTGTTTCCCACGGGAAACTTGGCCTGTCTGTCTCTATCCAAACTAGGGAAACCCCCATTCTACATACACACCCCCTCCTCCTCCCTCTGGCTGGGCATCAGCAGATGCACAGCCGGCCACCCTGACCAGCCACCCACCACCACCACCTTGTGCCAGGGCCCCTGGGGGTGGGGGTGGGGGTGGGGGAACAGTGCCATCCAGTCCTGCTCCAGTCAGCTCTAGAGGGTGACCTGGGCCAAAAGCAGAGCAGGAGCGATGGAGGCTAGCTAGCTAGCTCTGTGGGAGCGAAGGACAGGCACGTTGAGAAACCCTAATGGCCTCAGGGTCCTCTCTCCCAACCCAGGAATGTGTGGGGGCAGAAGCTCGAGGTGACCTGGGCAAAATGACCTAGTCTTCTCTCCTTGCCGCCAGCTGCCCGCACCGGGATCTTGCAATGTAGCCTCATCCTCCCCAGGGATTCAGGTGTGGAAAGGTGGTCTCTCTCCTAGGTGATTATTTCTCGCATATGCACAAATTCCCCTCCCATATACCCCTTTTCCTTGCCTTCTCTGGAAATATTAGTGAAAATTAGGTACTCTTTTAGGGCCAACAGAGCTTGGCCCTGCCCCTGCCTCTCCCCCTCCCTCTCCTCCCTGCCCCCAGCAGGGTTCCGGGAGCATCCAGGGCTCAGAGTGTCTGAAAAGGAGTACAGGAGACCACGAGAGGAATTCCGCTTGGAGCTGCAAGACTATAGAACTGTTTGCTTATTCAGCCCTCTTCGCACTCATCGAGCCCCCTTTCCCAGTTAGCGCAGGCAGGCTGGACCTTCCTCTCCTGCTGCTGCTCCTTCCCGGTATACCACATACCCTCTATCCCAAGCCCGGCAAGGCTTAGAAGAGCTGATGCACGGTGGAGTAAGCGAGAACCAGGGAATCAATGGGCAGAATGACTGCGACCCATAATGGAAAGAATGAAAACAAGCAGAATGAAGTGCTGAGTGGTATGGTGGACAGAGCTCTAGCTAGAGTCAGAGGCCCTGGGTTCAAATTCCGCCCACGCCTTCCAAATTTGGCCTCAGACACTTACTAGTCGGGTGACTGCGGGCAAGTCACCTCACTCTGCCTCAGTTTCCTCATCTGTAAAACAAAGGAGTTGGACTAGAAGCCCTCTGAAGTCCCTTTCAGCTCTAACAGCCTGTCCAGGAGCCTGTGAATTCCCAGCCCTGCATGGAGAAAGAGGGGCATAGGAAGGAGGGAAGGCCTGGAAGGGAGGGAAGAGTGTTGTGCATTGGACACAGGGCAGACTTAGACCTCAGTCCGACCCCCCTGCCCTACACCTGCTAGTTGTATGACCCTGGAAAGTCACTCTTTGAACCTCAGTTTCCTCAGCTGTAAAATGGGGCTAATAATAGGGCCTACCTCAGCAGGCCATTGTGAGGATTATATGAGATAATGTATAAGGGCTTTGGAAACCTTACCGAGCTGTAGAAATGTCAGTGCTCATTATTTTTCTGGAGTCCCTAGCTTCTCACAGTCGGGTTTCCTCCCTCCCTTCCCCCATTTTTATTAGCGTCTTTCTCCCAGGGGCGGAAAGGGGAGTGTCTGCGGCAGGAGTGGAATGGGGGAGAGACTCACCCAGGCTGCTATAAGCAGAGAGAGGGAGGCCTGGAAGAAGGGGCGCATTGATCCCCACCCCCCCACCCCCATCCCTCGGTGGAAAGAAAGACACGAGAAACATGAGCAGGGCTGGGAGGGGGGCAAAGACTTTATTAGGTTTCGAACCCTCCTTCTCCCAACCCGGCCCCGCGTCACAAGTAAAAACCCCAGCCCCGGTCCTGCCCCTGGCCCTGCCCCGACGGCCCCCACGGGTCCTGTCTCCGAAGTTCAGAAGATCAACACGCTCTGTAGCTGCACGTCGCCCCCGACCTCCAGGACCCGGACCAGCTGCAGAGGCAGGCGGTGCGTGAAGCGGTGAAATACAGCGTCTCCCGCCACGGCCTGAGGGATGGACACAGGCAGAAACGCGACTCGGCTGGGCCCCGAGCTCCAGGAGGCCCTGCCGGGCCCTCTCTGGCACCCTCTGTCCCGAGTCCCCAGCCCCTAAGACCTGGGCTCTTCCGAGCAGAGACATGTCAGGGGAAGGGGACACATCTGTGACCGCCGTCAGACCCTTCCTGACGCCCTCCTCTTCCTTATACCCGCCGTCCGAAGTCCTTTGGTCCCTTGCCATCCCTCTCCCTGTCTCAGAGCCCTCTGTTTGCTGTGCTGAGTTCAGGGATGGAGCCTTTCCCCACAGACACCTCAGAATCTTCTCATTCCTCCCTCCTGCCCTAGGAGGAGGGGCGTCCCTGGAGACGCCCCAGGGACACCTTCCCTTCGGCCATGAGGACTGAGCAGGGGAGTGGGTCCCAGGAGCCACCCCCCACCCCGGCCCCAGTCCTGTCTGTCCCTAGTCCCTGGGCTGATCCCCTGGACTCAGCCCCAAGCCCAGCCCCGCTCTGCCTCGGCCCGTACCTTGTAGGAGTCGTCGGCCACTATGAGGAGCAGGTCGAAAGGCTGGCCTTGCTGGAAGGGAATGCTGGGGCTCCGTTCCTCCCGACCCCATGCTCCTTCCTGGTAGGTGTTGAACACCATCTCCGCCGAGTCCAGGCGCGGGTTGCAGTGGAGGGCTGTGTCTGCCCCCGAGTGTTCGGAGCACAGGAGGTTCACGTAGAAGCTGGGGCCACACAAGGAGGATGGGAGTCAGCAGCAGCAGCGGGGTGGGCGTGAGGCCATGTGGGTCGTGGGCTTTAGGGGACCAGGGATGGCTATGGCAGGAGATGGGGGTAGGGCTTCATTGCCAGGATGGGGATTGGGAGGCCAGGACCCCCAGACACTGGCCTAGGGGTCTCAGAGATCCAGATTGTGGATGGGAGAGCTAGGGAAGGTCGGCATCGTTGATGCGCTGAGACCTCAGGGGATGGGGCTCAATAAGGGGGCTAAGGAATGGGGGTTGGACCAAGATCCCCAAATAAAAAATCCCCAGGAACCTCAAATACTGAAATGAGGGCCTTGTTTAGGGAGCTGTTTAACTAAGAATCCCTAACACAATGAAGGAATGATATGGAGTCTAGGGTTTCAAGGGTCAAGGTAGGAGATGGGTTAGGGCTTAGGGAGCCCTGGGCTCAGAGAGCTGACAGGCCTAAACCTTGAAACATAGAACTTCCGAGCCTTCCTAGACTTGGAAGCCGTAGGTAGAAATTCTGGGGCAATGGTGGGAATCCAGATCCCCAAACATATACCCAAGTTCCCCATAAGACCCCAGACACACCTGGTTGGGGTCCCCATCCACGGAACTATATCTTCAGACACCCCTGGGGGACCCTGAAACTGCCCTTAGGAATTATCACAGGATGAATGGCCCAGATACCAGCCAAGGAAAGAGACTCTGAAATCTAGCCCCAGCCAACCAGGACACACTGGCCCTAGGCCCTCTTGTACATGCACAGGGACCCCAGACTCACCGCTTTGCATTGGCTGGCACAGTACCCCTAATACGGATCACGGACCCAGGCCGGAGCCCATCTTGGAGTACAGCCTTGTGAGGGACAGCCTGTGGGACACAGGCAGGGAGAGATGAGCTAGAAACTCAGCTTCAGGACAGAGACAGTGAGAAATCTCTGGCAAGGACACACTGAGACCCAAGGGAGAATAGAGACAGAAAGAGACACTGAGAGACGTTGAGGAAAGACACCTAGACATGAGACAAAGCAGCCAGGGAGAACCAGTGACCAGCGAAGAGCACAGGCTGAGGTGGACAGGACAGACATGCAGATGGACAGAGTTGGAAGCAGCCCCTTCCCCCCTTCCAGCCATCTTTTCCCAGGACAGACACTCACGTAGTTTGCCATGATGTAGCCTGCACGGGTGTTATATGGTGGTGGGAGGCGGGTGCCAGCTGGGACAAGTCTTATAAACCATGGAGGGGATGGGGAGGGCCCTGACTCACCCACCCCCGCCTACCCCGGGGGGCTCAATGACTCACTCACAGCCCAGCGAAGGAGGGGAGAATAGACAGGGCAGGGAGTGATCCCCCAGATAACAGCTCCCCAACTCCACCCTGCCTGGGTGGACCGAGCACAGCTAGGTCTACAGAATAGGAGGGGTGGGGTGTAACCAGTCCCCAGAATCCCATTTCCAATTGGGTACCACAGCCTTCCCTTAACAAATATACATCTCAATTAGGAGATGTGGGGAGGGGCTCACAAACATCCTATACCTCAAAGGAGGGAGCTAGAAGGTGCTTTGAGATTCCCCAGAAAACAATAGACAGTTTGGGGAGACTGAGGCAACTCATACACACTCACATCCATCCACACACATCTGCCAGCTGACGCAGAGCCCCTGCTGTGCTGGGCTGGGACTGGAGAGACAGAGACAAATACCTGGTCTGGTTGCTGGTACACTGTCCCTCCCCACCCATCCCAGTCTCTGAACCCTCAGGCCCTCCTACTGAGGAAAGGGACCCTTTAGTGTTTGCAAGTCAGGATACTAGTGGAAAGTGGGGATGTATTAACTAAGGGTAGTTTGAGGTTGCATAGGGGTCTTAACCTCCGTTCTAGAATTAATCCCAGATCCTTCTGGTGTCTTAAGTGCTTAGGGATCCTCAGAATCAATTGGAGTAGGGAGAGGGAGGAGAATAAGCAGAAACCAGATCTGGAAAGGACCTCACGGGGCTTCTCCTCTCTGATAACCAGCCTCCTATTAAAAACCTCCAGGGAAGGGGCAGCCGGGAACCCACCACTCCCCAGCCGCACCCTGGGGGCCTCTCCACAGAGCTGGTATCCTCCTCTTCCAACTTCCCCCTACTGCTCCCAGTTTTGTCCTCAGGAACCCAGCAGGAGGAGAATTCTTTTGCATTAATCTCTGTTCTATTTGAGAACTCATTGAATTAGTAGCTGCACATATTCTAAAACAAAGCAATAGATCTGTGATCTCATCACCGTGGATGTTCCCTGAAATGGTGCAGATTGAGACCTTGTCCACCCCCTGTGCTTCCTGCATGGCGTTGGTCCATGCCCTCCCATAAGCTGCCCTTCTTGGAATCCTCCCAGCCTCTCTGGGCACTCACAGACTACATTTGCCAACTATCAGTTATCCGTATAACTAGTCTTTTTCAATCATACATTTCTTTTAAAAATCATTCTTTAAATCTTATTTTTAATTAATAGTAATTGATCTCTCCTTCCCCTCCCTCAACCATTGAAAAAGAAGAAAACAAACAAACCAACCTTGTAACAAATATACATAGTCAAGCAAAGCAAAACAAATTCACACTTAAGCCATTGCCAAAAATGTGTGTCTCATTTTGCATCCTGGGTTCTCCGCCTCCCTGTCAGCAAGTGGGAAGCACGCTTCATTATGGGTCCTCAGGAGCCATGATTGGTTACCGAAATGTTCACACTTCTTAAATCTTCAAAGTAGTTTGACTTTACAATGTTATTCTTGTTGTAGGAATTGTTTTCCTGCTTCTTCTGCTCACTTCGCTTATGTATCAGTTCATCTAAATCTTCCCAGGTTTCTCTGAAATCATCTCTTCTATTATTTCTTATGGCATGAGAGTTATTTGTTCAAACTGTTCCAGGTTTCCTGGTTCCCTGGTTCCCTTCTAATTATAGCTGACTTGGCACAAACTTTTTAAATGTATGTAATAGAAGTTGACCATTTCACCTCCTATGAACCTCTCTATCTCTTCCTGTCTGGACACACATTCTTCCTCTATCTGTAGATCTGATAGATATTTTCTTCCATGTTCCTCTAATTTGTTTATGATATCCCCCTTTATTTCTAAATTACGTACACTGGAGCTCATCTTGGTGTATTGTTGGTCTAAGTCTCGTTTCTGCCAGACTACTTTTCAGTTTTCTGAACAGTTTTTTTTTTCAAAATAGTGAATTCTTGCCCTAATTACTGGGTTCATGCTCCTGTATGTTGCGCACCTGAGCTGTTCCACTGATCAACCTTTCTATTTCTTACCCAGCAGCAGATTTTTTTGATGATGACAGCTTAGTGGTATAGTTTGAGATCTGATACTGCTAGTTTCCCTCTCTTCCAATTTTTTTCATTTATTCCCTTGATATTCTTGACTTTTTGTTTTCCAGATGAATTTTGTCATGATTTTTTTCTAGCTCTATAAAAATTATTTGGCAGTTTGATTGGTATGGCATTGAATAAGTAAATTAACTTAGATATTGTTTTAATTTTATTACATTGCCTATCCCTATCTGAGCAATTAAAATTTCTCAAATTATTTAGATCTTTGTGTAAAGAATGTTTATATAGTTCCTGTGTGTGTCTTGGCTGGTGAACTCTTAAGATTTCTTTGCATTTTCTGTTTGGATTTAAAAACTCTTCATGACCTGGTTCCCTCCTACCTTTCCAGTCTTCTTGTACCTTATTTCCTCTATACACTCTGCAAATTAGCAACACCGGCTTTCTTACTGTTCTTCACAGACAACACTGCATCTCCCAACTCTGGAGAATTTTCATTGGCTATTCCTTCCTGGAACTCTGCCTTCTCATCATTGACTCCCGACTTCCCTGACTTCCTCCAAGTCGCATCAAAAGTCCTGGCTCCTGCAAATATTATTTCCTGCTCATCCTTAGTACTAGTGTCTTCCTCCCAAGACAGATCTCCAATTTATCCAGGATATATCTTGGTGCTTAATAAATGCTTTGATTGATTGGTTGACATCACTCCAGGCACAATTGACGACTAGTTTTACTGAACAACTTTCTTCTTCTTTTTTTTAAGATCTGTCCTTTAGAGTAGCTCCCTAGGTAGGGGAAAGCGACTGATACATTCAGAAATGAAATCGATGTAAAGACAAAAAATTGCAATGCAAATAAGATTAGAAAAGAGTAAACAAGACAACATTGTGAAAATTGGTCAAGAATCTGAGAAAGACTGGGTCCTCATGACTGTCACTAATCTGTAGGAAAGTTTTCCATTTTATGGAAATACACACCAATATATATATGATCAATAAACTTGATTTGTACTGGGGAAGGAGAATCTGAGTAATTTCCCTGCTCAGTTTCAATTAAACCTCCTCTGTTCTTGTTCAGTTTGATGTCCATTTGCAGTGCCCAAACTCTGTAGTGGTCCATCCAACTGCTATTTGTCTGGGTGGCCTTTACTTCTCTAAACTTCAAGTTTCCTTGTCTCTAATATGAGAGAATTGAACTGGAAAACCTCTGAAGTCCTTTCTTGCTCTAATTCTGAATATCATAATCTTCATCCACTTAGTTTGTGCTGTATGGATGGTTAGGCCAAACTCTTTTGAGCGATTATCATTTGAGAGGTTGAGCAGTGTTCTGGGGCTTGATGCAATCAACCCCAAATCATCTGCATACAGATGAAATCTGGAAGATTTCCCCATTGGTAGGGAATCCCTCTTTGACTCTGCTTCTGTGCTGGGCGTCTTACATGACAGTGGTGAACTAATTCCTTTGGTATGTGTAGGTCTCCCTGTTTTATGCCTCACTTGGTAATAATAATCAAATGGGAGCAACTAGGTGGTGAAGTGGATAGAGTGCTGGCCCTGGGTCAGGAGGACCTGAGTTCAAATCCAGCCTTAGACATTTACTGTCTGTGTGACCCTGGACAAGTCACTTAGCCCCAATTGTCTCAAAAAAGATAGTAACGATCAAAGGGTCAGTCAACAAGGTTAACTCTGCTGCTGTAATTTTCAAGGAACCTTTTATGATTTTGATATACACATAAGTAACTCTTACTCAGTGTTCTGGGCCTGAGTGAGAGGTAGAGTTGCTGAGAGCTAAAGAGAAGTAAGATGCTGGTTTTGGGGCTTCCAGCCTCAAGAGAGAAGACATGTCATTACAGAACCCTTGACTGGAGAGAAAGACTTTGAGAAGAAGCCATCTTCTGAGAGGAAGCAGCTCTTCCATTATGTGATGGAACATGATTGGGACTATAAGAACTGATGAAGGGCATGGTTTCAGAGAAGCCTGGGAAGAATGAACTGATGAAGGGAGCAGACACAGCAGGACATTTCCTACAGTGACATCACCTCCAAGATCTACCATAGCTCCAGAGGACTCATGATGAAACATGAAACCTATCTCCTGACAGAAGGTGACGGACTCATTGGATATGATGAAATGGATCCATCCCACCTGCAGATCATATATTTGGGCCATTAAGGGACGTTAGAAGCCATTGAATCCACCGTGTACCCAGATTTAAATCAGATTCAGCTACTTATGATGTGTCTGACTTTAGCCAAGTCACTCTCCTATGGGTCTGTTTCTTGAATGGTGTAGCACACAGAGTCGGACTAGATTATTAGCCGAAGTGGGCAGAAAGTGGCTTGTGAAACTCCAAAGTGCCTGCCCCCAAACCGGATTATGTAGTTGAGACATATTTAGCAAAATAAATAAAGCTACAATACAACATAGATAATGTTCATTTGTGGGTTCCTAAGTCAATACACAGCAGGTCAAACATTTATTTCTATTTCAGCTTGACACCACTGACCTAGGTGATCTCATAGCGTCATTCCCAGACTTCTCCATTATGTTCCCCAAGCCTTCTCTTCTTTGGAGTAAAAAGCCCCAATTCTTTCCCTTTGGTCTCTAGGAGAGAAGCCAGGCCTGTTTGCCTTCTATGGCTCTCCACAATCGGTTCCTAATTTGCCTTTTAAAAAAAAAAAAACCTCAGTTCCAGAGCTGACTCCTAGCCTGTTCCTAATCCCTTGAAATTGCATTGTCTACATTTTGTACTTAGCTTCTGATGGATGTACTTTTTCTCCAGCACAGTAGTAACTTGTTGAAGTCAGGAATGATCTCACTTTTGTCTTTGTTTACCCTGAGACAAAATCTGTGAGACCCAGGAAGCTGCTAGAGTCTGGACTGTCTTGAGCGTGTTCTGGGGCAGGAAGCCTGGAGACAGAATGAAGAGGCCTGGAATTTGTGCTCTGCAGCTCAAGACTGGCTAGTTTTTTGGTGGCTCGGAAGCTGGCCTCACATGCTTGCCAGCTGTGTGAACTAGGACAAGTCACTTAACCTATGTTTGTCTCAGTTTTTTCATCTGTAAAAATGGGGATGATAATGCTCCCTACTTTCCAGAAGTTGATATGAGGATGAAATGAGATAATATTTGTAAAGTGTGTTGTAAACTTTAAAGCACTGTGTAAATGCTAGCTTGTCATCATAATTGTTGTTATTATGATTATTTCCCTCTGAGTGCCTTTGATTTTGATGCTTCCTGACTGCCATGTGGAGGGTCGGGGGATCCCACCAATCTGGTTGCCACTGGAGCTAGACTTGCTGATTGGGTAGAAGTTATCCACAGTGGCTTTGGGACTGAGACCACGCAGCTTCTGTGAGTGTTTCGCAGCTGCTGCTGTGACCAGACTCCTGGAGCCCAGCTGAGATTGCTAGAGACCTGTGCTACAGACAGGGTCCGGATTGATCCCAGGTCCTGGACTGGCAAATGTAATGACTCTTGCCAGGCTGGTGACCTGGAGGGGAAGCCTGTTTCTTTTACCTCTCTTCCTCTGATATTGTCTGTGATCTGGAGGTGGGAGCCTGAACACACACTTTCCCCCTATTCCCTTTTCACAGATTGTGTGTGTGTGTGTGTGTGTGTGTGTGCTCATAGCTTGGGAATTCCTTGACCACCCCTGGGAAGAACTGAGAGGGGAAGGAAGAGGGTTGAGGAGATGTCAGGCCTCAGTTTACTAATCTTTAAAATGGGGTGGCTGGGCTCAATGGCTTCTAATGTCCCTGAATGGCTCAAATATATGATCCTCTGCTAGGATGTATCCATTTCAAAATGCAAACCTTTTTTCCTCTCCCATTTTTGCTATGTCCACTAAATTATGGTTTGGTATGTTGGATATCCGAGTCTTGTGAATGTATATGTGTAAGTGTGCATGTTGGGAATTGGGGGAGGGGAAGTATGACTATCGAGTGGAAGGCCCAGTGTGTGGTGTGGGCTTAGAGCTAGGTAGTCACATGGTACAGAGCGTAGAACTCCAGACCTGCACTCAGGAAGACCTGAGCTCAAATCTGGCTTGAAACATTTTCTAGCTGTGTGAATCCTGGGCAAATCGCTTAACCATTGTTTGCTTCTTCCATTTCCTTTTCTGTAAAACGGAGATAACAACAGCACCTACCAGGATCGTCGTGAGGATGAAATGAGATATTTGTAAAATGCTTTGCAAACCTGAAAACTCTATAGAAATGTTATTATTACATTTTAGCCCCTTTAGATTCAATTCTGAACCCAGCCAGCACACCCGCAGAGGTTTGAAGACCAGGGTAGGGGAGTAGTCTAGGTGTTTGCAGGTATAATACTCTCTCACCGTCAGGAACCTGATGCCTTTTGGAGCTATCTCTGCACCAGAGAGGAACTGAGGGGGCTACTGGGCTAGTGGCTCAAGAAGAGCACCACCTGGTGGCCGACTCAGATGTTGTACTTCCTCGATGGATAATTAATACAGTGAAGTACTGTCTTTCTACATGCTTAAGGAAGGCAGAACATGAGTTGATTTGGACTGCTTACGCTAAAAGATACTAGAAGTACTCCAAGTACCACTATGGCTAGGTATTCATGGGCTATACAAGTGGCATACTATAATACAGCAACCAGAATTTCAGAGTGCAGCAGGGCTATCACCTTACTCCTCTTAGACATCATGCTTCACGATGGGTGGGTAAAGATCGGAATTGGTGAGAGGATTCCCAACAAGTTAAGGAAGTCACAGTGGGAACATGAGTGCAGTACGCAGGAGAGAAGGGCAATTGCTGGGCTTCTTCCTAGAAGAGGCACTTAGATGGTCTTACAGAAACAGTTCATCTGGAGTCACAAACACGAGTTCAAATCTATCCTCAAACATTTACTCACTGGTGGTGTGACTGTGGGCAAGCCATTTAACCTCTGTTTACATCAGTTTCCTCAACTGTAAAATGGGAATTAAAAATAGCACTATCTCCTGTGCTTGTCATGAGGATCAAATGAGATAATATTCATAAAGTGCCTGGCCCATAGTAGGCATTTCAATCAACCAACAGTTATTAAGTGCCTACTGTGTACCAGGCACTGTGCTCTTTCCTGACCACTTGGTCATGAGTATTCTTCCTTAGGTCCTGAATTACTTTGCATTTACTTATCTGTGTTTCCTCCAGATAAAATGTCAGCTTCATGAGGGCAGGGACTGTTTAATTTGTGTCTTTGTATTCCTCAGACCTAGAAAGGTGCCTGGTATGCAGAAGGCACTTAATACATGTTTGCGAAATTGAACGGACATCAAGGAGCCAGCGAACGGGAGAATAAATGAATACACACACAAGCAAATGGAAGGAAAAATGACCAATGCTCTCCCAAACACAAGGAACAGCATACACTGAGAGCCCAGTCTGTCTGGGCTGGGCCTTGCCACAGGCTCAGATCTGCACGTAGGACAAGGACAAGTCTCCCTTGATCTCCACGGCGTCCACCCTTTGGAAGGCAGCGAATCGGTGGGCGTAATCGAAGATGTGCTGGCCGTTGGCAAAGACTTTGAAGCGGTCGTGACCACAGCGGATGGACAGCTGGAGGGAGGCGGGAAAGGGACAGTGTAAAACTCAAGGTGGGGGACCAATGAGGGCGACAGAGGTGGGAGGAAGCTCATCGACCCCCCACCCCCAGACTCACATCAAAGTACTGGCCCCGAGTGAATGGATTGAAGGAGATGTTCCTCTCCTCTTTCCCCCACTTGCCACCCAGGTAGCTGTTGCGGACCACGACACCTTCAGGTAGCCGGGAGTTAATATGCAGGGCCACGTCATTTGACTGGGCCGCCTTGAAGTTGATGGTGACACTAAGGGGAAGGAAAGGTAGAGGAGAGTCACTGAGGATGGGCTCCTACGCTGGGCCCTGAGGGGACTTAGAGTCCAGAAGTGGAGGAATGTGTGCATACAGAGAGAAGGTAACTAAGTAGAAAGCTGAAAATCTTAACTCCTGGGAGAGGGGAAAAAAAGCAGGGGCTGGGGGGATACCTGGTCCCTTAACGGGAGTGAGAGTTGGGTAGATGTTACACTTATGACTCCCCAGGAAGAATTCCAGGGCCAGGACCTACATTTGGGGCCTATGGCAACCTGAATTTGAGGGTCCCTGAGTGGGAACTTGAACTGGGGGTTGTAAGGGGGCAGAGGCTGGGGTGGTGGTGGAATGGAGAGTATCAAATGTCTTACACCTTGGGAAAGGGAGGGGCTGAGGAACTTCTGGGTCCCCAGGAGGAATTTCATTGAGAAAATACATGTGGATTCCTAAGACATTGGTGACCTGGATAAAGAGGACCTCAGAAAGGGTGGGCACTGATGAACCACACAGCGAGGTCCCTTACCTGCTGGCGTGTTGGGTCACCAGTCCTTTTATCACGATGGTTTTTCGGGGTGTGAGGCCACCCTGGATCCGCCCCAAGAATGGCACAGGCTGTTGGTTAAAGGGTCATTGACAGGATCAAAAGAGCTAGCCAGGACCTTAGAGGGCATTTAGCTGGATGCTCTCCTCTTAAATGCAGACTGACTGTGTGCACGTGGCAGTCCACCATCACACATAGACAAGGAAAACAAATCCCCGAGCAGGTGACTCATGTCACACTGGATGGAAGTAGGGGGCCTAGGATCTGAATCCAAGCAGGGATAACAGGGGGGATCACCTGGATTCCCACAGAAATAGATCTGCCCTTCCCCCCCACCCCCCCAAACTTCCTCTAGATAATAGCCACCAAGCTCCTGTTCTCAAAAACCCTCATGACCTCTCTTTCTTCCTAATTCTACCTCTCTGGGCCCCCACTCTGTCTTCCCCTATGAGCCCAATCTCCTACCACATGAGCACCATACCGGATTGAAGACTGGTGGTCCTTCCATGGTCTGCAAAGGGAGGGAAGGACCAAGAGATTAGGGGAGTCACAGGATTACAGGACTGAGCATTTGGGGGGGGGTTTGGGTTTTTTTTTTTTAAGACAATTGGGGTTAAGTGACTTGCCCAGGGTCACACAGCTAGTAAGTGTCAAGTGTTTGGTCTGAGGTCACATTTGAACTCAGGTCCTCCTGACTTCAGGGCCAGTGCTCTATCCACTGCACCACCTAGCTGCCCCTAAGACTGAGCATTTGAAGGGCAGCTGGGTCCCAGAGAAGCAAAGTGACTTATTTGTTCATGGCCACACAGGTGGTCAGTGTCAGAGGCAGGATTTGAACCCAGGTCTTCTCCAGGGTTCATATACTCTGATGATTGAGTCTACTACAACAGGAGTCAGGGATGACCACCCCTAGATCCAGCCACATCCTACTCACCGGTAATTCATGGGGTGACCTTCCATGAACTGGTCCTGGACCCTAGTGGATGAGGGAGTGGAGAAAGGTAAGAAAAGAGACCTTCTGCTTCCTCACCCACCATCTTATATTTCCCTCCCTGATTCACTTCCTGATTCCACGCCCTGACCCCCTCCCGCTAGTGGGTACTTACTGGGTGTGCTGGGATTCCCATAGGAAACTGTGGGGACAGAATAGAAAGGCATAAAGTATTTTGTTGGGATAGGACAAAGGGGACCCCAAAGCTCTAGGTAAAAAGGAAATGGAGGCTTGGCACCCTTCATCTTTTGCGCAACCATGAGTTAAGAGCATGGAGTTCCACAAGAGGAAGCCAAGCACCTTAAAGTTCCAAATGGAAATTCTGGGGTGCCCAGCACGTACATGGATAGGAGAAAGGAAGCTCCACCTCCATGACCATCTTTATTAGGAGGCATAGACTCAACTGGTTTCTAATCCCAGTCATCTCCCCAGACTCCTTGCTGTCCCTATGTCTGCAGAAACAGACTCAAAATAAGAAAGAATCTGGGATGACAGAAGGCCGTAGTGCTCAGAGCAGGAAGGAGGCTTCTAAGTCATTTCCTCCAACTTTGTCATTTACAAAGGAGACAAGCCAAAGCAGGCCCAGTGACTCGCCAGAGGCCCCATGGGTAGGACAAGGCAGGTCTGGGACTAGAAACAGTCACCTGCCTCTGGATTCAGCCCCTTGCACTGAACAGCATCACCAGATGTTCATCTTTTCGCCGAAAGGCTGGACAACCCTGGGCCAATCATGTCATAATTGAATGACCTGGATTTTAGACTGAAGGGCCTGCCTGACTTGAATTATGCATTATTTTGTATGAATTATGCAGGAGTTTATAAATTCTATACTTTTGCTTGCTCTTTAACCATATGACTTTGGGCAAGCTATTTCCTCCTCCTCCATAAAACTGGGGAAGAGGCGAGGCTGCGGTGGGAGCTGGGGAGAGGAGCTGATGCTCAAAGATTCCTTCTAGCTTGAATGTTTTGGGTTCCAGGCAGGAAATCCTCCCAGGGAGAATTTGGGAGTTTCCTCCACCCACGCTGGTCTCCCCATCTGGATCACTGTCTCCCCCAAAGTGGCCCCAGATCTTCCGCAGCACACCAGGAGGACAGAATGGAACATGGCATCCCCAGCCCTGCCCCACCCAGTCCATGCCTGCTTTGGTTAGCCCATCCCCCTCCAAAGATGCTCTACCGGGCCTGGGGAAGGGCCGCCTCCAAGGAAGTTGATGGATTGAAGCTCCAGGTCCCCGTCCACTTGCAGATGGGTGACCTTCTGTAGAGGGATCCGATGTCCATACTCATAGAAGGGGCTACCATTTACTATTACCTGAGGGAGAGGGTGGGAGGAAGGGAGAGGAGAGGGGGGAGTTAGTACTGCTGAATACTCATATCATGACTTCATTCAAGGACACATTATTCAAAACCATTCCTAGGAGAGTCTCCCCCTCACTCCCACCCCATGGAAATAACCATTTCCCTTCCTCCGACCTCACATAATGCTTATCATGGAGTATTTATCAGAAGCATCATATGTAGCAACCAGGAAGACCTGGGTTCAAATCCTGTCTCTGACAACTACTAGCTGTCCCTTCATCTCAAAGTGCCTCCCAAGAGACCCTCCCAGTCACTAGGTTGCAGAGAGGGTGCCAACCTGCATTGGTAAAAGGAGTTCACTGGCCTGAGAAATCCTCAGGTCTGGATAATTATGTGTGTATAGGAATTTTATCTCAAATGAATTCATTCAAAAACAGGAAGTCTTTCCTGATCCCTGCTAATGTTAGGGCTTTCCCTCTGTTGGTCACCCCCAATTTATCCCGTCTGTATCTCGGCCCACAGTGACTTGTAGGTCTTCTGTATTTATCTGTGAGCTCCTTGAGGGCAGAAACATAGTGGGCACTTAATCAATGTTTATTGACGGACTGAACAAGAGTGTATTAAGTGACCACTGTATGCTGAGTTCTCAGGTTCTCCTGACTCCAGGGCTGGCTCTCTAGCGCCATCTAGAGGTCCCTGCTTTAGATAGGACAGGGGTGAGATGAAGCAGCGTGTTGCAGAGTGGAGGATCAGGGATTAGGGTCTGAGACTGAGTTAAAATCCCATAGTTGATAGCTGAAGAAACTGAGACCCGGAAACATGAATGGTCACCTAGGTAGCAGCCAGGGAGCAACATCTGAACCCATGTCTTTTCATTCCACAGCCAGGGGTGCCTGATAATAAGTACTTAATAAATGTCTTTTCATTAATTCATTCATTGATTCATTCAGTCCTCGAATGCTGTGTCCTAGGGGGGAGGACATTCCCAACCAGGGAGATCTGGGAAGGCTACCCTGAAGAGAGCGTATTGAGTCGGGTTTTAAAGACCTAGCAGGAACTCTCTAGATAAAGAGCGGGGAATGATCTGGATGTATCAGAGTCGCTGGATCTCCGCCAATGAAGGACCTCACATCATCTAGTCCTCTGAGACAAGCCAAAGTCCCAGGGAACTCACCTACTTGAGAAAGCACGTTGCTTTCATTATGAGGAAATCTTTCTTTAGATGCAGGCTAAATCCGCTTTTCGGAAACTCTTCCCCTTCCCCACCTTAGGCGCTTAATAAATGCTCGTTGACTGACTGAATCCTACGGCTGGCATTGGGGGTGTGGACCCTACAAGAGTGATGGGGCTCCATGGACGCCTCTGGGAAGTTTCTCTCAAGTCCACTAAAGGAGGGGAAGGGGCTTTAGGGAGCTTCGAGGCTCCCGGCCTGAGGGTCCAGGAAGGAGCAGAGGACAGCACCAGACCAGGGACTGCAGTGCGGAAGAACCCAGCCCCCCCCCCCACGCCCCCGCCTCCCAGTCCGCCCGGGCTCTCTCAGACCTTGTAGTGTTCGTCCAGCACCGTGAAGACCAGCTCAAAGGCGTCCCCCTTACGGAAGGGCATGCTTCTCTTCCTCTCCTCTTTCCCCCAGTTGCCCCCCTGCTTCGTGTTGAAAACGACCTTGTCCCACCCGTCGAACCGCGGGTTGAAGTGAAAGGCAATGTCGCCCCCAGGCAATACAAAGTTAACATGGAACCTGGCAGGGAGAGGCGACGGGGACAAACAGAGGTTCAGCCCCCAGCAGCCCCCAGCTCTTGGAGCTAGGCGCTGACTGCTTCCTCCTCTGGGAAGATCTCGGCTCTCCCTCTCTGCAGTTCCTCCGGCCTCCCAACGTGAGCCCCTCGGGGCTCAGTTCTCTCTACGACCCAGGCGACCATCTAAGATAAGGAGATGTCTAAGCTGAGAGGTGCGTAACGCAGTGCCTGGCGCACAGTAGGAGCTTAATAAATGCTTGTTCCCTCCTGGCCGTTTAACGCAGCCTTCTCAGTTCACAGACTGTGAAACTAGTCCTCAGAGAAGCGGAGTGATTTCAAGGTCACACAGGCAGTTCAGTGATAGGTCAAAGATTAGAACCCGGGTCCTCTGGCTGCACAGCCAGCATTGTTCCCAGTCACCTCTGTCCAGGGACCCCTATCCCTCTCCCGTCCCCCCCAGGTCCTCACCTCTTCATGTGGCTACTAGCCACTCCTTGGACATAGATGGACATCCCTGAGCGCAGGCCCCCTGGGATCTCTCTGTTGTATGGGAGAGTCTGAGTGGGGAGAGAGTGCGAGGGTTAGTGAGACCCAGAATTGAGGTCTCACAAGTCCCCAAGATGAGGAAGGGCCCGGCTGTCAGTGGCCTGCTCTCCTCATCCCCCAAGGTTATCATGGGGGTGTGAGATCAGATTTGGGAAAGATCAGGTCTGTGAGTGTGAGCACACGAGGGCGGGTTAGTTTGCCAGTCACTCACCGGGTTGTAATAGGGCTGATAGCCAGGAGGGGGCAAGAAGGCCATATTGGAATGGACAGAAGGACGCTGGCAGCGGAGGAAAAAGAGCCGGAGTCTGGAGTTGGGCAGGGACTGTGCCGGCGATGTCTCTTATACCGTGGGAAGGCAGGGAAGGGGTGTCATGGGTGTGGTGGCAGCAGGGCTGTGGGGGATGGCTACCCCTTCCTTCCCCTCCCATCTGTTTGGACAGATTTCCCCCACACCTACACCCACACCCCCATCAGGACTTTGGCCCCACACCCCCAAGTCATTCCAGGCTGGGTTTGGGGTTCCCTATACTTCCTCTGCCCCAGAGAAGAGGAAAGTACCCCAAGACCTTTGACCACAGCCAGTTCTTATCTTTGATGGTAATCTCCAGAGGCTGTAACCTCTGTTGGAGAAATGGGCAGGTTACTGGGCCAGAACAAACAGGTGTGGGGGGCAGGAGGACATATTCGGCTGAGAGCCAACAGAAGTATCTTTGACCTCTACCATCTGGCTCCCTCCCAGCCCCTCCCTCAGCACACACCCCGAACCAGCAAAGTGCACTTGGACTCACTGCGTTAACAGAATGACTTTATTACCGAGATAGGTCGTCCCCCCCACCCCACCAGCCTCAGCACACACGAATGCCCTTCTGACGGCCAGTGGGAACCGTGTGGTGTGCAGGCAGCGGGATGCAGCTCCAGTCTCCACGTCCTCCCCAAAACTGCTGCCTTGGGTGACCTTGGGTGAGTGGCCCCCTCCCTGAGGGGTCTGGCCGCCCCCCTGGCAGAGGACATTTTCTAAGAAAAGCTGCTCTGAGTGGCAAAGTTCTTTGCAAGTGGGGTGGGGTGGGGGCAGGGGCAAGGCAAAGAGCGCTCAGAGCTTGGAGAAGGTGACACTCTTCAGGTCCTTCTTCTCCAAGGCGGCCTGGATGGACTTGGTTATGTCTTCGGTCTGCAGCATAGTCATGTTCCAACTGGCCTGGAGGGAGAAGGGAAGAGACAATCAGAAGGTAGTTCAGTCATTCAGTCGTGACCGACTCTTTGTGACCCCATTTGGGGTTTTCTTGGCAGAGATACTGGAGCAGTTTGCCATTTCCTTCTCCAGCTCATCTTACAGACGGGGAAACTGAGGCAAACGGAGTGAAGTGACTTGCCCAGGGTCACACAGCTAATATGCTTGTGACTGAGGAACTCAGGAAGATGAATCTCCCTGCCTCCCGCCCAGCACTCTGTGCACTATGGCGCCGCCTAGTGGCACCTCCTGCGGAGGCAGGGAGGGCACAGGGTGGTGTCCGGGGGAGGAGAGAGTCAAGGCTGGTGGGTAAACAACTCAGGACAGAGTAATAATAAACGTTTATTAAGTGAGTTTGGGATAAGGAATGGGGAGCAGGTGCCAGGGATCTGATCAGGAAGAGGGGCAATGCATCCGCATGGCTGGGGACGGATGTCCAGTGGACATCTGAACCAACACGGCTCATTCTCTTCCCCCGCCCCTGGCGCCCCTGGCCCACCCCTCTGGACTCCTCGCCGCCCCCACATCCTCTGCCCTGCAGTTCACTGACTCCGGGATGAAACAGGAAATCCTGGGGCTTTAAACCCTTGGAGCTGGGCCATCCCACTCGGGTTCCCACATCCTCTCCACCGTCCAGTGCTGTCTCCCAGGCCTGCACCACTCTCCGTCCTCACACCCACTGGCTCAGCATTCCGGCTTCCTTCAGCTCCGGCCTTCCCCAGTCCCCCTTCGTTCTCTAGCTCTCCCTGCATTCACCCAGTCTGTGCCCTGTCTGTACACACACGTTGGCTCGCCGCCTCTTCTGCTGGATTGGGGGCACCCTGAGGGCATGGCCTGTCCTGTCTTCATATCCCCAGTACTTGGCACATAGTAGGGACAGCTGTCAGCAGAGTGGGCCCATGCTGCTGGGGGGGCCTGACTGAAAGGCCTGGGGGCACAGGGGCTCACCATGAAGTTGAGACCTTCGGCCACAGAGTGGTCCCGGGAGTAGAGCAGGCTGACTTTGGTGCCCTGCACAGCAACCGGACTCTTGCTGGAGATTTCAGTGGCCAGAGCAAAGGCTGCGGCCAGGAGGGCCTCGTGGTCCTGAAACACTCGGCTAAGGGTGGGTGGAGAGGATCCAGGTCAGCTAAGCCTAAGGGCCCACAGGGGTTTAGGGTAGTGGGCAGTAAGGACACGCCTCTCCTCAAGGCCTAGGCTGAGAAGGGAAGACAACAGTGCCTGTATGGGGAGACCCAGAGTCCAGGAGTTGGGGGATCCCCTGGGAGGGGCTACAGGGGCAGTGTCTGAAACCCACAGCAATCACCCACCACCCCTGGAGTCCAGAGTAGGGTTGGAGGGCCCAGACCCAGACTCACTGGGTCATGGTGGGGAGCCAGGCGCTCTTGAGTCCCCTCCCCAGATGTGGAATCCTGAAGCTCCCTCCTGGAGTGGGCACGGAGGAGGGCGAGGTCTGGGGGGCTTACCTGACCAGCCCACTGCTCAGAGCTTCATCGGCCATCATCTTTCGGGCAGTGAAGGCCAACTCGTTCACCAGGCTGGGGGAGGGGACGTTGAGCTGAGTGAGACTCTGACCCTGAGCCCACCCCTTCCTTTTCCCTCCTCCCCAAAGCCCTGCCACCTGCCCTCCACACCTCTGGCTCCCTATGATCCGGGGCAGACGCTGCAGCGTCCCCACATCCGCAGCCAAACCGATGTCCACCTCCTGTGTGCGAGATTAAGGGAGAGGGGATGAACCTTCCAGTCATTTACCCAGCAGGTTCCCTTGGCCTGAGTCTCACCTTCACCTGGAACCAGGCGTCCTGGGCACAATATCTGATATCACAGGCGGAGATGAGGTCCACTCCTGGAAGGCACAGGCAAAGTGAAATTACTGGGCCATAAAAAAAATGACTCTTTGGATTGGCATGGTGGGGCGTGAAAAGGGCCCTGGATTTGGAGCAGAAAGACCAGGCTCCTGGGTCCTTGTGAGGCCCTCGCCAAGTCCCTCCCCCTTCTGTTAAGCCACCAGAGGTAGCGGGGCTCAGGGTCCTGGCCACCCCCAGACTCACCTCCCCCAATGCAACCACCGTGGATAGCAGCGATGACCGGCTTGGGACACTGAAAGGGATGGAGGGGGTCAGGGGTGGGCTGAGAGAGCTGCCCGAGACCCTCCCCCAACCGCCCCCAGAGGGCCCAGCTGGGCCTGCCCCTTCCTTCAAGGCAGAGGACAAGCCCACCTTCTCAAGGGCAGTGAAGGTCTCCTGGCATTTGGTGACCAGGCGGCGTAGATTCCAGCTGATCCGGGCCGTGTCCTCCCCTTGCGGCTGGAACAGCTCCCCACCCATATCCATGAGGTCAAGGCCTGGAGGGGGGGGAGGGATGGCCTGGAATCATGTCTCCCCAAGCCCGCCTCTCTGCCCTCCATGACTTCTCAGAGCCAGGAGACCCTGGTTCAAGTCCAATCTCTGACGCTGGCTGCATGACCCCTGTGCCTTGGTAGGGATAATATTTTCATTCATACCCACCCTGATAGGTGAGGAAGGCACCTTAAAAGCCTTAACAAAGCAGATGATTGTGCACTATCGCCAATCACTCACTAGCATCTTCTGAAGTCCCTCTGAGCTCTAACTGTAACGTTATGACTCTAAACCAGGGAAAATGAGAATGTAGAGTGGGTCCCCGCCCCCGCCAGCCAGGGAATGCCCTCTGGTCCAGGCACAGGCTAGAGTGAAGAGTGCAGAACCTGGGAGTCAGAGGACCTGAGTTCAAATCTTGGGGTTGCTACCTGTGACCACGGGACACTCCCTTCCCTCATCTAGGCCTCAGTTTCCCCCAACTAAAATGAAGGAGGAGACTCCCAGGCCAGGAACAGCTCCAAGGAGCCCAAGGCTGAGAGAGGGGCTTACCTTGAGAAGCTGAGGGAGTTACAGGGGGCCCTTCTGAGCTCTGGAAGACTAGGGAGGACACTCCAGGCCAGAAGCCTATGCCCTGGGGGGGTGGGGGGTGGCAAGGGGCAGAACTGAGGGCTCAGAAGATACCTGATGTGAACATCTTTCCAGCTCCTGAGAGCACCACAACCCTGCAGTAGGAGTCCTGAGCAATCTTGTTGAAACATTCTACCATCTCCCTGTGAAAAGAGGACCAGGTCAGGGCTGGGAGAGAACCCCGGGCTGGGGTCCCTGTAGGCCAGCCATGCCTGCTACTTTGTGCCTCAGTGCCCCTTCTATCAAGGCCTTTTCTTTTCTCTTCTTCACAGGCCCCCTGCACACCTAGCACGGCACCTGGTACACAGCAGGTGCTTTTAAAATGCCTGCTCAAGCTTTTCCCCACAGTCACCACCTGAGAACACTCCACCCGACCAGTTCTTCCTTTCCTCCAATACCACTTCTTCCTGAACAAGGTGACCTCTGGGCCTGACTCAGCCCCACAGATTCTCAGGGGTCTCCTTGCTGCCTGCCCCCAGTGCAGCTCAACTGGATACCTGCTGTTCTTCTGGGCCTCACTTCCTCTGCTCGGGCTACCCCACCTCCCTCTGCTTGGGCTATCCTGCCCCCCACCCCATGGCACACTTACTGCCCAAGGGCAAGACCTGGTCTTCTGTAACAGAACCAGGTGGCCTAATGCATAAGGAGCTGGCCTTGGAGCCAGAACACCTTGGGTTCAGGTCCTGTCTCTGACACATCCTGGTTCTCAGGTAACACTTCGTGGCAGACAGCTGGCCCACACCAGGAAGGTTTTCCTAAGCTAACTTGCCTCCCCCTAACCCAGCACAATGCTAGGCACAGGGAGGTTATTTGCTTACTAAACGTTGTTGAGTGAATGAAGGATGCCCAGGTCACTGGGGGGCCTCAGTTGGCCACTGGCCTCCCCCTGCCAGGAAGCCCTCCCAACCCCCCCCCCCAGCCCAGACCTCCAGAAAGCCCTGTTCATCGCATTCCTCTTTTCCGGCCTGTTTATCTGCACGTGCAGGATGTGGTCCCCAGCTTCGGTCACTTTGAGGGACTCATAGTCGTGTTCCTTTGCTTGGGACGCTGAGAGCTCCTGAGAGGAGCTCACAGGCCGAAAGCTGAGCTGTGGCATGTGGCTGGCCGCCAGTCCTGGGGGGGAGGGGGGGCAGAGAGAGACCCCAGTTACCCTGCATTTCAGGAAAACAAGTGGGGCTGGGGGGGGAAAGGTCAAGAAAATAGGAGGGGGCTCCAGGGAGACTAGGAGAGGGGTGGGAGGAGGGGGTGGCTCCAGTGAGACTAGGAAAAGGGTGGGGGGCAGGAGGGCTGGAGGCAGGGGGGAGGGGTGAGTTGGGGGCTACACGAGGGTGGGGAAGGGTCAGCCCCAGAGGCCCCGGGAAGGACTCTAATGTGGCTGGGAGATCACGCCTGGGGGGGCGGGGGAGCAAGGTCTGGACAAGAACTGGGGGAGAGGTCACGGCCAGACCGACGGGGGAGGGCTCCGAGGTCACGACCTCCACCCCGAGCCCCCGGACGGTGGGGACTCACGCCGCAGCAGGAGGCTCCGGAGCCCGCGGGAGGCAGAGGCCGCAGCAGCCATCGTGACTACAGTGTGCGGGCCGGGGGGTGGGGGTGGGGGTGGGGTGACACCCTACTGGAAGAGGGCGGGGCCCCGCGGCCATTTTGGAGACCCCGCCATCTTGGGTGAGGGCAGCGCCTGGCCGGGGGCGGGGGCGGAGCGCTGAGGCCGGGTTGAGGAAGGGCAGGGCGCCATCTTGTTTTTCCGGCCGTCAGCACGTCCCGAAGGCGTTCCGTGGCCATGGCGAGTGAGGGCAGGCGGAAATGAGGGCGGGGCTTCTGCATGGCCCCGCCCCCTGGCCGCTGTCGGGCGCCTCTAGCCCGAGGGCTGGAGAGTGAAAGGCGGCCTGGAAGGGGCGCCCCTCCCCCCCACGCCTTAGGGGAATGCAAGAGCGGAGCGGGGCTGGGGGAGCCCGCTTCCCTACCTCCACCAAGTGACGGAATCCATGGGGGGGAGGGGAGGAGAAACAAAGGAAGGAAAAGAGAAAAGAAAAAAGGAATAAAGGGAGGGGAGGAGGGAAAGAAGGAAGGGCGGGAAGGAAGAAAGGGAAGAGAGGAAGGAAAGAGGGGAAGCAAGGAAAGAAGGGGAGGGAGGAAGGAAGAAAGGAAGGAAAGAGGAAAAAAGAGAGGGGAGGGAGGAAGGGAAGAAGGGGGAAAAAAGGGAGAGGAGGGAGGAACCATTCCTGAGCCCACCTCCTGCTGCCCCAGGTCCATCTGACTGGCCTTCCACCTTGTCCTGCCTTGTCAGCTTCCTCTGGTGCCCTCTGTCAATGATGGACATCTTCACCCCTGGTCATCTCTACTGCATATTCCAGTGATTCTGAGTCGCCCCCCCCCATTTCTCATTCCCTCCATCCACCCGAGTTTCATCCTCACTGCCCCCACCCCTTCCCGTGCCCTCTGGAATGTCTGCTCCATAGGCAACAAGCTTTCCTTCTTCCTCAATCTCTCCCTTGCCTTCCATCTACCTGGCTCCTGTCTGATGGCAAAGCCTCCCTGGCCCCACTTTCCAGTCCTGGCTAAGCCTATACATCTTACTCTCCATCACCACTTCTACATTTCTCCCCTTCCGTCATCCCTTGAGGTTCATGCTTTTCATAGCTACCACCCAATCAGAGTCCTGGTAGCTGTACCCTCCCCAGAGCATCTGCTACCCCTCAAACACCCCAACCGCTCAGTTTGGTCATTCCCACTCACCTTTTTTTTTTTTCAGGGCAGGGGAGGGGGGGTGTAGGGCAACTGAGGTTAAGTGACTTGCCCAGGGTTACAGTCCTCTTGATTTCAGGGCAGGTGTTCTAACCACTGCACCACCTAGTTGAGCCTCTCATTTCTACTGGCTCATTCCCTCCTACCTACAAACATGCCACATCCTGAAAAAACCCTCATGTGATCCTTCTCTCCTGGCTATCCTGTTTTTCTTCTCAACTCCTCAGAAAGGCCGTCTGTGCTGCCTCCACCCTCTTCTTAACCCCTTATAATCTGGCTTCCAATCTTCATTCCAGTGGCGCTGCTCTCTCCAAAGTGACCAGTGACCTCTTAACCTCCAGGTCCAGTGGCCTTTTCTGTTTTCATTGTCCTTGACCTCTCTGCAGCCTTTCATACCGTGGATCACTCTCTTCTGGGTTCCCTCTCTCTCTCACCACAATGACCGCTTCTTGTCTCCTTTGCACTGTCAGACCACAGGCATGCCTCAGACATTTTCCTCAACAGCCCTTCTCATCTCCCTCTACACCACTTTGGTGATGATCTCATTGGCTCCCATGGTTTTAATGACCATCTCAGTGCTGATGATCTCCAATCTGCCTTTCCTGCCCCAACTTCTCTGCTGACCTCGTCTCACATCTGCCTTTCAGAAAGATCCAACTGGATGTCCAATAGACATTTTAAATTCAGTGTACAAAACAAAACTCATCTTTCCCCTAAGTCCTACCTTGCCCATCCTCTCAGTCTGACTCCTACCTAGGGGTCATTCAGGACTTCTGTAGCACCCCCATATCCAAGATATTGTCACAGCCTGTCACAGTATCTCCCAAATACCCCCCACCTCACTCCTGGATGACTGCAATAGCTGCTGAGGGGTCAGCCTGCCTGTCTCTCTCTGCATTCATCCTCATCCATTCAGCCACCAGCAGCTCGCTCGCGCACACACACACACACACACACACACACACACACACACACACACACACACACACACACACACACACACACACACACACACACACACACACACACCCCCTCTCTCTCTGCAAATACAAAAGGCTGTTTGGCCTCCAAAGCCCTTCCTAGCCTGGCCCCTTCCACGTTTCTGGCCTTCTTAGACCATACTCCCCAACAAGTCCTCCCTAACCCTGACATTGGCCACGGCTGTTCCATGAACAAGATGCTCCCTCTCATCTTTGCCTCTTTAGATCCCAACTAAAATCCCCCCCTTCTACAGGGATTCACAGGATGGTCTCTTAATTCCACTACCTTCTCTCAAGCCTGTACCAGCTGTACTTACTTGTTTGCAGCCAAGCTCACTGAGGGCAGGGACTGTCCTTCGCCTCTGTGTCCCCAAGGCTCAGCACACTGCCAGCTTGGCACAAACAGGCGCTTATGAAATGTTTACTGACTGCTCAGCACTAGAGATGTAAATACAAAAGCCAGGACAGTCCCAGCCTTGACTACAGATCGCAGTTGGGCTTCCAGGTCGAGTAGGAAGGATGAAAAAACACTCTTTGGTCATATAACCACAACGTTTATTTTCCAAACAATTTTATTGAAATGTGCTGGAAGCACAGGGGCAGGCAGCACAAATGTATGAACAGGAAAAAAAAAATCACATGTACAATAATTTCAAAAAGTGAAGGTTAATCTTGGAGATGGAGATGCCCCTCTCTCCAGACTTGCAGGGTTTCCATTATGGTTAAGCCTCTACTAAAACTAGCATTAGAAAAGGAATACAAGAACTTTTGCAAAAAACGGCAGAAAGGAAAGGAGGGTGGGTTTCCTGCTTGGGCCTCATCCTGGGTGTGCAATTAGGAAGCGTGCTGAGCGGTGGAGAAACACAGCTTCAGGGTGTAGGGGTACGGACCATCTAGGGGAGAAAAAGGACACATCAGGTCAGGGTGGGGCAGATTCCTCAGAGCACGCTAACTAAGGCTCTACAACTTCCGGGAAACAAGCCCGGCTCGCACAGGGTTCTGAGAAGTTCACAGCAGCGTGGGGATGCGGAGGCACACTTCCAGCTCCCCTACCAACATGACAAGCCTCAACAACTCCCACTTGGGTTAAACAGTGGACTGTTCTCAGACTTGAGAGCCTGGGGCTTCCCTAACCACAGCCTGGCCTGAGACTCAATCTAAGGCAGAAGAGAGTGTGACAACTCCTGGCCCTCCCAGGTGTGTCCCCCCCCCCCACCTGCCCCAGGCAGCTGTCCATCAGCTTTTAGGAGCATCTACAACATTGCCAGCAGGCCCTGGGTCCCATCCCAGCCATTCCTTCCCATAGCCTGCGGCTAGGGGCTGGGCCACTCACTTGGATTCTTCATCTGGTAATGGTTCAGGAAGCCCAGGGTCTCCAGGGCATCACTCTTGGACTCCCACTCCAATAGGCCTGAGGAGCTTCTTTCACCTGCAACCAAAGCACCCAAAAGGTCAGAAGGAAAAGGACCAGCCCAAGGCTGGAGGCAAGAGACAAGAGCTGTGGACCCACCACCCCACCTAAGGGGGCCTCCCCTCACTCACTTTTCCCTGAAAACACCTTCACTGAAGCAGGCCGCTTCACTCCTAGCTCATCGCAGATCTGGAAAGCAAAGAAAGGAAACCAAGTCTCAGAGGTGCAGGCCCCACAGCCCTGAGGTTTGGGGCCAGCTTTCAGAAAGCTGGTCTAGGTAGTCTTCACAGGACCCCAGACTCAGCTAGAAAGCACCTGAGGCCACTCCTCTCTCTAGTCACTAAGCCTCCAGTACCCAGCAGCTCCATTATGACCTCATTACAGGCTCCTCCACGCTGCTCTCCGCAAGCCTCAGGCTGGGCCACGTGGCTGGCTGAGGTTGGACTCTGCACCACAGCCGGCTGCCCTATCTTACACAACTTATTGGCCCTTGGAGCTGCTTAGCTGTTCCCATTTCTGAGACATCTGCCCAGTGCTTCCAACCCCTGGGGTTGGAGGGAGGGACAAGAGCCACATGGCCGGAGAACCGGCCAGCCTGGGAGGAGAGACCCACCACCACCTTCCTCACCTCAAAGAAGTTTTCTTCAGTAACTTCCAGGGGTGCATTGAAGAAGTGCAGCACATTGCTGGGGTGCTGGATCCTGTTCTTAGCTGCCTGCTCCGGGGTGGAGAACCGATTGTTGCGTGAGCCACTAAAGTCTTTGTAGCTGCACGACCCATCTTCCAGCCCATAGGACTGGCCTGGCATGATAGCCTGTTGCTTGGAAACACTATTGAGGAATGGGGCAAGGGGAGAGAGAGGAAAGACAAAAAGGCTGTTCCATTATCTCTGTGACACACATCCCCCCTCCCCTTACCCCAGGTGCCAACGCCCACTCTCTCAAAACCTTCCTTCCTGCTTCCCTCTCTCCCCTGGTATCCAGAGGTACCCCACCCCTGGGAGGTGGGCACAGACATTCCAGCAGTGACTCAGCGGCCTGCCTCCAGTCATGCTATAATACCTGCACCACTAGCTATATGCCCCTCCCTGCCCCTCTTTCCTCAGCACTTTGTGGAAATGCCTGGAAAGAAAGCCCACGATTCCCAAGATGCTGCTTGGAGGCCAAGGCTGTAAGAAGGTCCCCCTGTGGTACCCACTTTCTCTCCATCTTGTCCACCCCAAAGTTAGGACAGTCTGGCTTCTTTTTGCCCTTACTGCCTCTCCCCCTTTTCTGCTGACCCACGCACGCCCCTCTTCCTTAATGCAGACTGGCAAGGGTCCTGTGCCTGCCAACAGCCCCCCGGAATGGCGAGCCGCAGGGATGGATGACCCACCACACATTCAGCTTCTGTCCAAACATGAAGTTGTTGTTGAGGTGAGTGATTGCTCTGTCCACCGCATAGCCATCCGCCATCTCTACCATGGCAGCCCCCGGCTTGCTCTTCATGAACTTTACCTACAGAAGAAAGGGCCTTGCCCATTAGCAGGCTTTACCCAGAGGACCTGGGCCCCACCAATGGCACAGGGATGCCTGTTCTAAATCTAAAAAGCAGACCCACCATGGGCTGCCCACGCTTGCTAAGAATGCCTGAGAAGCACCCACTGAGTCCCCCCCATCCCCCAAATCAGAAGGGATTTATTATTCTACAAGAGACTTCCTAGATCTTGTAGTCTATCCTTCCTCGTTTTACAGATCAGGTAACTGAGACCCCAAGAGGTGATCAGGGGTAGGGAACCTATGGCCTTCTAGGTCCTCAGGTGTGGCTTTTTGACTGAGTCTAAGTTTTACAGAAGAAATCTTTTTATTAAGGGGAGTTTTTTGCAAAGTTTGGATTCAGTCAAAGGGCCGAACTCGTGGCTCCCCACCCCTGGTGCTAAGTCATTTGCCCAAAGGCAAAAAAAAGAAATCAGAAGCTGACCTAGGATTCCCACTCTGTTCCCTGAACGCTAAAGTTCTTTGTGACCCTCCCTGCCATGGGCTAAGGCCCCACTTCAGCCTCCACTCACTGCTCTAGGGCCCTAGCGATGACCCCACAGGCTGTTAGGACCCCTATTCTAGCCGCTGGCTTGCCTGTCTGCCCTGTCCCTAAGCTTACCTTCTCCACATTGCCGTAGAGACAGAAGACATTGAAGACACGGTCACAATTCATCTTGGACTGGTCAAGGCCATATACCATCAGCACAGGGCTGTCTGCGTGGGGGGCCATACTCAGGCGGTGGGGGAGGGGGCGGGGGGTGGCCATACTGAGGGCCATATCGGCTTGGGCCCCGACGATGGCCCCCCACTGGTGGGCCCATCCTTCTCCCTTCGTAGTGAGGTGGAGGGGGCCCGTAGCCCTCATCATGGTAATGGCTGTGGTACCCACCGTGAGGCCCTCCTGGGGGGTGGGAAGGAAAGAGAGGGAGGACGGGTGAGAATTTGCGGGGCGGACGGCGGGCAGGGTCGCATGAGCCACGGGAGTCCACGGAGGGGAACCCCCTGCCCTCACCATATTCTGCAGGGTGATCTCCCAGGAGAGGAGGCTGTCTCTGACGCTTATTCGGATTGCTGCCGGGGTCACCTGTGGACAGAGACAATTGTCAGAACCTCATCCAGGAGGAAGGGGGGCCTTCTTTCCCTCTCTAGGGGCCTCTGCACCTGTAGTAAGAATTCTCAAAGCCCCAGGTATGGCAAACCATACTGAGCCTGCTATCCCATGGGCTGCTGGGAGCTGGCTTCCTTTTAAGGCCACGTGAGGATAGGGGCAGAGGCCTGAAGCCTGAAGCAGCTGTGTCTGTTAAAGAGACAAACTCAGTTCTTCCAAAGGCTCAGGGAGCCTTGGGGAGGGAGGGCAGGGGGGGGCATGCGGTCCCTGTTCCCACCAATGGGCCAGATACCCTATGTTTTAATAGAGGGTCTCTGCCCCCTTTCCTCTGTGATACACCTTAATCCCCACTCTACCCTAGATTATAGGAGGCCAGGGATGGTACAAAAGGGCCCTTTATCCCAAATGGTTAATGGATCTCCAACTGCCTTACAAACAATGGGCCCAAAGAAGTGCGGGGGGAGGAGGCGGGGGGAGAAAGGAGATCTCAAAACTGCACAGAGACAGAGGGGCCCTGGAAGGCCTACCTCACCTCCCCCAACCCCACTCAAATCTCTCTACACTCCTCGGATACTCAGGGATACAGTCCCCGAATCCACCTCACGTGGCCACTAGGGAGTAAAAGCTAGTAACACAAGGTCCCAGGACCCCCTCCCCCCAGCCCCAAGGAGGCTGACAAAAGCAGTAATCCGTTAAAATGAGCAATCATGGACAAGGCGTGAACGTTCCCGGAGCCATACAATGTTGCCGTCCCGCCAGCTGCATTTCATACTGGGTTTATTCCAACAGTCAGTCATTACAAAGATGGAAAAGGGCTACTTACAGCAGTACAGAGTACAATGTCCATTTGTCACATAAAACAAATCTGTATTTTCTCTTACCATTGGACGCTTCAACAGTGAGTTAGCACAGTTCTGAAAGATGGCGTCCCATCAAACATACACTGCGACCCTGCATCACATGGTTTTACAGTCATAAATACAATTTACGTTACAAATCCGCTACAATTTTTTTTTTCAATTTATTTTTCTTTTCAAGTCAATTTCCTGATTAAACAAAAACTGGCTCACAGATGTTCTGTCCTCAGCAGAGATCAGAAAGTGGCCAAGAGTGGTGTATAAGTGGAAAGTGTTCCTTCCTCCGTGTTTGCGCCTCCTCAACATTTGTGTGCTGCGGTGGGGTGCGGTGAAGGGGTGCGGCTGCTGCCTGTGTAGCTGGCTCTCCGTGTACGTGTCTGGCGCGTCTGTTATGCGAGTGTGCCCATGGCCCCGCTATGCCCGCCTTGTGCCTCGGGACGCGCCCCAGCTACGCGCCGGGACATCGCTGTGTGTTCTGAGCTGTTTGACCCTTGTTGGGTTTGGTTGGGGTTTGAATCTCCAGTTGGTACGTATTAGGTGGGCAGCCGATGACTGCAGAGAAAAACCAAAACGGAAAAACGGAAAAAAAGCCCTCCCCAAACCAAAAAACTTAACAACCAATATGGCGAGGAATGGAGAGGAGGATCCTATTGTCTTGGAGGGCCACTGGAATCTACTTCGGCTTATGAACCGTTCTCCGAAAAGAGCGCCGCTGGGCTGGTTAGGAGAAAACCTCTGTTCTGTGTTTCCTACTTCTGTGTACATTCTTGGGTTCAAAGTTTGGTTTTGACTTTATTTAAAAAACAAAAAACCACCATAATAAAAAAGCAGCGGCTGCCGCCCTGTTGAGTCTCTCTCTCTGTCTCTGTCTCTCTGTCTCTGTGCTTGTAGCTGTTCCTTGGAGCGCGGTGTGGTGTTCTTGATGTAGTGAGCTCAAATCTGCAGCTGTTTCTGGTACCTGAAGGAGGCTGCGTGTTCTCTCCAAGAAGAGCTAGGGGGTCCTACCCTGTGTGTTCATGAGCGATGTACAGAGGCAGAGCCGCCAAGGGCACGGTCCCCAGGGGGGCTGCCGAATCCCTGCTCACTCCGAGCACCAGGGCGGCTCCCCGCCCCGCCGCTCTGCACGTGTTCTACTAATGTACCTTGGAGAAGAAAGCTGGGCTTTTCATGTTTCTGTCACAACTCATGTAATGCCATTGCTCACTCTGGGATTCACAAATGGGGGGGCTGGCCTCAGGAACAGAGGATGGCCCACCACGATGAGGAGAGTGGGGCGGGCGCCCCAGAAGCCCGCCTGCCCAGCCCTGCCCCTCCACTTCCCCAGGGGAGACCCAAGGCCTCTGCTCGTGGGACCAGCAGAGGGGAGGAGCCCCCAGGGCAGCAGCACCACCCCCTGCCTTCTCCAACCAAGAAGTCAGCTAAGTCTTGGTGAATGAAGGGCTAGCTGCCCCATCCTCCACATGTGCTACGGGCCGAACAACAAGGCAGAGGACACCCTGGCAAGCTAGCAGGCCTCTCTCCTACCCCCAACTGAGGACAGAAAATGCCTTCTTCCCCATTCTGGCACAAGGCCTGAGCCTAAACCTGCAGGCTCCACTTCCCGCCCCGCCCCCACTTCTTTAGTGAGGAAATCAGTGGTCACTATTCTGTCTTCTTTCCCTTCAGGCCCAGGGCAGTCCAAGTGGCTCCTGTCTTTCGGAGCTGGAAAACCCCATTACTAGGCTGACCCACATGTGCCCTGAGGTCCCGAGGAGAGGCGGTAGGATACGTTGGAAAAGAATTCTAGATTTATAGCCAGAGGACCTGGGTTCACTCCCCAGCTCTGCAGCACCCTGGGCGCAACATCCTTTTAATTTCTCTGGGTCTGGTTTCCCCTTCAATAAGATGAGCTTAGTGGGAAAGACCCAATGACCTCTGAGGTCCCTTCTGCTCCAGAGCTCGCTGTGTCACCCCTGACCTGGCCCAGGGATCAAAATGCCTGCAAAGACAGGAGGGGCTATCCCCAGGGCCAGTGGCCCACAGGCCAGGAGTTCAGACAAAGGAATAGCTTACAGACAAGCTCCTTGTCCAAGGACTCGGCCCCGATGGCCCCCTTCTCTTCCCGGTTGGGTGCCAAAGCAGGAGCCACCAGCTGGTGGCCACAGAAGACCACCTGCTTCCTCCCCTGATCTGCCCTAAGTCCAATGGCATTACATGATACTGAGGCCGGCCTAGGAGTGTGCGAGTCGCCTGACAGGCAATGGCAGTGGGGAAGTGAGAGACAAAGAAGGCATCAAGGTTACCTTGTCCACTGAGGTTGGGGTTGGTATAGTCCCAGGTATCCTGATCATTCTTGAATACATTCAGACGTGTCGGCTACACAGAGAGAAATAATATCAGTCTGAGGCAACAGTAACTTGGCCTGAAATGCTTCAAGGAGCAGCGTCTGCCAGCAGTCAGCCTGGAGACCTCAGGACCCTTGGTGATGGTGGGGGTCATCCCCTAGGCAGCCAGTCTGCCAGCAGCCCCAGGCTCACTCACCTTAGCGTATTCAATCTTAAGGGTACAACAGCCAGAATAGATGTCAGCCCCATTGAGGGACGCTTTGGCTCGCTGAGCACTCTGCACGGAGTCAAATGTGAACAAAGTTAAGGAAATAGTACTAAAGAGAGAAAAATGTGCCAGCCTTCTACCAGCACCAGCCCTCTGCCAGAGGCCCTGGAAACAAAATAATTTCCTAGTAGCTGCAGGCCCTCACTCAAGGAGGCCAGCCAGACAGGAAATGAGTTACAATGGCCAAGTTTGGTCTCACTTGATGCACATAATGTGTGAACAACCAGCAGCCACTAACAGCTCTCAATCCTCTAATGCTTTTAAGGTTTGAAAAACGAGCTCCAACAAATCTTGTGAAAATAAGTAGTTCCGGGTACAGCTAGGTGGCGCAGTGGATAGAGCACCAGCCCTGGATTCAGGAGCACCTGAGTTCAAATCTGGCCTCAGACTCATAATACTTCCTAGCTGTGTGACTCTGGGCAAGTCACTTCACCCCAACTGCCTCACTAAAAAAAAAAAAATAGTGCCAACTGTGCCCATATTATAGATGAGAAGACTAAGCCTTAGCAGTTAAATGACTCGAGACGTGGGTGCCTGTCAGCCTGGCTGAGTGAGCACTACAGCTGCAACCTCCAGCTCCCTGCTCCCAGCAGCAAAGTACATCAGTCACTGAATCACTGGGCCAGCCCAGGCGGCCCAAGGGCCCCTGACCACCTGCCCTGGAGCCACAGCACACTCCAGCCACCAAGGATATTCCACCATGGCCTGGACTCCATTCTTCCGAAAGATGACAATTCTCTGGACAGGGCCACAAGGGTTGCAGATGGTATAAAGAACATCCTGAGCACAGACAAGAGGAAGGAGGTCAGTTCAGACTACAGGCAACTCTTGGCTCTCCCTCCCAGCTCTGAGGCACCCTGGGCCCCGCAAGCTCACCGTTGTAATGGAGTAGATGGGATTCAGGATAGTGAAGAGCAGCACGCTATTGACACTCCGTGAGTCGTCTGTGTCACCGGGCCGGGAGATCTTCTGGCTGGTTGAGTAGTTGACAAAAGCGGGGTGGCCGGCAATGTAGATCTGGTTGTCCGCTGCATAGTTCACAGCGTTGCAGGCCCCCAGGATGTCCTCGAACTCCACCAGAGCCTGCCTCTTTTTGGGCATCACCACCACATAACTAAAGGAGAGAAGAGGAGACAGCGTCAGGAAGCAGCAAGCCCAACGGCTGGCACTGCTTCACCACAGAATGAACGTGGGCACCAGAACACACAAAGAGAAAACCCTGCAAGCCAGGATGCCAGACCTCATGGGGAAGAGTCACCTGACTCTTCTGGGCTGAAGGCATGGGACAAGAAGCTAAACCACCTCTTAGCCTACAACTTATTATTTTGCCCCCCAAATCCTCTAGTGAATTACAGGACTGACTCTTGGTAGGAGAGGGGTCTAAGAGGGGCTCACTGGAGGCTGCCTCTAAAGTGAAAACACCCACCACACACTGAGTGGGGGAGGAGGCCACGGTGCATCAGGCAGCCCTGTGTCGGTGCCACTCAAAAGGGCCAAGCAGGGCCTCCGGACACCATGGTGGCAGAAATAAGAGGAGAAGAAGTACAGGTGTGGACAGGCTTACTGAACTGAACTGATGGGGAGGTTACCTCTGACCAGAAACTAAAAACATACAACCAGTGGATCACAGAATGGACACTTCTGTCCAGATCTCACATTTTGCAGATGAGGAAAGTAAGGTCCTATGGGTGTAAAGTGACTTGGCCAAGGTCCCATAAATAGGCAAGTGAAGCAGCTCAGCCAAGATCCAAACCCGAATCTCTGACTCCAGAAATCCAGTGAACCTCCCACTCTACAACACATCTGGGACCCCGACCTCTCCTAACAACGCATAAGCTAAAGCTCAGAGGTTTGGGGAATAACGTGGATGACGCAGGCTTGTCAAGGCACAGGCCTGAGAAAGAACGACAAACCTACCAAGTCAACGGAATCATAAGACCAAAGTGCCCAAAACTGGAAAATCCAATTCTCTTTGACTAAGTTTACTCAGGCACATAAACTACACGCACAAGTTGGACTGCTGAGGCCAGGACAAAAAATGGGGTACTATCAACCCAAGAAGCAGCAATAGGCAAAGGCATGGAACGCTGACACCCAGTCCTTCATGGAAAAACCATTCCCCTACTGATAAATGGTCAAAGGATATAAATAGGTTAAATGTCCCCAAGAAGAAATCCAAGCTATCAGTTTTATTCAGTGACGTCTGACTCTTCATGACTCCATTTGGGGTTTTTTCTTGGCAAAGATGCTAGAGTGGTTTGCCATTTCCTTCTTCAACTCATTTTACAGATGACAAAACTGAGGCAAAAGGTTAAGTGAGGTGCTGAGGGTCACACAGCTAGTGTATGAGGCTGGATCAGAACCCTGAAAGTTGAGTCTTCCTGACTCCAGGCCCAGCGCTCTAACCACTGGGCAATCTAGCTACCCCTAAGCTACTGATAGCCTCGTGAAAAAAACAAAAGCTCCAAATCACTAATAATTAGAGCAATGTTACACTGAAGCAACTCCGAGGTCCTGACTCACACTTACCAGACTGGCAAAACTGATTAAAAACAAATAGTGACAAATGTTGGAAGGCCTTGCTGCTACTTGGGTTATGTACCCCATTTTTTTGTCCTGGTCTCAGCAGGGAACAGGCCCATTAACGCCCTGTTGGTGGAACTCTGAATTAGTGAAGCCCTTCTAGAAAGCAATCTGGACCAAGGCCCAGAAAGTCACCAGAACTGTACATACCCTTTGAAACAGAAACTACTACAAAACTGACAGTTCAAAAAAGGGAAAGGGCCTATGTGTACAGAAATACTTAGAGCAGCTCTGTTTGGGTGCTCATCAATTGGGGAATGGCTGAACCAATTATGGCATGCGAACTCGCTAGAATACTGTTGTGCTATGAGAAATGATGAAGGGGATGTTCTGAGAAAAACCTGGGGAAAACATGCACAAAATGATAGAGTGAAGTGAGCTGAACCAGGAGAACAATTTAGACGGTAACAGCAACAGTATAAAAACGCACAACTTTGGAAGACTTCAGAATATCGTTCAATGCGGTGACCAACCATGATTTCAAATGAAATCTACACTTCCCGCCTCATGACAGACTCAGGGTGTAGAATGAGACTTGTTTTGGACATGGCCAATATGGGATTTTGGTTGATTATGCATCATTGGTTACCAGGGCTTTCTTTTTCCTTTATTCCCAATTGAGAGGGTGCGAGTAGGGGGAGAAAAGAGGTTTCTGTTAACTGGGAAAAAAAAAGTAATTTAAAAACAGAAAAGAGATCTCTTCTCTGTACTCGCTCCTAAGGGTAACAAATGATCACATCAAGATTATGAGCAGCAAGCAGAGCACCATCAGCCAGACTTGGCTAGGAAAGAGAACACTGAAATCATAAAGGTTTCTTCAGGGCGCCACCTTCCCCCCCTCCCCCACCCAATCCCACCATACCTGATAGGCCCAAATTCCTGCAAGGCCTCCACAAGATCAGCTTCCACCACACCATCAATCAGGCCTCTTATGTGGACAACCGGGGAGGCTGGGGTTTTGTGGGGGTCATCATAATTTTCCTGAGGAAAAGAAACAAGGCCCTGTTTCATTTTCTCCCTGTAAGCTACTGCTCGCTTACAGAAACTACCAGAGAATCCAAAATACCTCACATTCAAAAGATCAGTCAAGAAATGACTGTGACGTAAAGACAAAAGCCATCAACAAAGCAAATTCAGAAAAATAAACAACTGAGGCAAAGCCCCTGATGAAGGAAGCTCTCTGGCCCCCTCCCCATCCCCAGCTCACAGCAACATAGCATGCGTCTCCAAGTAAAGGTGGAGCCTGAAGAGAGGAAACAAGTTATTTGGAGACCTTAGACTGTAACTACGAAGAGATTAAAAACAGAAAGGGAGGAGGAGGAAGCAGAGCCCATACAAGGACAACCCTGCACTCTGTCCTGCTTCAAACCAGGCTGTACTCACAGACTGCCAACATCCCAAAGCCCTGTTTGCCTTGGCCACGCTCCCATGGAATCTCACAGCTAAAAACACTGGGGAGGATGGGAGCCTGGAAGGTCACCCATCCTACTCCTGCTCAAGACCAGCTCACTCCTGGGCTACCCTATCCTTCCTCCATCCAAGAATCAAGAGATTGTGAACCACAAGGGTCTTTAGAGACCATCAGGTGCAGCTCCTCGTTTTACAGATGAAGGAAACTGAGGCTGAAAGAACTTAAAAACTTGCCCAAGGTCACACAGCTAGCTAGTGATCGGGGCAGGATATTGAACTCTGATCTTCCTGGCTCCAAGTCTAGTTCTCTACTTGTCTCCTTAAAAGCTGGCAGGGAATGACCTCACTATATCAAAGGATAAGAAGGGTCCTCTCTAAAACTCAAGGATTAGCCAATTACAGTCTGCAGGAAAAGTTAAATTTCAGACAAAGAGCCCAGGCCCACCCCCACTAAAAGGGGTCAGTAGCCCACTGAATAGCCCACTCAAGGTCCTCCCTCTTCTAATCTAAGACCCTTAGTGATCATCTATAGTGCTCAAGGAAAAGCAGAGCTGTAGCCCTCAAACGGCAGTAGCCCCAGACCAGAAACAGCAGAGAAATCCCCTCATACTCTGACTTGTCAAAAACGGGCAAAAAGGCTTCTATTTCGTAACTAGCAGGGGCTTGGGGGTGGCTGCTGATCTCTGTGCCTCCTCCATTTGGCTAGGGGTGGGAGGAGGGGGAGGCAGACAGGGAGGAAGGGAAGGAGGGGGACACAAGACCCTAGCAGGAAGGAAGCTCATTAGACGAGTAAATTGAAACGGAGAGAGATTAGGGGGCCCTAAGGGTGGCAGGGGGCAGGCCCAGGACTGGAACCAAGGCACTGCCACTCTACGTGGGGAGGGCAGGCCAACACGGCCCCCTCAGCCAGGAAGCCACAGGGGTGGGGAGGGAGACATTAGCTACTTAGAGAGTAGATATTTAAGACCATGTCGACAGGGGTAGCTTCTATAAGCGTCAGCCACAAAAAGAGAAAGGTACCACCACGTGTGACCAACAGACGGACCAGGAGATGGATGGCAGACCTATTGCGCAGGCGCAAAGATCGCACCGTGCATTAACATCACCCCCCCACCAGCCTGCGCGCGCACCCACCCAACTGCCACCCACGCGAGGAGACCGCGCAGGCGCAAATTGTGAAGGCGAGCGCCAGCGGCCACCCCAACCATCCTCCCACCCCCGCCCCAGGAGCACACGCCTCGGCGGCCCCGCGCATGCGCAGTGGCGGCTCCGCAGCGCGAGCACAGCCGGCTCGAGCTTCCCTGAAAACGTTCGCCCCTCCCCCCTCCCGCGGCCCCAAAGACACGAGGCCGGCGCGCGCTCGCCCGACCCAAAATGAGGCTCTCAGCCCGCCCGCCCCGCCAGCCCCGTTAGGCCCCAGCCCCGCCTCACCCCTCCGCCGCCGCCGCCGCCCGCCGCCCCGGCTCCTCCCCCGCCGCCTCCGTGCTGCTCGCCAGCGTTGTCCGTCTTTAGTCGCTTTGGGGCCCGGCCGCCCTCGCTGCCGCCACCGCCGCCTCCTCCGCCTCCACCGTAGTAACGGCCGCCGCCGCCGCCACCGCCCGCCGCCGCCATCTTCACCATGGCTCCCGCTGCCCGCCGACGCCGCCGCTGCAGCTGCTGTGGTTCCTGATGCTCCTGCGGCTCCTCCAGTTGCTGCCGCTGCTCTTGCCGCCGCCGCCGCTTCTCCGCCCGGGGCAGCAGCCTCCGCGACATGGCGGCGCGAACCCGCCTCCCCCCGCCTCTCATTGGGGGAGGGACCCGCCCGTCACCCGCCGCCCCCTCCCGATAGGGGGAGCAGCCCCGCCCCGCCCCTCCAGCATCCTCATTGGCACTTCTGCCTGTCACTCAGGCGCCAGTCCCGCCCCCCCGCCCGCTGAGGTGGACTTTGATTGGCCCTGACTGGACCACTGCTCCCTGCCCCTCCTCCCTTGTGCGCGCTCCCGGCGCATTGCCGCCTGGCAACAAAGTCAAGTCTGATAGGGCCCAGCCACGGCCTTTTTTGAGTTCGATCCTGCTCTGCTCACGGCGCGCAGTAGAAGCCCCGCCTCCCTCTACGTTCATTGGCTGGTCACCCCGTCGGTCGAGTTGTATTCGAGGCTGAGTGCTTCGGACCACCAATTCTTCCTTCCATGACCGTAACATGTTTTCCCCCCTCTCTCCCGTCAGTGGTTGAAGCCCTTGCCTATCCAGAGGTGCTCGACGTTGATTAGTGCCTTAATGTGGAGGGGGTGGGGCGAGGCCACAATCACCTGCCCACGGCGTCGGGAGAAGCGGGCAGGGGAGGGTCACGTGGTTGGCCGAAGGGCGTGGAGAAGGGGACTAGAAAGGGGAATGCGGAATGAGAGGGTGCGGGGGACGAAATTCGTGCTAGCGTCCAAAATGACGGTAGCCAGCCGTGTCCTCGATAGCGGTGCTGAAAACACATCCCCATCTTACTTCCAGAGGAGTAGAGCTTGTCCTTAGCTCGTTCCTGCAACCTTATGAAACCACTGGACCTCAGTTTCCTCCACTTTTAAATGGGGGCGGGGAGGGGAGACTAGATGGTCAATCGGGCCCTCTATCTCTAAATTCTATTACCCTAAATTCTAAGCGAGGAGACCCCCGGCCCATGGCCGAAATTCTGGGTCTGAGCTGGGGGCAGCCCGGAAGGCTCAATGTCCCTTTGTCCCGCCCCTCCCTGCCCCCCCCCCCCCCCCCGCAAGCTTCAGTCTGGACGCGGGGTCCTGGAGGGTGTTTCAGTCCTCGGCCCTCGACTGAGCCTGGCCGCGGTGACCGTGGGCAAGCAGCCCCCTTCCCTGGCTACAAGATCCTGGGGCGAGGCTGCCTTGGAAATGCCCCCCACCCCCACCCAGTCACTGTGCCTGGACAGGTGTGTGTTCGCACGCGGCACGCACTCATTCACAGGCCTCTGCTGAAGGTCGCTCTCCCCCCATTCCCCACCAGTGAGCCATCCCCCTCAATTAAAAAGGGTCCCCACCTGCGTCAGAACTGCCATCCGGTCTCCAGTACGCGCTCCCCCACCTCCCTGGCATCCGCATTCCCAAACTCCTAGTACCCCGGCTGTGTCTCACCTCCATCTCTTTGAATCCTTCCTTTCGTTTAAAGCGAAAATATCGCATCGTACCTAAATCCTTTCCTGCCCCTCCCCCCATTACTTTGTATTTATTTGGTCTGTACTTTCATGTGTACAGGTTTTTTCCTTTCAGTGGAATCCATTGCTGTTCCTGGAGGCCAGGGACTGTTTTATTTCTGCCTTTGTGCCTGAATCTGAGTAGCCACTTGACAACTGGTAGATTAAAAACTGATTGAGGCAATCCCCTAACCTAACCAGAACAATCGGGGCAGAGCCGGAAGGAACCGTACAAGCTGCTCCAGGGATTCTTCTGTGTTTTTTCTGTTATCGGTCCCTTTGTCAGTCTAATGAAGCCTATGGATTCCTTCTCAGAATAATGTTTTCAAGGCTATACAATAAAATACGTAGAATTACAAAGAAAAAAATGTTGAAATACAGTTACCAAAATATTTTTTAAAACTCAGATTCATGGACACCAGGTTAAGAAACCCCTGATTTATTCTGACTTCCTCATTTTACCTTACACCTGTCTTTCCTCTTCTTTTTTCATTAAATGCCAAAGAGATAGACGTAGGGATGGAGAGGTTCAGCTGTTATAAAGGACATCTGTCAGGGCTGGGTCAGATCTTGAGCTCAGAAGGGGCTGACGGTGTTCCTCCCTCTCCCCCCTCCCCAGCGTCTTTCTCTTCTCTTCTCTCTCTCTGGACTGGAGAGTCTGTTTGGCAGCAACGTCAGAGAAATAGGCCAGAGACCTGAAAAAAAGCACGAGAGATTGCATCTGACCTCATTTCTCAGCTGACTGACTCACCTACCTCTCTGCAGCCAGACGCTGAGAACCGTGACTTTGAAAACTGTACGCCCTGAGTGTTAGCCTGGCTTGCTAGCCAGAAGCAGGATGGTAGGGAGATGACTTCCTTCACCCCAGGAAGCTTTGAAATCAGGGGTGGCTAGGTCCCTAGAACAGCATTCAAATGGGCATGTGAAAATAAACTTCACAAGGCAGGTGAGGGGGAGAGGAAGATACAGACACTAGCAGAAGAGGCTGAGCTTGATGACTCAAGTGTTTGGATTATATAGTTTTCATTTTTTATTTAATTCAGTAAATGTACTCTAATCTCTGGGTGGGTAATCCTTTCAGGTCCTGAAAACTTGGGAAGATGAGGATTTCAGTGGATGGGAGGGGCAAGCACGAGCCAAATAAATTATGAATTACTGTTGGAAATCTATTCATGCCCTCAGACTAAAAGACTAAGAGATTCCTACGATCAAAGGCCACAAGTGAGAAGGGACCTCAGATGCCTGTTTAATCCAGTCCCCTCGTTTTCAGATGAGAAAACTGAAGCCCATTTAGGTTAAGTGACTTGCCCATGATCACTCAGGTCGATCCTCTGACTTCAGATCCAGTGCTCTCTCTCCTGACCAAGCCAACTAACTGGAAAAAGCACAAAGGGAGGTGTTACCTAAGCTCCTGTGCCAAGGGACTGAAAGGGAAGTTAGCACCTGGGGTGGAAGCAGGTGCAGGGAAGGGAGCTGGAGCAGCCTAGGCTCAGAGCGCCACCTCATGGTGCACACAGAAATTGCACCCTGATTCCAGCCCCTTCTCTGCCTCTTACCAGTCAATGTCACCAGTGAAAGGGAGCACCTCTCTTTATGTGGAAGTAGGGAGAGGAGAAGACTTGCCCATGGTTACTCAATTCCCTGGAACTATTATTACCTGGGGCTAAAATTGTTTGAGTCTAACTTCCTAATTGCATGCCTTCCCCCCCTCCCCAACACCCACACTTTACTATCCTCTAAGCCCCATACACCATTGGAGATGCAACCATCTTAACTGCGAATGGTGGAAAAGGAAGCTTGGGCTGGGAGCAGGAGGCCCTGGTCCCTGCATTGGACCTAGCTGAGCTCTTTGCCTTGTGTACGATGGGGGAGGATAAACCCTGCTCAGTCCTGAGGGTCCCCTGAGAGAGCATCTCTGTAAACCTCGGGGATGGGAAATAATTCTGTGCAAAAGGGGCACAAAGGGACATTGACGACCAGCTCTCTGGGGACAAAGGGGCTCAGCTGTCCCAAGGAGACTAGAGTAAGGCCAACTGGAACTGTGTGTGTGAGCATGTAGAAAGGCCCCAGTGAGGCCCAGTCCCTGGAGGGGAGGAGACTTTTCTCCCCAGAACAATAGGAGATGCTGATGCTAGCTAGTCTTTCGTGAGCTCACACAGAAGTCTCTGTCTGCCCCTTAGCTGCCTTTGGCTGCCTCTCTATGCAGTGGCTTCGCCTACAGTGTGTCTGCTGGTCTCTGAAATCTCTCTGTCTCTCTGTCCCCAGACTGTCTCTGTCTCTGAGAAGTCTCCGTTGCTCCCAGTGTCTCTGCAGTTAGCATTAGAGAGAGATCACACTATAAATAAATCCTTCCCCTTGGAGGCCATAGCATTTGAAAAACTTCCTCCCTGCATGCCTCATCCCTCTTTTCCTCTTCATACCCCAGAGTATGGAAGGAGAGAGGAGAAAGTATGGAACTCAGAATATCTAGGTCTGTCCTCCCACCCCCACCCCACAAACATACCCCAGTAATAGTCATTCATTCAGATTCTCCATGAGCCCCACCCTAGGCCCTGGGGGAAGCCAAGCAGAGACAGCTTTCTCTTCCTCCACCCCCCAGGGAGGAGTCAGAAAGCTCCAGGACTAAAGACCCCCACCCCACCCCATGCCCAAGAGATGCTCTAGACAGAGAGGAAACCCAGGATGTGAGGCTAGAGGAGATAGGGATTGGGAAACAGCTCTGGTGGTATGAGAGGACTTAAGGGGGACTCCCCATAAAAACCAGGATCCCACAAAGTAAAACAAAAAAACTTAGATTTGCCCAAAGAAATCATCCCTCTGGGCATGGCCCCAGGAAAACTCAAAGTGGGAAAAAAAACAACTCTCTAGGATAGATCACACTGGGAATATGCTTGGGATACACTGAAACCCTTCTTGAACCTCCATCTGCCCCATAAGTCATGGGCCTCCACAGTGCCTGGCAACAGTTGCCCCACCAGTCTGAGGAAGGAGGGGTCCCAGGGGGCGGGAGGGAGTGACAGGTGGTGATGTCATCTTGTTCCTGCACCCTTCCTGACCTAAAATTCAACGGCAGAAGTCAGAAGCATAAGAGGTATGAGGAGCTCTTGAGAATGAGACTGTAATGAGACAATTCCAAAGAGACAAAAAAGGGGCGGGGCTGGAAGGATGAGCTCACCCACTAACCCCAATGATCCACCATGGTCACTGTGTGCACTGGCTAACTCAGAATGCTCTCAGAGGGACAAGTCATGCTGCGCTGCATTCCAGAGGTTACACAACACTTCCACCAAGTGCCATCTACTCCCTAACATCAAAATTCCATCTTTCTGACACTGACACTTTACTGGTGATGCTGACCACAGAACATCAGCATCTCAGAAGAATCAAAATTATAGGTGAGCAAATGGATGACAAACAGGCATATGTATCTCAAATGAGGACTAGTCTATCAGTTATGCAAAACCATTTCATTTCAGCCAGAAAGTGTAGGAAGGGAAAAGGAAGTGGGCCGATCATATCTCAAGGGCAAAGGCAAGAGCTGGAGGCCTCTTAATGCAGAAGGATTGGAATTTAATAATACTTCAAAGGATTGAGCTGACCTTTGCACCTTTGTCGGGACAGCAGGATAAAAATTCTTGTTTTGAAGTAAAATTATAGGGGAAGCTAGGTGACATAGTGGATGGAGCACTGGCCTTGGATTCAGGAGGACCTGAGTTGTTCAAATCCAGCCTCAGACACATAATACTCACTAGCTGTGTGACTCTGGGCAAGTTACTTAACCCCAATTGCCCTCACCAAAAAAAAAAAAAGAAGAAGTAAAATTATAATACCTACTTGTAATTATTTGTATTTAAAGTGAATTTGTACAGATGGTGAAAATTATAGTAAAATTATTTTTAAACTTTTGAAAAAAAATCATTGTGTTAATTAACACAATGGATGTACCACCATGATTCTTCTAGTGTTAAAAGACTGAGAAGAAGGCATGCAGTGCTTTGGTTATGGGAAGACCGAGATGAGAAGACCCGGGAGGAGGTTCTGCTGGCTTGTGATCTGCCCTGGTGGAAAGATGAGATTTTGGGTGCACGAAAGTAGAAAAGAAAGAAGGCCATGGCAGGCAACAGGATGAATCACAAAAAGGCCGCATGATTCTGTAAGAGCTATCTCTCAGAAACTCTGTGTGAGCTAGGGCTGAATATGAAGGCGAGAGATAACCAAAAAAACAGCCACGGCAAGGACAAGAGGAAAACCCCAGAAGGGAGACGCACCAAACAGAATGGAAAAGGCTGAATGATCCTCCTGCCTTCCGTCTCAATTCCATTTTCTTTACCTGGGAGGATGAGCTTTGGATTAAGAAGGATAAAACAGGAGGGCCCCAGGGGCCTGACCTGGAAGAGTTAGAAAAAAATCATCTGAGAAGGTGATCGATGTGGACTGGACAGGGACCCGGCAGTCTCGAAGCCAGGGGGACGGACCTTAGACAGCATTGAGAGGCACAGAGGGGCCTGAAGGAAAGCAGGGGGAGCCCCCAGGCCTGAGCCCTGGTCAGACCCTCATCAAGAGGTCTGGTTCAATTCTGGCAAAGACAGTAACAAGTTGGGCACGTGGCCAGGCAGGGGTGACCAAGATGCTGAGGATGTGGACATCGTGATTGGGCCCTCGAGGGGACAAAGGATTAGATCTCAGGGACTGGGCTGCCCCAAGATAAACTGGCTGGCTAGAATTCTTGTGGAACAGACTCCCCCTGGAAGAGCTGCTTCTGTGGCAGCCTGTAAAGGGGTCTTCATCAAGGACCATGGGCTCTCTTTTTCACTCTGTCCTCTCTACTCTCCAATGGATATGACCTAGAACTGTCTGGAGAAGGACATAGTGGGTGGGGGAAGGGAAGAGGTGGGTATTTAGTGCAGAGAAGAGAAGAACTGGGGGATGTAGGAGAGAGAGTTTGACAGTCTCTGAGGCTCTGAAGGCCTATTATATGGGAAAGAAACTATTTACTTTGCTTGGTCCTAGATGGCAAAAGCAGCAGTCAAGGTCTGCTCTTGATATGTGGAGACAAAATGTTAGCCTGATGTAGGAAAATGTCCTAATTATCAGTGCTGTGGCAAAATCAAACAGGCCACCTAGGGAGGTAGTGAACTTTCCAACCCTGAAGGTGCTCTGTCAGAGTCCAGGTGGCTGTTTGTCTAGGGGTGTTGTAAGAGGGACTTCCTGTTGTGAAATGGGAGGCCCCTTCTAGCTCTTAGCTTCTGTGATGGAGATGGGTTGGAGCTAAAAGAGGGGGAGCTTGAGGACCAGAGGCGGACCTGACTGTGGGCATGACCACAGGAACAAGGAAGAGACAAGAGAGTGTGAGACCAAGGGTATAGGTGGACAGGTGGGCCTTGTGCGGGAGAAGGGCACTTTTTCATTAGCAACATGGGAGTAAAAGAGGAGAGAGACAGAGAGAGAGAGAGGAAGGAGAGAGAGAAAGAGGGAGGGGGAAGGGGGAAAGAGAGAAAGAGAGAGGAGAGAGAGAGAGAAAAGGAGGGAGAGACACAGAGAGAGAGAAGGAGGGAGAGACAGAACAGAGAGAAAGAGGGAGAGAGAGAGAGACAGAGAACAGAGAAAGAAGAGAGAGGGAGGGAAAAAGAGAGAGAAGGAGGGAGGGGGAGAGAGAGAAAGAGAGAGGAGGGAAAGAAAGAGAGAGAGAAGGAGGGAGAGACAGAGAACAGAGAGAAAGAGGGAGAGAGAGAGACAGAGAGGGAGGGAGAGAGAGAGAAAGAAAGAGAGAAAGAGAAGGAGGGAGAGAGAAAGAGAGACAGAGAGAGAGAAAGAAGGAGGACAGAGGAAGGGAGAGACAGAGAGAAGGAAGTAGAGAGAGGTCACAGCAAATGGAACCTTCCCTCTGGATACTCCCTTCCCAGGAACCCCAATATCTAGTCCCTTCTTACAGGTCCCTAGACCAGCCCAAATGAGACACAGAGATTAGTGTTCAAGTACACTTGTTTTCAGATGGGGCAGGGTTAAGAAAGGCTGGGCTTGGCAGGCAGGAGACAGGGGAACATCTTTGAGCTGTGATTGTGGGCTCAAATGTCATGGGTCACAGGTCACTGGTGGTAAAGGAAGCAGCTGCCCCTGGCAGGCTGCCAATCTCAGCTCCAGACTTGTCCTCTTCCAGACTTTCCCAAGGTTTCTCAAGTTGCATGGATGGGCTGGGTTGGGGGAAGGGGGAAGATGGGAGTTAGGTCAAGGCAGCCTTGCTCGCCCCCAAAGTCCAGGTCTGCCTAGTCCTCGGTGTTCCCCACGGCCCAGCTGTTTAAAGGATGGGAGGAGGTTACCTGGCCACAGTGCAGCCTGAGGTGTGAAGCGTCCGACGGCGTTGCCAAAGTCGGATGGAGGCCCTGGCCTCATAGCTGAGGCCTTTTGGGGCTGGCCCAGATACTGCTGGCTGGAAGTGGGCTATGTGGTGAAGGGCCCCAAACCAAGTGGTAAGGTAATACCCGGCTGCAGGGTGGGAGTCAGTGGGACCAGTCATCTCTGGCCTAAGAGCCACAGCTCCCCAGGAAGTCTTGGCTGGCCGTTGAACCACGCCCGCTCCCCTGTAGCCTGTGCTGATCCTCCTCTGGGGGCCCTTCCCCAGCTCTGCAGAGTCTAGTACTGTGATCAGACCCTCCCACCCCCAGGGGAAGTCCAGCCTGTAATGAGGCCTCCATCCCTCCCACTGTATCCTGAGCATCCTGGCTCTAGGACAGCTCCCCACAGCCCTAGGGCCTTTCATTAAGCAGCTTTTGGAGACATCCTGCCTGCCTGCCTGCTCTCTGATATCTGCTGCAACCAGAGCCAGTGAGACCCCCAGAAACCTCCAACCCCCGCCTTACTCTCCCCCAGCAGCTCTGCAGGGTCCAGAATCTCCATCAGGAACTCCACATCCAGCTGGGTGGCCTCAATGTCTGGACTCCACAGAAGCTCCTCTGTCAGCGCTGGCAAGAAGTCATCAGCCCCCAGGGGTTCTGCAGGAAAGAGCTGTTGGGCTCATGGGGGCAGATGGGCCTCCCACACCAGCCCTTTGCCCACATAGGCCCCTCTTACCCTGGCTCCCACTCTGGGCGAGGCCTTCATACACATCCCGGCAGATGGCCAGCAGAAGGGCCACCTTGCGCTGTGGGGCCCAGACAGTGTGCAGGTGAGCCAGGCGGGCCTGGATGCGATGCCTGGTTGGGCTGGGGATGGGGGCTTCCTGCAGCGCCCAGGCCCGCATCACCTCCTGACGCCACTGTAGCTGCTGCAGATCCCGGGCCCTTAGCATCCGAAGCTTGGTCCACAGGACCGGCTGAAGGGGCCTCAGCACCACCCAGCACACAGCTGCCTCCACCATGGCTTCTGGGGATGTGACATCAGACAATGCCCGATGGGAGCTGGACCTACGGGGCTGCCCTCCCCTGTGCCAGACACCTTCTTCCCCACTCCCTTTTCAGCCTCCTTATGTGTCATCTTCCCCAGTAGAATGTAAGCTCCTTGAGGGTAGGGACTACCATTTCCTTATGTTTATATTTCTAGTGCTTAGCACGGTGCCTGGTACATAGAAGGTGATAATAAATTTTTCTTGATTGACTGACCCAGAGCCATACCTAGTATAGAACAACGGGGCCTTTCTTCCAGGCAGTGTCCACCATCACCATGCCTCACGTTGGATTACCACCCCAGGTCCCATCACCATGGAAATCTCTTCTGGGACCTGTCTTCCTCACACGGTCCTCTCTAACAGTGCCTCTCCACAAAGCTGAGTTTGCCCCAAGTGCAAGAATTGCTACTTCTGGCTCTGGGCTGACCTCTGACCAGCCCTATCCACCCCTCATTCCTTTGTCCTTCCCCTTCCTCCAGTCACTGACCCCACAGAGCTTGTCAGTATCTCCAGCTATGGATGAGAAGACAGACAGAAGAGAACCCTGACCCGCTCATGGGTGTAGAAAGGGAACATGGGCGTGCAGACCCATCTAGAAGGGGGCACGTGGTCAAACACAGACGGAAGGAGAAACATGGAGCTGAGCACAGGTGCCGAGAGGGGCCGGAGGGGTCTGGGCTAGACGAGAATGAAGCTGAGGAACACAATGCAAACCTGGGGATGGCTGATGGCTGGTCCTCCAGCCCATGCCCCCCAGATGTGATGTCAGACCTTCTCTTCCTGCCTAAAGGCCCCCACTCTTCCCCTCTCATGTGCAAATCTTACCTCTTACCTTACTGAGAAAAGCCAAGGGTGCCCTCTTCTTCACATCTCAACATCCCTCAACGTCATCCCCAATCTCTCCTCCTTTGTGTCAATCTCTGATGAAGAGATGACACTCCTCCTTGCCCAGGCCAGTTCCTTGACCCCCTACCACCTTGTTCCCTTGAATCTATCCCTTCCCATCCTTGGCATTGCTCCCATAATCATCCCATCCCTCTTCTCTCTCCCTCCTCTCTTTTCCTCTCCCTTTCTCTCTCTCTCTCTCTCTCTCTCTCTCTCTCTCTCTCTCTCTCTCTCTCTCTCTCTCTCTCTCTCTGTCTCTCTCTCTCTTTCTCTCTCTCTCTCCCTCCCTCTCCTTTTCTTCCCTTCTCCCTCTCTCCCTCTCTCTCTCTGTCTCTCTTGGATACTTTCTTCTACCTTGGCTTTCATGACCCCTCTCCTGGGTCTTCCTGTACCTGTCTGACTGCTCTTCCTCAGTCTCTATTGCAGGTACGTCACCCATGTCCCTTTCACCCACTCTGTCCTCAGCCCTCTTCTCTTTCCTCTCAATATTTTCTCACTTGCTGACTGATCGGCTCCCTCGGCTTCAATGGAGATACTGAAAGAATCTTCAGCTGCCCATTGGATATTTCGTATTGGATGTTCTGTAGGTTCTCCAGTTCAACATGTCCAAAACTGAACTTGTATTTCCCAAAAACAACACCTCTTTTTTTTTTTTCAAAGGAGGCAATCAGGGTTAAGTGATTTGCCCAGGGACACACAATTAGTGAGTATCATGTGTCTGAGGCCAGATTTGAACTCAGGTCCTCCTGACTCCAAGGCTAGAGTTCTATCCACTGCACCACCTAGCTGCCCTGTGATTTTTCCAAAGTGGGGTTTGACTACGTGACACCCTCCCCCCCCCACTCCATAAACTCATAGTGACACTCCTTCTGTTTGGCTTCTAGTCTGCTGCACAACCTTGGCCGTGCTCCAGGGCCCAACAACATTGGCTTCCTTGCCTACCCTTCAGTCACTTTTGCACATGGAGGACGATCTCTATGCCTAGCAAGCTCTTCCTCCTCACCTTCCACTCTCAGAAGCCCAAGTCTCTTTCAAAACTCTGGTCAAGAAACACCTTGGGCATGAAGCCCTTCCTGCTCCTCTTCCGGCTCCCCTTTCCCTGAATTAACTTCATATGTGTGTGTCTATGTGTATGTGTATGTGTATGTGTATGTGTATGTGTGTGTGTGTGCGCGCGCACGCGCACGGGTGCATGTGTGTGCATGCATGAGTGCCTGGGTGCCTCCCCTGAGAGAATGGAAGCTCTCTGAGGGCAGAGATAATTGTCTTTGCACCCTGCGTGCCTAACACAATGCCTGGCACAGAGCAGATGCTTATTAAATGCTTACTGATTGAATGATTGACATGAACATGTGTGGGAGGGGGGACTTATATGAGAGGGGCTGTATGTGGGAACACAGGAGTAGAATATTTCTGTCCCTGAGGTCATCTGTATTGTAGTATGTTCACACACGAGTGAACCTTAAAGCAATATATAAATAAGTCTATTCTAGGACATTAGCAATCATGAGTGGGCACACATTTGTGCACAAACACACTCACATACACACACACTCACATGCACACACACACACACACACACACACACACACACACACACGCGCACACGCACGCGTCCTTACCTAGATCCTCATGGTCCTGAGCAGGTGGGGCCATTCTGGCCCTGTAGGCAGCCTGGACCTCCGGGTCATTCACCAGGTGATCCTTGAGGTCGGTAAGGAGATGACGAATGTCCTGCAGCAGCTCAGTGGCTGGGTCCCCAGCCTCTGGCCCACAGGGACCACCCCGGGCTTCCCTGAGCCTGGCCTGAAGGGCTCGGTGCTGCTTGGCCACAAGGCTGCCCCGAGCCTGGGCCAGAGCCTGCACTCTCTGGTACACCCCATCGCCAGGCTCTGAGTCCTCGTCCCCCTCATCCTGGGCCTCGTCAGCCTCCACCAGCTTGTCCTCCCCTCCCTCCAGGCTGTAGAGGGACCAGGCCTCAGGCTCCGTCTCAGGACTAGGAGGACCCTCTATCCAGGAGACCCGATGAGGGCCCAGAGGTTGAGGGGCTATGAAGAGAGAGGGAGAGTGGAAAAGTGTCTGAACCTTCCCTTTCCCCATGACCTCCCTGCCATCCAGCCCCCCCAGGACCAGCCAGCCATCCAGAGTACCCATCCCATCCCTATCAGTTAGGTGTCAACCCTTCCCACTTACCTAGGGCATCCTTCTGAACTGGCTCTGAGGAGTCCCCCTCTTTGGGCTCCCAGGGCCCATGGTCCCTCAAGTACAGGGGATTCACCACAGAGAGGGCCCCTTTGACGGAGGTGATCCAGACCATGCCAATCTGGAGAGGTTCTGGGAGGAAGGAGGAAGTTAGAACTGGTAAGGAAGGGGTCAAGGCATCCAGGCTGTGCATCCCTCAGCCCCCAGACTCACCAGTAAGAGGGACTCCAGGCCCCATGGATCTGGGAAGGAGAAGCAGCGGCTGCGGCAGGATGTCCCTGGGGGAGAATAAGAGGGTCACAACGAGGGGAAGGTGAGGGACTCCCTTCCAAGTCCTCCTGTGCTCCGCAATCCCCCCCCGACCCTACCTGCTGGTGGAGAGGAAGGCCAAGAGTTCAGGCAAATCTGAGAAGCTGAGCTGGGAGCCCTGAAGGGCCACTCCTAGGGACAAGGGAGGGCAGTTGGCCAGCCATTCCCCTGGGCTCCTTTTCCCTCTACCCAGGCCCTAGGAGGGCTTGCCTCTCTTACTTACAGCCTAGACAAGGCATAGACTTTGGTTTCCTATGTCAATGCTGAGGGCAGTGAGAGGGTCCTGGATACCTGGGGAAAGAGCTGAGGGTCTGGGTTTGGGCTAGGGGGTCAGGCACCTGGAAGGAAAGGGGATGAGGTCTGGTCCCCTGCTGGGGTTTGTGGCTGGGGATGGGCCTGGGGGGTCTAGAGGTTTTGAGATCAGGTTCCTCACCTGTAGGGGTCTCCAGAATCCGGAAGGTTCCCATGGCCTCCGGGTGGGGGTCTGTATTCATCGTCAGGGCCAGGCTCAGGCCAAACCCTGTGACTAGGAAACTCTGGAGGGGTCACAAGGAACAAAGAAGAGGGGTTACCTAGAGGGAATGAGGGAAGAGAAGCCACATGAGGGGCCCCCGGAGCCTCTGAAGGGCTTCTTTGGAGACCAGTGAGCAGAAGGGCCAAGGGGCACACTCACCCCTGGGGGCTGCAGGGCCAGGATGTCTAGAGAACTCCGGGCATCCAGGTGTGGGACCTGCCACACGCCCCGGGTCCTCATCAGATGGAGTCTCAGCTCGGTGAGCCTGGGGAAGGTTAGGGCTGTCTCAGCTGCCCCATTCACCAGGGCCCACTCCCACAGCTAAGGCGGAGGCTGGCCTCAGAGAGCCCAAACCCAGAGGAATGTCAGGAAGCAGGACCGTGGGAGCAGAGTTAACAATCCTGGGAATTGGGGTTCGGGGAATCCTCCTCCTCAACCTGAGAAGTGGGGGGGGGCCGAGCAAGGGTAACGTGAGTGTGATGAAGAGTGGAGCGTGAGGGACTCAGGATTGGTTTGGAGAAGGAAATGATCACAGCACACACTGCACCCCCTCACCTTTCCCCCTCCAGTAGATGTCCATCTCCTGAATCCTTGGACTGGTGCATGCTCCAGGCACACAGGCCAGGGGTCACTGACCAGCCCCGGGGGAATCCAAGGCCCGGCTCTTGGACCTGGGCAAAGGGGCTGGGTCTTGGACATCAAGGATATCTTTCCCCATTACAGATGATCCCCCCAACCTTAGGATCTGGCCATAGGTATGGGGCAGGGACTGTCTGTGGGAGAGGGCATGGGGTCCTGCATCAGGGCTCCTAGGACCAGGGATAGAGAAGGCTAGATGGCCAGGAGGGGAGAAGAGGCAGGGCTAGGGGCTGGATGCCATGGTCCTAGGGAAGAAGAGATTAGGGAGGTCCCAGGGGATGAGAAGAGAGAGTGGGGCTTGGCTGCCTGGGTCCCCGGGTCCCAGGGGAGAATAAAGGGGAAGGCTGGGCACCTGGGTTCCCAAGGGACCCAGATTACCTGTTCTTCATGGGGAAGGTTCCAGAGCAACAGGAAGTGAAATCATTACTCCCCTGAGAGGAACCCAGCTGGGTCAAGAGCGGAAGGGGGGAGGGGGAGGGGCCACACTGAAAACTTCCTCTCCTCACTCTTTGGGAGTCAGGTGTCTGGCCTTGGTGCCTCAGGGGTGGGGGACTGGGGCAGAGGACATGTCTTGGGGTCCCCAGGAAACTTGGATCTCAATCCTTCTGATGTGTGAATACAGGAATTCTCATGTTCTCCTCCCCCCATTTCACCCCAGCCTATTTCCTGAAGCGACCGGAAAGCCCAGCAGGTTTCACTGCGGTGTGAGAGGTTTGGAAGATGAAGATGCAAGTCCTTCCTGCTGTCTAACACACTTCCTGCCTGCTGCACGGGGCAATGGGCTCCCCAACCCCCAAGATCCAGTAGTGCCCCCTTCAAGAGACAGACACAGATGGAGTGGGATCCCATTTTTGCTTTATTTAGCTTCAGTCACAGACACAACCCCCTCAGCTTTCTGCCCTCTTTCAATGTCCAAGGGAGGGTAGTAGAGTGTGGGGCATTGGGGCGCGTGGACGTGGGAAGCGTGGGCCCTCATCTCCCAGGCTCTGGGTTAGCTGTTAGAAGGGATGCAGAGGGCAGAGATACCAACCTCCCTGGGGAGGGGAGATATTGGGGTTCTAGGTCCTGAAGCCCCGAGGAGCAGGGCCCTGGGGAGGGTTAGAGACTGGGAGATGTTCAGGTCCAAACTCTCTCTGCTGAGAAGCTGGAGCCCAGGTACAGTTAGAGGTTAGAGCTTAGAGGCCCAGGGTGCCTCTCTCCCAGGGGTAGGTTTGGAGCCCAGGCCACATCCTGTCGGGAGCAGGGAGGCCCTCAGGAGGGTTAGAGATTAGGAGATGCTCATCCCCAAGAGGGTTAGAGATGAGGGCAGTGTCTGTCCCCTGGGCAGCAGCCCCAGGGCGAGGGAGCCCGAGTCTCTGGCCCCACTAGTGCGGCGTGGTGGCCAAATCACTGGGACTGCTGTCCTTTCTCAGTTTTGGTGGGGTCCTTGTCAGTCTGGGCAGACTTTCCTGTGGCACTGAGAGGATGTAGGCTGGCCCCAGCCTGGGCATCAATGGCCGCGTGCTCCTTTTTCATGAGTGCCTCCAGTTCTTTCTGTGGGCACAGAGAAGATGAGGTCAGCCACAGATGGCAATCGGGGGCAAGGCTGGAGATGGAGAGCCCATGCCCCAGAGTGGGGCAGGAGGCCCGCATGCATACCTTCCATCCCAGGAGGTCGGCCAGGGCGAGACAGCCCTCGTCACAGTCCCCAAGCCAGGCCACATCCCTAGGGAGAGGGACAGGTGAAAAATGGGGACAACTGTGTAGAATCTCCTGGCCCGCCCCCCACCCCTGTCTTGTTCCCAGCCTGCCCCCTTTCCCTGACCCAAGCCTCCAAATGACACCCCAGGCCAGTGGCTCCTCACCTGTAGGCCTTGTCCGAGTCGAAATCCATGCTTCCCTCCATACCCATGAGCCCCAAGAAGGGGTCCCGCTGTCAAAAGAGAAGATAATCAGAAAGCAGTGGGATGGAGGGGGGTGCTAAATGGTGGTCAGGGCTGGCAGTGGATAAAGGGGGACTGAATCAGAGGCCCCCAGAGGTCAGGCTCCTGCCTAGCAGTCTCCCTCAGACATGCTGAGCCTCCTCAGGCTGGGGGTCAGCCCTGAGCTACTGGGCCCAGAGAACACACTCACCTGTCCCGTCTTCTCTTTATTGATCAGGAGTCGAGGGGTGGCAAGTGGGGCCCTGGGGCGGGGGTGGACAGAGAAGAGAGAGTGAGGCGGCCCTTTCTCCCTTGGTCTCCCTCCCACCCCAGGGCCCCCTCCCCCCTGCCCGCATACTTGGTAACGAGGGAGGCAAAGGGTTGCACTTGCAGGGAGGTGCCCATGATAATAAGCAGATCCACCTTCTGGAAATCCTGGAGGACAAAGGAGGGATGAGCCGTTTTCACCTGCCCCACTGCCCCTCCCACAGAGCTCAGTCGGGAAGACCCTGGGCAGAGTTGGGCCAGAACACCATGTCCTCTGCCCTTGCTTCAGGCTGGCATTCAAGGCCCCTGGCTTGCTGATTCTCCCCCAACATTCCAGACTTCCTCTGGCCTTCCTTCACTCAGGCAGTCTCCTTTCCCAGAATACCCTGCAGTCTCCTCTGCCTCCCCCAGCCCACCTCATTCCTGTACCTGGGATCCCCCCATCACCCCAGCCACATCACTCTGGACCTGAGGGTCCTTCCCAGAACCACCACCAGGGGGAGCCCCACAGCCAACTCTGGGCTGTCCTGGGAAACCAAAGTGGGAGCCAGCCCTCCAGGCTTTAAGGGAACTGAATGAAATTCTCTGTGCACTGGGCAAGCTCCAGAGGCTCTGGGGCCTCAGTGGGATGAGGGGGAGCACAGGAGAGGGACCACCTACCGACTGCATGCAGGAGAAAAAGCGCGCTGGGAGGGTCTCTCCAAAGAAGACGATGTCTGGGGAGAGAGGCGGAGATGGGGAGACAGAGACAGAGAGGCAGAGATAGGGGAGAGACAGAGACAGGGGAGACAGAGACAGGGACAGAGAGGCAGAGATGGAGGAGAGACAGAGACAGGGACAGAGGACCCAGAGAGGCAGAGATAGAGGAGACAGAGACAGGGACAGAGGCAGGGACAGAGAGGCAGAGATAGAGGACAGACAGAGACAGAAAGACAAGGCAAAGAAGACAGAAAGGGACAGAGACAGAAAGGAAAGAAAGCAGAGCAATAAGGAGAGGAAAATGTGGCAGAGAGGGGAGATGCCAAAGCAAAGATGAACCAAGAGACCAAGACAGGAGACAGAGCCGGGGGGGGGGGAGAAAGAGAGGGCGAGAGGGAGGGAGAGAAAGAGAGGGAGACAGAAATTAAGACCGGAGAGACAGGGGATGGGGGGGGACTGGTCCCCAGGTGCCAGGAGAGAGTAAGAGGATGACAGCCAGGTGCTCCTGAGACTTGACCAGGGGCCCTCTAAATTGATTTGGAGAGAGGAGCCTTTTTGCTGTTTCCTGTGGCTCTTGACCTGTCCACTTCTAGGTGCCCCCCCTTCCCTTTCCCATGATTCACCTGGTTTCACTGGACTCTGGCATTTCTCACACTTGGGGGCTGCCTCGGAGAAGAATTTATCTGGGGGGAGAACACGAGGTAAAGAACAATGGGGTTGGGGGCTGGGGGAAGAGAGCAGCCAGGGGTTTGTGCCTCCCCTTCCTCAGGCCCCCTCCCCCTGCCTTCGGGGACCCAAGCCTCACCTTTCAACCAGCCCAGGTCATACTCTTTCCTGCAGCGGGAGCTGATACAGTGAGAGGTATGGAACGTCCCATGCGCTTCGACCAGATCCTCTGGCTCGAGCCCAGCCACCTGCTCCAGTGTGTCGACATTCTGGGGGGGGAGTAGAGGGGAAACAGCCAGTTGGGGCTCCTTCCCTCCTTCTGTCTCCTCCTTATCCCCCCACTAGACTTGAAGCTCCCTGAGGGAGGGACTCCGAACTCAGAAATGGGTATTTGCCCCAGTGACAACCGGGCTTTCTGCACAATGTCTGAGAATTATTTATTGAAATTAAACTAAATCTAAAGTTCACATCAGAATGGATGGAAAGAAAATCTGACTAGCATAAGAAATGATTGGCCAGTCATCAATTTAACCCTCAAAGACAGAGATATCATAGAATATTTTTGTTCTTTTCAAAAATAAACTTAACATATTTATAAAGGACAAGTGAAGGCAATTGATGCATGTGGTTATCATGGGGAAAAATTACATTTTTATTGTCACTGCCCATCTGGGGGGCTGCAGCCCCTCCTGACCTCTCAGGCTGCCCCCTGGGCCTGGCAGGACAGACCTGCCTCTGTAGGACACAGCCCACAGACTGTGGGCATCCCCTCCTCCCCCCTTCTCTGGCTGCCCTCACCTGGGTATAGCAGCGAAGCAGCAGCCCCTTGTCCTTCAGCAGGCGGATGAAGTAATGACACACGGTGGGCTATGGAAGGGTGGGGGGCCAAGGGACACACACACTTGTCATTGATGGGGTTAGGACAACTGAGACTCTCCCAGCTTCTCCACCCACCACTGTGGGAAGCAGCCAGCTCCACCAAGCCCACGTGGGGAAGCCCTGACTCTATCCCCCAACCCCAACCTCCAATGCTATACCTTTGCCGGATTGGGGGGGGGGGTCCCATCCTTTCCCTTTCCTCTGATTAAGCTCACCTTAAATTGCCCTGGGTACAGCTCCCGGGCCAGAGCAAAGAAGGGTTCAGGGTGTTTCTGGGGGAATAGGCAAAGACATATGAAGACACGTGAATCCTTCACTCTTTACAATGGGGAATGAAGTGAGGGGGACCTCTTATCCCCTACCCCTCAGCAGCCCAGATTTAGGGGTCCCACTAGTGATATTTGATAGGATGAAGGATTTACCAGCTAGTGTATGAGAGCGTGAAAGGTTCAGGATGGGGAGGGGCTCTCCCTCCTAGGAGTGGGTGAAAACCCCAAAGGTGGGCTGTTCTCAACGACTGTATTACCTTAAAGTAGCTGATATCAAAGATGGCTTCGGGGTAGGGAAGGTTGTACTTCTCCAAGTTGGCATAGAGGCCGGTGGTTGGGGAGCGGCAGTCAGGGATGCCAGCAGCTGGGGACAAGGGTAATAGAAGATGTATCCTTGGGGGAGGCCCACCTCACTAGTCAGAGGGGCCTTATCTCAACCCCGAGCTTAGCTCCTTGGGGGATTTGGCCCTTAATCCCAGACTCCCGGCCCCATTCTGGGGGGAAGCTTGGAGCTTGCCGGCAGAGGGACACAGCTACTCACATGTAGAGATCCCTGCTCCTACCATGCAGATGATATTCTGACCTGGAAGAGAAACAAGGTGGGGTGAGTGAGTGACGTCAAGACCAGAGCAGTCCAGGCTTGTTTTCTCCACTTCTTCCAGGAATCCCTATCAGGACTGCCTTGGCCCTCGGGGGCCCTCTGGAATCCTGGGGTGAGCCCCACCCTTTAGCTCTGGGTTCTCCCCTGGTCTAGCTGGTTCTCACTGGGTTTCATGAGCAATGGGGGAGGGGAGGAGGAGAAATGCTCCAGCCTAGGACATGGAGCTGAGGTTGGGTAGATGGGGTAAGGCATGTCACATAGACAACCTGAGCAAAGAATAGGAGGTGGGGAGAAGAAAGAACTCACATTGGTCACTCTGGATGAACTTGGCAACCCCTTCCAAGGAAAGTTCATCCAATAGCTTTTCCCGCTTCCCGCTGCCCAGGCCCAGGGTCCGGGAGAAGAGATTCCGTAAAAAGTCCACTGCGGGTCAGACCAGAGGATAAGGGTCACTCAGGGAGGGGGCAGGCACTGGGCCCAACACGGCTGCAGCCAGTTTTGATGCTCCCCATTCACCACCCTGGGCAACTCACTCTCTGTCTCTCCAGATGTAGCTCCACTCTCAGTTTCTGAGTCTGAGTCTGAGTCCTGGACAGGAGAAAATGGTCAGAGAGTGAAGAGGGTCAGGGGGACCCCCAGAAGGTTAGCGCTTGGGGAGAACAGATCACGGGAGGAGGGTTGGGAAAGGAGGGTCAAAAGGAAGAGGGTCAGAGGGAAGATGAGCCATTAGAAAGGAGAGTCAGAAAAGGAAGAAGAGGAGGGTCAGGGTTTGGGGAAAGAAAGTCAAAGGTGCGGAAGGTGGGGAGGGTCCTCAGAATGGGGGATGGGCAACAGATCTGCTGTTCCAGGGCTGGGGGTGGGGTGAACAATCCGTGTGGATCTGGGACACTGGGCGACCACTCCCTTGGGGAAAGCGGGGGAGGGCCATGGGCTGGGGAGGCGCGGATCCTCTCACGGGCCAATCACAGACTTCCTCTCCCTCCCCTAGCAGCCAATCACAGACCTCATCCCTCCCCGGCCAGCCAATCACGAACCTCCAAGGGCATCCCCTCTCACCTGAACATCCTGCACCTTCCCTGCCTCGTCCTGGGGGGGACCGGGGGCTAGGGAAGGGGGGTAGGGAGACAGGATTATATTGGAGGGGGGATGGGGTACTGTTGGCCTGGGGGCGGGGGCGGTGGCGAGAAGCGGGGAGGGTGACCCTAATTGGCCAGGGGATGGGGTGCAGAAGGGGCTTAGCAACTAGGTACCAGGCCTCCCAGAGATCACGGTCCTTAGCAACCAGAACCACTCCACCACCTGCCCCTTAGCAACCGAGACACCTCTTTCCTGCCCCCCCTAAATCGAGACCTTTAGGTACTGGACATGCCAGGAACTACGAGCCCTCACCTTAGCCCCCAACCAGCCTTAGCCGGCGCTGCGGAGACCGAGGTCCCCAGGATCCCCCCCACCCATTCCCCTATCCTCCCTTTCCCCCACCCACCCCCGCCCTCCAATGGGGCCCCACGCGTGGTTTCCGGGTGGCGAGTCCCCGGAGCCATTCACCCCTGGGTCCTGGTCCTAGGCCCGGCCCACCTGCCCACCCGGGCCCCGACTCACGGTCTTTCTCGGCCATGGGCCCGGGGAAGGGCTCAGCAGCGCGGGAGGCGGGCAGGGGTCCTCGGGGCTGTCACCGACTGCTCCGTCCCGTGACGGCGCTGGACACGGGGGTGGGCGGGGGCGGGGAGGGCTGGCGACGCACTACAAATCCGAGAAGAGTATGTGGCAATCGCGGGAATCCCACAATACCTCGCGCCATCATTCCGCCGATTTAAAGGCCGGCGTGCCCCAGAAACCACGATTCCCGTCCTGCCTGGCGCCGGAAGCCGTCTGGGTAAAGCTGTGACTGGGGGCGGAGCCGCGGGGGGGCCTCCCCCCGAGCAGGCCAATCGCGTCTTTTCTATTGGACAACTTGGCGCGAGGGGCGGAGTCCTGCCGGGGAAGGTTCCGCGATCTTATTGGCAGCCGTCTCGAAAAGGGGCGGGGCGGCTCGCCCCGATTGGTCTGAGCGCTGAGCGAGTTGGGGTGCTGGGGGAATTCCCCGGGTCCTCGGAATCCCCGGGCCGGCGGCTGCGGCGGCGGCGACGACTCCGGATGGGCCGGGGGGGGCCCGGGAGAGGAGGGCTCTGCGTAGGCCATGGCGGCCCCGGCGGGGCCCGTGAAGTCCGGGGACGGCGGGTTCGCGGACGAGTGGTGCGATAGTGGGCTCGGGTCTCTGGGGCCCGATGGGCTCGGGACCCCGGCGGACGGGGCTCGGGACGGGGCGGACGAGGACGAGGACGAAGAGCCGGCGAGCTGGGCCCCCGAGGTGTTCGGCTACGTGACGGAGGACGGGGACACGTAAGGGGCCAGCCGCTGCCCCCTGCCCTGTGACGCCTCGCCCCCCTCCACCCTGCCCTGATCTCTGACCCCCTGCCCCCAAGACTCCCCCCTTCCCCCAGAGGCTGCCCACCCCTCGGGGAGCTACTGTCCAGAGGTGGAGGCCGGGCATCGCCCCCTCTTACAGAGGAGGAAAGTGAGGCAGGGAGGAGAGGTGTGAAGACGAGGCCAGGGGGCTGCCCCATGTAGGTCTCTCTCCTCTGGGGTCCTCAGGCAGGCTCACGTGGTGGCGGGAAAGGGGGTGTTTAGGTACGGTTTGGATTAGGCCCTTTCCAGCTCTGAGATTCTGTTTCTCCCCAAACCTCCAATCCTCTGATGCCCCTTCTTTTCCCTTTGAACAGGGACTCCTTTAGGGAGCATAATTTCCTGCACTCCCTGCACCCCTACTGCCCCCCAGCCAGGCCCTGGCCTCAAAGGTGACCCCTGACCCCCCCCCTCACTGTGTGTGTCCCTCCACCCTGTAGGGCCTTGCACTTGGCAGTGATTCACCAGCATGAAGCCTTCCTCGACTTCCTGCTTCATTTCACAGCAGGAACAGAATATCTGGATCTCCAGAATGACCTGGGCCAGGTGAGGTCCTTCCCCTGACTGTGGATGGGGCAGGTGGGGTGGGGAGGAGACCCTTTCAACCTGACGATTAGACTGGTCACTGTCTCTGCATCCCACTCTGGGGACTGACCATTTTCTGTTTGCATGGGTGTTCATCTGTCCACAGACGGCTCTGCATATAGCGGCCATCCTCGGAGAGGCAGCCATAACTCAGAAGCTGCGGGCGGCAGGGGCCGGGCTCTGTGTGGCTGAGAGAGGGGGACACACGCCCCTGCACCTGGCCTGTCGGGCTGGGGCTCATGCCTGTGCCCGCGCCCTTTTGGGGCCCCCTGAGGGCCAGGCAACACAGGGGGAGGATGAAGATGAGGATGAGCAGGAGAGATTAGACCAGCTGGAGTGTACCAACTACCAGGGTATGGCCCCAGCTGATGCTTCTCCCCTCTCACAGGCCTGGCCTGATCACTGGAGGACCGAGTTGTCTTCCAAACAGTAATGATAAAAATCATAGCAATAGGTAACATTGACATAGCAGTCCCTCTGTCCCAGGCGCTGTGCCAAATGCTTTCCCAGCATTATCTCACTTGATCTTCCTAACAGCTTTGTGGAGTAGATGCTGTTATTGTCCCCATTTTATAGATGAGACAAATGGGTCAGAGACTAGCCCAGGGTCACACAGCTAGTAAGTGTCTGAGGGCGGATTTGAACTCAGGTCCAAATCCCCACAAATAAATGTTCTCCCATTTCCTTTGAGTATCCTTGTTTGCTTTAAATACTTTCTGAATGCATTCTCTATGTGCCTTCTAAATCTTCCCATCTTTGTTTCTCTAAAATAACCCCCAAGGCCACACTCCGCTCCACGTGGCTGTGATCCACGGGGACACAGAGATGGTTCAGTTGCTCCGGGAAGCAGGGGCCGATCTCAACAAACCAGTAAGGACATGGAACCCCACCTGCCCCTTGACCTCCTCAGGCCCTTTTTCTGTGCCCTTGTTCCCCTCCTTCTGTATTTCTGTTCTGTGAGATTCTTTTCTGCACCCCCAGCTCCTTTCCCTAGATTGGGAGAGTCTCAATGAGGGAGATTACTGGTTTCCTCTGAGAGGGAACTGTAAAACAGGTGGTGGCCCCCAGTGGGCAGAGGGGCCTCTTTGAGACAAGCAGGCTCTCCCTCAGACCGTACATAGTTTGAAAGACAAGGTGGGTTTGGTGTGAAGATACTGGGCCCTGCAAATGGGGGGACAGGCCCAACTTCTAGGGAGAGGCTGTTGTCAGTGCAAGCCTCCTGTCCGCAGCGGTGACTGGGTATAGATTAGGAGGAGGGAGGGGTGCTGGGGCTTCAGAGAGGGGAGGGCCGTGCCTCAGCATGCACTGTCTCCTTCCCAATCAGGAGCCCACATGTGGGCGGAGTCCCCTCCACCTGGCTGTGGAGGCAGAGGCAGCTGAGGTCCTGGAGTTGCTCTTGGACGGCGGTGCAGACCCCAAGGCCCAAATGTATGGAGGCCGCACGCCACTGGGGAGTGCCACACTTCGGTCAGACCCCCTCCTCGCCCATCTCCTGCGTGCTCACGGGGCCCCGGAGCCCGAGTCTGAGGACGAGGAAGACTACAGGCCCAGAGGCAGCGACAGTGATGAGGGTGTAAGTGACCTGTGGGCATTCAGGCCCTGAGAGACCTGCATGATTGGGGTGGAGGGAGAGAAGGCTGGTGATGGGTGGTCTGGTAACGGGTCCTTCTGGAGGGGACAGAGGTGATGGGAGATGGGGGGAATGGGGGGAGGGAGTATAATAATTGAGCCCCGGATGGAGAAGCAAGTCCTGACCCCACTGTCCCCTAGGACGAGTATGATGACATCGTGGTCCATGGAAGCCGGAGCTGAAACTGAAGCTCGCCTTCCTCACTGGCTGTGTTTCTAGCCTATTTCTTTGCTTTTTTTTTTTTTTTGTAGAAAAGCCTTAATTTCAATAAAACCCTGGTTCCTCTGACTGGAATGTCCAAGGATCTGTGTTGGGGTCCATACCATCCAAATTCAGAAATAGACCAATGGGAAGGAAAGCCATGCTTTTACCTGTGCTTTATTCATGTTGGGGGAGAGGGGTAGCAGGAGGGAGCGGGTGGGGCAGAAGTCTCTGACCTCCCTTCCTCGAGTGAGCATTACTTGTCCCCCTCCCCCTACCCCCTGGGGAGGGGCTCCTGGGTGTGAGCAAGAAGGGCAGGAACCAGTCCATAGCCAGATGCGCCAAGAGGATCAAGGGTGGTTGGGGCAGGTGCCAGGGTCCGTTTGCTCCTCAGCCCCTCCTGCCTAGCACTTCAGCCACCCTCTTCAGCTCCTCCCCCATCTGCTCCAGGCGCTCCAGTTCACGTTCCTGGCCAGAAGGGAGACGGCACTTAGTGCTCTGAGGGTCCCCTCCATGCAAAAGTCCCAGCCTCCTGTGGCCTCCCCAGATGTGTCAGATGGAGGCTGGGACCATCCAAGCCCTTCTTCAGGGGCCAGGATAGGACTGGACCCTGGGTTTCATTCGTGTAGACAATTCCCAGGTGAGGGAACCTTCTCTGCAGGCTGGCATCTCTCCTGCAGCCCAATCTTAGGAGACTTGCTAAGAGCATGGAGGGGAAGTGACTTCTGGGGCCTCCCCTCTGCTGGTTATCCTGTCTAGAGCCTGCTTTGTATATGTGTGCACATGGTCTCCCTTGTTAGATTGCAAGCTCCTTGAGGGCAGGGACTGTCTTTTGCCTCCCTTTTAGATCTCTAGCACATAGCACAGTGCCTGGCACAGAGCAGGCACTTAATGCTGACTGACAGGCAGGACTTGAATGGGCCCTTCCTGCTTCCCCTCTGCCCTCCATCCTCCATGGGCCACCTTGGTTGCCATTGTCCCCAGTGGTCTGTCAGCCTTCCTGGCTCACCTTCTTCTCTGCCTCCTCCTCCTCCGACTCCTGCTCAGGATGGGACTGGTGGTGGTGGCGTCTGTGGGCAGGGCCAGCCCCCTGCCACAAGCTGTGGCCCCCACCTGACACCCTCACCCCCTTCTCCTCCTCTTCAAACTGGGCTGTCTCCTCGTCACTGGCCTTCTCTGCCATTCGTTTCTCCACACCCTGGCCCCAGCTCCTGCCCCGGCCCCAGGCCCCTGCCTCCTTCTTCTCCTTCTCCTCCTCCTCCTCCTCCTCCTCAGAGCCCCGGGTCCCCTCTTGTCTTTGCTTTCTGAGGTCATCCAGGGAATCCTCAGAGACCCAGGCTTCAGCTGCTCCCCTCCTCTTCTTCTTGTCCTCCTCTTCTTCCTCCTCTTGAACCCTGGCCTGACCCCTCACCTCCTGTTCCTTGATTTCTGACTTTTCCTTGGCCTTAACCTCCTCCTCTTCCTCCTTCTCCTCCTCCCTCACCTCCTGGCCCAACCTCTTCTCCCCCTCAACCTCCCCTGGGCCCCACTTTTTCTTCCTGAAATCCTCTTCCTCCACCTCCTCCTGCTCCTCTCTCTCTGCCTCGCTCTCAGGATCCAGATGGTGCTTGGAGATCTCTGAGTGAGAAAGGCAATGGAAGAAGATAGGCATCAGAGGCATTTTTCTCCTCCTCTTCATTCCCTCCTGGGCCACCCAAGGGAACCCTTAACTGAGGGTGGAGCCACCTACAGCCCTGGGGGATGAAGCCGTGCCCAGGAACCAGGTATCCTGGCCATACCTTGGTGCCTAAGCTCCTCTAGGGTCTGGAGCAGGGTTGTGAGCTGTTCATCTAGGGGCAGGAAGGATGGTGTTAATGGGCTGATGGAAGGGGGACACAAGAGAACTCAGGAGGGGGGCTGGGTGCTCATCATACCTTCCCGGAAGAGCTGTGTGCATGGACCCTGCCGAGGGCCCCCCTGGGTTAGCTTGTCTTTGAGGGCCTCTTCAAGGCATTGAGTGACCTAATGGGCAGTGAGGGAATCAGAGGAGGAGAATTGGGGAAACTGAGGGCATTTAGGGAAAAGGGGAACAGAGACAGCAGCAGCACGGAGAACAGAGGAGAGACCTGGGGCCTGGGAGACGCCTGCAGACAGATGAAGGGACACAAAATTTGGGCTAGAGGAAGGAGTCATGAGGGGGCAGAAGAGAGTCATTTGGAGAGAAAAGGGAGGTTTGGGAAATAGAATTTAAAGGTCAAGTCGGGGACAGGGGAGACAGGGATCAGAGGAGAAATGTGTTTAGGGGTTGGAGATGGGATTTGGGGCAAAGAAATCTAGGGACAAGATTTTGGGGTCCTGACCCCTCTCACCTCCTGTTTCAAGAGAGGTGAAGCACCAGCTGTGGGAAAAGAAGCAGAGGGCCTCAGTCAGGAAACCGGGCTTGAGCCCCCTTAGCCTAAGGAAGCAACCACCCAGCGCTGTCCGGGGTCCTGACCGTTCTCAGTGTCTCCTCAGCCCCCCCCCTTTCCTTTCTCCCCAAAAGCCTGGGGCTGGACCCGGCCCCATCGCCTCTCCCTCATCCCCCAGCGACATCCCTCCAGAGTTCCAGGAGTCCTCTTCCCTGTCCTATCCCCTGGGTATCGGTCAGTCCTTCCACTCTCCCCAGATGCCTGGGCCTTGCAGCTCACCCAGTCCCAGCAGCAGCAGCAGCAGCAGCAGCAGCAGGGACGCAAAGCCAGGCTGAGGCATGGTGGGGCCGAGTAGTCAGGGACTCCTGGGTCCGCTGTTCCTCAGCACTCCATAGGGTGGGCTCAGGCTTGGGGAGCTGGGCAAAGGAGGCAGAGCCTCAACTGCCGCCTTATATTTCTCCTGGACAGATGGGGTGGGCGGAGGAAGTGACGTCAATGACAGCCTGTCTCTACCTACCGCACCCCCCTCCAGCAGCCCCCAGGGGTGTAGGTGGAAGAGCAGCAGCTGGGATGCTTCCCAACTCCCAAGCTAAATTATTTACAAGGGATTAGAAGTGAGTTCTGCCATACAAATTACATTCACTCATCCTGCCTCCTCCAGGGAGCCCACCATGAAGATCCTAGCCTAACCCCTCCTTACCCAATTGACTTGGACACAGACACAGACACAGACACAGGTCTCCACACTGGAGTTTATTTGCCAATGTGGAAAGAAAGGGATAGAAGAGAATGGCACTCCCCCCACTCCAACTTCTTCCCCTAGTGGGACAGCAGGGACTGGGGGGGGCCTGAGCTATCCTCACTGCTCTGTAAGTGAGCCCTGTAAAGCAAGGATGGCCTTCCTCATCAACGGTCTTCATCGGGTGCCCAAATGCTGCCTTTATCCTCATTTGGTGCTAAAGGTACACATGGGGGTAAGGCAGTCGTCCCCCAGCTAGGGACCAAAGAGCCTGGAGCTGGACACGAACGTGTATGCGGTCAGGAGGCCCGGGGCTGGTTGGGACCAATGTATCTGAGGCGGGTGTGTGTTGGGGTGGAGATCCTGTCAGTGCCCAGGTAGGGCTGGAGGACGTCGGGAACCAGCACTGAGCCATCCTGCGTGGACAGGAGCTTGATGAGTGTCACTGGAGACCCCCCCCTCCCTTCCCCTCCACTGTAAAACCCATCCCCTCGATCAAGGCTCTGCTCCTCCCACCTTCTGCTGGTTGCTTTCCAGGAGAGCAATGAGGATGCGAGGTACTGCACAGCCTGTCCCATTGACCTGGGGGAGGGAAAAGCTTAGGCCAAAAATGCCCCCCCCAATCCTAAGAGGGGGCACAAAGACAGGGCCTGGGGAGGGCAGGCTTGGGGTGGGCTTCTGATGTGGGCATGGACTAGAAGGGGGGGCATCCTTGAAGAGATTTGAGAACCCTGAAGGGTCCTGGAGAAGCTTGGACAGGGTGGTCTCTGGAAGGATTTGACACCTCCCCTCACCGTATGCACATGCTGCAAATCCCCTGTCTCAGTCTCATACATTATATGAAGCCGCCTGCTTTGGAAATCTGTGCAGTTAGAGGCACTCGAGACCTGGGAAGGAATAGAGGGAAAGGTGCAGGCTCCTTAGGGAGATTCAGGCTGGACATCTCACCCCATAAGCTCTGGAGATGGGGCTCACCTCCCCAAAGCAGCCGCGGCCTGGCATCCAGGCCTCAATGTCAAACTTGCGGTAGGCAGGACGGCCAAGCTCTTGGGTAGGCATGTCCAAGACCCTGTGGGCCAAGCACAGAATTTCAAAATGTCAGGGATGAATAGGGCTCCAAAGAAGTCATCAGATTGGGGCAGCTAAGTGGTGCAGAGGATAGAGCACCGGCCATGGAGTCAGGAGGACCTGAGTTCAAATCCGACCTAAGACACATAACACTCATTACCTGTGTGACCCTGGGCAAGTCACTTAACTCTCTCTCTCTCTCTCTCTCTCTCACACATACACACACACACACAAAACACCAGATAGGGAAACTGAAGCAGGTTAGCTGGCATGATACAGATATCTGCCTTACAGGTAGGAAAACTGAGGCACAGAGTGGCGAAATAACTTCCCCAAGGTCCACAGGAGTTGTTAGTAGACATAGGCTTCAGAGCCAGGTGGTTTCTTTCTGACTAAATGGTGCTTTCCCTTGGGGACTGACTGGGGAGCCCCTCAGACTCCCCCCACACATACAGGCCCCACTGCTGACCGGAAGTGCAGGCCCAGCTCCGTCAGGATCTCCTTCTGCAAGGACACAAACTCCTCCAGCAGCCCTGAGCTGTGCTCTGTCCCTGAACACGTCAGCCCAAACATCTCTACCTGGGGGCGAGCGGATTAGGAGAGACGGGGGTCACCCAGGGCCTGGTCACTCTGCCCAGTGCTGGGCCCCAGTGTGGGTGAAGCTGGGGCTGGGTGTCTATGGTCTGACAAGGGAGAACAGAGGAGGTCACTGGTCTGCTCTGATGCTTCCTGGGAGTGAAGCTGACCTTGAGGAAGTGGTGGACTCTGAAGAGCCCCCAAGGGTCCTTCCCTGTGTTCGTCTCTGCCCGATAGCAGGTGCTGGAGCAGACCACCCTGCAGGGGAAGGGGATGTCAGGCCCAGAGATCCTGACAGGAGGGCTGGGGATGGAGGAGGAAGAGGGGGAATGAGGAGCAGCGGTCAGGACACAAGGAGGGGGCAGGGAAGGCCTGAAGTTGGGGGAGAAGTGCAGCCCCTAGGGGAAGACGTGGGCAGTGGTGGGGTGCAGCCCCTAGGGGAAGGCATGTGGGCTGAAGGATGTCACCTGATGGGCAAGTCCTTCCAAGATACCGCATGATCCATGAAGTATCCTGGGGGGTGGAAAGAGATGCCACCCAGCTCAGTGGAGGAGGGGATCCCCTGACTTACCCCCCTCTCCCAGCCCATTCCCCCAAGCCCTCACCTGCAATCCCCACCTCTGATGTCCCTGCCAGGTTGAGGTCCTCAAATCGGGAAGGATCAATGTTGTATATCTGAGAGGGGCTGGCATTGGGGCTCATCCCACAGCCCTCCTGGGGGGAAAGGAGGAGAGACTGGGCAGGGAACCCCTTCCCTCCAGTCTTTGTCCTGCAGGGCCTTCCATAAAGGTGTCTCCTCTGCGAGTTTCCAGCGTCTCCCACCCACCTCCCTCCCATCAGCCCTGCCTTTGGGGTCAGGACCCAATCTGGAGGGCTCTGGGCATGGGGGCAGTTCCCAAGGTGTAAGGTTCATCTCCCAAGCCATAGGCCAAGTGCCCTCCTTCACCACACACAAAGCTAGGCCCAAAACAGGCCCAACGCCCAGAGAGTAGGGAGAGGTGGGACTGGGGGCTCACAAACACAGTCACTCACAAACACAGCTCCTCTGAGCATGTCTGGCACCGTCATGGCTGTGAAACCCTGGGGGGGTACCGAGAAGAGAGGGTCAGGGGACCACAGGATGAAGTGAGGAGAGCCCCCCCCGACCACCCACCCTGCTTCCATCATAGCTCCCAGCGTCCCCCACTCTAGGGTGGGCCTAGCGTGTAGACAAGAGAAAACTCAGGGTCCAGGACCCCCAGCATGCCTAGCTCAGGAGATCACAAGATGTCAGAGCTAGAAGGGACCCAGGGGGCCTGGCCCCCACTTTCCTGAGGATCCAAATATCTCATTCCCACGTATCCCAAGACCTAGGTATCCCTGGATCCCTTGTTCCCTATGACACACGCTTACTGCTTCCTCCACCTGGTCTCTCCCCAGTCTCGGTCCCCACGGAGACCACTCCTTAGGCATCCCTTTCTTCCATCACCACGACTGAGGAGTTTCTGCCCTCTTCCCATCCCTAGGGCACAGGCAGGCCCCTCCATCCCTCAGACTCAGGTGGTACCCAGTGTCATCGTACCCTTTGGACAAGTTTGCTGAGGGTAAAGCTGACCAGAGCATGCTGTAGCAAAGCCCCGGGGCCACAAAGGTAATAGGAACGCTGGCCAGACACATGAGACAGGCGCCTGTATGGAGAGAGCCAGGCCTGAGGGGTGGCTGCAGGGCATGCACATGGACCACCCCAGCAGAGGCCTCCCCAGGCCCAGGGGAGGGTGGAGGATTGGTCCTGGGACACCGTGGGACACAGTGGGAGGGAAACAAAGGGAAATGGGGGGACGGGCAGGTGGCAGCCAGAACAGGAATACAATATTCATGGCAGGGCAAGGCTCCAGGCTGGAACTGTTCCCCACTGGGAGGCAGGCCCCGGATGCCAGCTGTCAGGAGTCAGGGGGTGGGCTGCTCACTTCTGACGGATGATATCGAGCTTCTCCCCAATCTCCAGGTGGCCCCGGGGGTGGAAGGCGAAGGCTGGACAAGGACAGACACAGGTGCACAGTCTGAGATGTACCCGGTGTGAAACGTATGCAATATGAGCAGGGCAGAGGTGCAGAGGGAGAGACAGGACAGAGGCAGAGGCAGAGCAGGGCAGAGGGAGAGACAGGAGGGAGGCAGAGACACAGCAGGGCAGAGGGAGAGACAGGAGGGGGGCAGAGGGAGAGACAGGAGGGAGGCAGAGGGAGAGACAGGAGGAAGGCAGAGACAGAGCAGGGCAGAGGCAGAGACAGGAGGGAGGCAGAGACAGAGCAGGGCAGAGGGAGAGACAGGAGGGAGGCAGAGACAGAGCAGGGCAGAGAGGCAGAGGAAGAGACAGGAGGGAGGCAGAGACAGAGCAGGGCTGAGGGAGAGATAGGAGGGAGGCAGAGACAGAGCAGAGCAGAGCAGAGGGAGAGACAGGAGGGAGGCAGAGACAGAGCAGGGCAGAGGGAGAGACAGGAGGGAGGGAGAGACAGAGCAGGGCAGAGGGAGAGACAGGAGGGAGGCAGAGACAGAGCAGGGCAGAGGGAGAGACAGGAGGGAGGCAGAGGGAGAGACAGAAGGAAGGCAGAGACAGGAGGGGGGCAGAGACAGAGAAAGGGCAGAGGGAGAGACAGGAGGGAGGCAGAGACAGAGCAGGGCAGAGAGGCAGAGGGAGAGAGACAAGATGGGGAGAGGGAAGGATGGGGAAAAGGACATACAGAAGAAAAGAGAAACAGAGACAGAGTCAAGCTAGGACAGAGGGATGGACAGAAACAAGGTAGATGGAGGATGATGGCCTAAGCCCGCACCCTGAGGGAAGGCCCACAGGAGAGGAAGTGGCCGCCTCGAGTGCCACTTACTTGGCTTTTCTCCGACCACCTCCAGGACCCGGGCCTGGCTCTCATCACCGACAGGCTGGAAGAGCAGAGAGAAAGTGGTTGTTGGGAATTGGGGGAGGGGGCCACAAGCTCCTCCCCTGCCCCGGGCCCCCCACTCACCACATCAGGGTGGGTCTGGTTGGGGAGTCGGAGAGCTCGCGTATAGAAAAGCTCTTCCAGATGGGCCTCATCGGCATACAAGGCTGCCAGACGTGTCCGGATCGACCTTCCCTGGGCCCGGGTGTTCTGATACATGGGATCCTGTGGCAGGTGATGGAGGCTAGACTTGGGGTGGGGGATCCACCTGGACATCCCTGAGTAGCCTGTACTCCAGAGCTGGGGGGAGGGGGCCTCTGCCCCCTCATTCCTCTCCCTCCCCCTACCAGGATCCCCCAAGCTCCATACCTGTTGGAGGACATCCTGGTCCTGGCTGACCTGGGGAGAGAATCACAGAACCCTGGGACCTTGGGCATACAAGGAGACAATCACTGCTGTGTGACTGGAGGTGAGGGCGCCGGCCCGGGACTCCAGGCCTGGCTTCTCATCTGGGTCCTTCCCTTCACCACCTGTGCAGAGGGAGGTCACCTCACCCTGCCAGGGCTGGGGAGCAGGCAGCCTCCCTTCCGGCCCTCACCCTATGAACTCCACCCCAAGCCCTGTGAGTCCTGGCAAGTGGCTGTTCCTCACTGAGCCTCCACCCAGGATTAAAATATCGATATTGTCATTATTACTATTAGCAGCTTCCCAGACTCAGAGTCAGGAAGACCTGGGTTCTAGTTCTGGCTCTGACACAAGCTGGACCTACCCGGAAACGCCCCGGGTCCCTGAGGTCCACGGCGGGTGCTGAGGAGCACTGGATGATGGAGCTCTCCGCCTTGTTGAAATCACACATCTGACCCTCGTGCGGGTCTCCTGAACCCAGCGTGTGTACCACCGTGCCCGGCACATGGGAGGCACCTCATTATTTATCGACAGGGGACCAGGTTCTTTCTGGATCAAGGGAAAGGGAACTAGCAGGGCTAAGTCACGTAACAGAGACAGCAGAGAGCCCCAGACAGCCATGGGATGAGAGACAGGGAATGGTTTTTGGCCTTTGAATCCCCAGCGTTTACACATAGTAGGTGCTTAATAAATACTATCTGATTGATCCACAATGCCTCCTTGTTCCCCATCCTATCACTGCTTGGCTGGGAAAGAAGCGGGCAGCACAGACCATCCCAGACCACTGGTGCAGCGGTGTCCCCCCACCTCTGGCCACGAGCTTCAGGAGCCGCCCAGATCCAGGTGCAATCTGGAGAAACGTGCTGTGTACTCTTTAGGCCAATGAGGCGAGGGGGGCTCCTTCCCTGGCTCTCTCCTGGAAGTGACCAAGTGTACTCTAGTTCTTCAGCAAGATGTGACCGGAAAAAGAGTGTGCGCATGTGAGTGTGTGCACACATATGTACACGTGTGTTGTGCACATGCCAGTGCCTCATCCCAAACAGGAACGCACGGGCCACGCCTCGGCCAGGCCAGTGCTAACACGTCTGTTCCCATGTCTGCTGAGAAGGCTGTCAAGCCTTGGCTCACCCAGCTCAGACTGCCCCAGTCTGGCCGACAGAAGGCAGCATACCCAGCTCCGACGGGGGACATGGTGGGGAGGGGGAGTCAGAGGTTCCAGCCCGCTGTGGGACTGGCGGTGAAGCCCACTCCCTCTCTGGGCCCCCGTTTCCTGATCTGTCAGATGACAGGGCTTGGCTCCGTGGGCGCTGGGGTCCCCATGGACCTGTGAACACCACGTCTCGGTCCTGTCTCGTTAGGAGAAGGCACCAGGGACCGGAGCTTCCTCGTCACTGCTGCAGGGAAATCCCTTTAACTGGGCAATGTGCTTGGACCGTGAGAGTCCTGAGGGACTTGCCTGGGCTCTGTGCCTCGGCTGGGGGACATCCAAGGCGAGACCTGAACTCACATCTTTCTAACACCAAGGTCTCCACTCTCTTTTTAAAAGCAAATACCCCCTGTTCTTGGTTGTAATCAACCAATCCCTCCCACAACACCGCCCCCTCCCCAAGTGATCAAAAAAAAACCCCAAAACTGAAAAATAAGTCATTTATAGAGAGGTGCACAGACCAGCGAAACAAACGCCCGCACTGGCCATGGCCAGAAATGTTTGTCTTTCTCTGTGTTTTAAGTCCATCCCTACTCCGGCAGGAGGGGTACTATTATTAATCCTATTTTACAGATCTAGAAACTGAGACAGGCAGCTTCAATGACGTGCCCAGGGCTACATAGTTAGTAGGCGTATGAATCAGGATTTGAACTTGCCGTCTGCAGGGCCCACTCTCCCCACCGGCACCACCTTGCTGCCTGCATCCTGCCCTTGGGTTTGGGGCTCTTCGTTGGGCTGATCCGAGTTCTAAAGTCTGCCAGTGTTTTCATCCTCTCTGATATTGTAAGCACAGTATAAGCTGTTCTCTTCATCCCACTGACTCGGCTAAGCATCTGTTCATTTTCCAGCTTCCTCACAAACTGTCTCTCCTGTCGTTCCTTACGGCCCCATGACGTGCCCCTTGCTCTACAGCTGCTGCCCATCCGGGTCCCATTCTCTAGCCACCACAGAGAGCGCTCAGTTAACAGATTTGTTTATTGGGGTCCTTTCCCTCCTTCTTTGTTCTCTTTGCGGGGAGGAACCCCGGGAAGTAGCTGTGTCCTGGTCACAGGGCGCTGCACGTGAGCAACACTGAGGCCCCGGATCTAGAACCGTGGCCCCCTGGACCTCAGCTGCCCACATCAAGGCCTCTCCTTTCTATCTGTTACACCCCAGTGATTTTCCTATGATGCTTTAGTTTATAAAATGCTTTATGTACAATTTATGTCTTTAAAAAAGCTAGGCCAGTGAATTCACTGGTACTAGGACTCCTGACAAGGAAGCCTTCTCCACCAATACGTGTGGTTACCAACACTGCGGGTCAAAGGGCCGGCATGTGCAGGAGCCGGGACTTGAACCTGCATCTTCCTAGATCGGAGGGCAGCTCATCAACTTCTTTTGATCACGTAATATTAACTGCTGTAGGGATGTCACAAGGGCAGTAAGTGGGCCTCATCCAAATATCCTGTCTCCCCTGCTTAAGACCATTAGACACTTAATACGTGTCTGATGAATGAACGGGTGGAAGCTAAGGCCAGAGGCTGGGAGGCCAACTTCACTCACCAGTAGAGCTTTGATCTTCTGGGCCACAGCTGCCTTCTCCTCCTCCAGGGCCCGGATCTCTTCCCTCAGTCTTCCTAGGGACTGCCAAGTAGAAATCTAGGGTGGGGCAATGGGGGAAAGTTAGAAAGAGAAACCGAGGCCAGGCAAAGAGAAGGCCTCTAGGGCTCCAGCTCTGAAACCTCCTGGCTCAAAAAGCAGTCTTGAGTGGCTGGAGCAGGAAAGCCGGGAGCAGCTGGCTACCCAACCCCACCAACGTCCTTCTCCCCTTTCTCCCGGCTCCTCCAGGGGCTCAGCACCCAGTCTTCTTCTGGAGGTTCAGTCACGGTCCACAGAAAGGAAATGTTTGTTCTGGGGGCTAGGGTGATGTATGTGACTTTGCCCAAGGGCCTTTCCCCTCTCACTGCGGCCTCAGTTTGCTAATCTAAAAACGAAGGGTTCAGCCTGGAGAGGGACTCGTGGGAAGAGTCAGTGGGAGATTCTGAGTCTTCCTCTGGTGATCAGAGGCAGCACTGGGGAGGTCACATCCCACCTCAGACACAGCCTGGCCGGGTGGCCCCTCACGAGTCACTGGACCTCCCAGTGCTCCAGGGATCACAAATTGTGCAAGAGGTACCAACCTGCACTACTGGATGGCATTTCCTGATTTAGGAATGCCTATCATCAGTGAAACACAGACCCATTATTATTGCATTTATTATGTTTTCATTATTACGTTTAGGGCCACATCAGTCAAACAGAGCCTAGTCCCTAATCCTGCTATCAAGTCACAGACTTCCTCCCTGAGCCTCAGCTTTCCTATCTGTAAAATGGGAAAAATAATAATAATAATGATAATGATAACATTTCCATAGTGTCTACTATGTGCCAGGCACTGTGCCCTCACAACAACCCCAGAAGGAAGGTGCTATGATTATCCTCATTTTACAGATGGGGAAACTGAGGCAGACAACGGTTACATGATTTGCCAAGAGTCACACAGGTCATATTTAAACTCAGGTCTTCCTCGCTACAGGCCTGGCATTCTGTCCATCGTACCACCTATCTGTCTCAGTTACCTAGCGCACGGGGTTCTGGTGAGGAAGAGATGTTTTTTAAACCTGTAAAGGACATGCTTTTTCTCTGAATATGCACATAAGTACACATGTCTCTGTTCCATTTATTTGTTAGTTTATTTATTTATTTATGGCTAGGCAATCAGGGTTAAGTGACTTGCCCAGGGTCACACAGCTAGCAAGTGTCAAGTATCTGAGGCTGCATTTGAACTCAGGTCCTCCTGACTCCAGAGCCAGTGCTCTATCTGCTTTGACACCTAGCCGCCTTGGAGCCAGTAAGACCCACGTTCAAATTCTGACTCATACACGTACCTGCTGCGTCTACCTCAGTTTCCTCATCTGTAAATCAGGAATAATAATAGCAGCTGCCATAAAATTAGCAAGATGCTTTACAAACTCAAGTCCCATACAAATGCCAGCAATTATTACTGGTGTCATGAGCCTTCGCACAACCCAATATCTTGCTGACTCTCAAAGCAACAAATGAATTATGATGATTTATAACCTCCTAGTTCATTAGAGAGGTGGTGGAGTACGGCGGTTGCCTTCTGGTAGCCTGCATTCTTTATTAGAAGGGACTTTTATGGGGGTGGGGGGTGGAGTCAACTGGGAAATGACGTAAGGGCAAAACAAAAAAGCCCAGAAAAGTTATCTCTGAAGGACCTTCCAAGTCCTAGGGCCCAGCCCAGGAACCCTGATCAGTGATTGTTTTGTCAATATTTGTCTTATTAAAATTAGATGTGCCATAATTAATTTCTGTAGATCAAATCACATCTTAAGTGCCCAAGGAGACGTGTTGAAAGGGACCCCCACGCTGCCAGAGGTCTCCTGCATAGTGAAATCTCTTTTTTTTTTTAATAAGGGAAATGCCCTGATTTCCACTAGATTTCCTATTAGGCACTTAATGAATGCCCAATGATGAATGATTCGATTGGTTTCCTAATAGTGAGTTTGCTTAAAGCAGGATCAGCTAGCACCCTAGCGAGGAATCCCCACCTCTCCTTTAAAGTACACAAGCCACGCCCCTATTTCCTCTCCCTTCGCCCCGCCTGGCCCCGCCCCACCCGCAGCTTGGCAGCGCAATGCGCCCCTCACAATCTCCGACAAGTCGGCGGGTCTCAGCTCCCCCTTGCGGTGCTCCAAGGCGCGCGCGGCCTCCTCTGGGTGCGCGCACAGGCTCTCCACGTCCAGCTGGGGGCGCGCGCTGTAGCCCTCACGCACATGCTCGTACAGGAGGTTCCGGGTGCGTCTCGGAACCCCACTAGAGGTACTGAGGTTCCTCTCCCTGCCCGGCCTTGGCGTTTCCTGGCGCGGGCGGCAGCAGCTCCGAAAAGGCATGGGGAGCAAGCGGAGAAATCGCCACGCCGTGGACGCCGCCATGTCGAATCCCGATTCACATGGAGACGCCCTCCCGGCCTCTAGGAACGGCGACCAATCAAAACGCGAGGATTCAACTTCCTCCGCTCTTACCCAATCAACGGCCAGAATGGGAAAAAAAAGAGCCTAGCGTGAATGAGTCGGGGACTCCTCGGAGACTGCGCCTGAAGGCGTCCAATCAGATGAGCCCCAACCAGAGAGACTGACAACCTTCCCGTCTAATCGGCATTCATTTCTGCATTGCATCGCAACGCCCCCTCCCGCCATGCCCATCGGATAATAAAACTAGCCAGTGGGATCCTGGAAGATCCGGAAGCCTGCCCACACGTCTGCTGCTTTAGAAGGTGAGAGCGGACAGATCCGGGGGTCTCTGGGCTCCCGTTCCGGAGCGGCCCATGCTTTGGGGAGGGACTTCTGGATGTAGCCCCGGGTTTTGAGGCTAGACTGCGGGGAGAGCTTTCCTGGAGGAGGTGGGGCGGGGGGCGGCCTGAGGCTGGACTGCAGGAAGCCTTTCCCGGGTTGGGGGAGGGTCACGAGCATCCTTGGGAGCCGGGTCAGTTTCCCTTTGGGGCGGGACTTCCTGTGCACATCTCCCGGCGCCTGAGGCTAAGCTGCAGGAGGGACATCCCTGGTGGGGAACGGTCTCCTAGCCCGGGTCAGCCTCTCCCTCTCTCTCCGTGGTTCCTACAGAAGGCGGTCGAAGGTCAGCATGGCGTACTGCAGCCTCTTCCGCCGCTTGAACTCCTCTCTGAGCCAGGGTAAGCACTTGTGGGGGACTGGGGAGCCACACTCCCACCTTCGTTTCCTGCGATTCTCTATTGCCCTGGAAATAAAATGCCCCGTAGGTGCTATCACCTTTCCCCCCAGAAAATCTGTATGATTTTTATTTACTAATCTGTGTTCAGGTCACATCTCCCAATAGAATTTGAGTGTCATGAGGCCAGGGACTGTTCCAGTTTTAGTTTTGTACCTCCTGCAGCCCTGAATTCTTGATGGACCAATGAAAACCCGGAGGTCCATCAAACCTGGGGACCTGCCCACAGGCACACTGGGAGTAAGTGGCAGAGCTGGGATCTTGTCTCTGAATTCAGTTATCTGTGCACCAGCGTTTGTGCAAAAGTATAGTTTGGGAAGATGCCTTTAACTTTTATATGTATTATGAGACAGACGGGGTGGGGAAGGGAATAAGCTTTTATGGAGTACCTACTACATGCCAGGAACTGTGCTAAGCTATGAGGTTTCTGGAAGAGGTAAAAGACAATCCCTGCCCCCAAGGAACTTAAAATGGAATGGGGGATGCAACATGTAAACAAACATATAACGAAGCAAGCTGTATTACAGGACAAATAGAAAATTTTTAAAGAGAGCAGCAACAGGAATTAGGGAGGGCTTCCTGAGATAGGGAGGGCTTCCTGAGATGGGGAGGTTTTAGTTAGGACTTAAAGGAAGCCAGGGAGGTCAGTAGTCAGAGTAGAGGAAGGAGAGATTTCCAGGGGAGAGAGATAGCCAGAGAGATTGCCCAGAGCCAAGAAATGGAACATCTTGTTCATGGAACAGCCAGTGTCACGGGAAGGTGTAAGAAGACTGGAAGGGTAGGAGGTGGTAGGTTATGAATGGCAGAGGGTCTTTGTGTTTGATCTGGAGGCAGTAGGGAGCTGCTAGAGTTTATTGGGTTGGGGAAGAGGGAAGTGACATGGTTGGGCCTTCGCTTTAGGAAAAACACTTTGGTGGGTGAATGAGGAGTGGGGAGAGACCTGAGGCAGGCAGATCTCCCAGAAATAGCCCAGGCATGAGGTGATGAGGGCCTGGACTGAGGTGGGGGCAGTGTCAGAGGAGGGAAGGGGGCATATTAGGGAGGTGTTGCAATGGTGAAATCAACAGGTCTTGGTAATGCCTTGGAAGTGGGGTGAGAGTAAGGAGCCCAGGAGGACTCCTGGGTTGGGAGCCTGGGGGATTGGGAGGAGGGAGGGGTCCTTATAGTAATACAGAAGGTGGGGAGGGTTTAGGGGGAAGGAGAATGAGTTCTGTTTTGGATTTTTTTTTTTGGCTAGGCAATGGAGTTAAGTGACTTGCCCAGGGTCACACAGTTAGTAAGTGTCAAGCGTCTGAGGCTGGATTTGAACTCAGATTCTCCTGACTCCAGGGGCAGTGCTACCTAGCTGCCCCCTGTTTTGGGCATGTTGAGTTTTAAGTGTGTACTAGACATCTACTTTAAGATGTCTGAAAGTCATTTGGAGATGGAAGATTGCAGGTCAGCAAAGAGACTGGGGCCAGATAGGTAGGTTTGAGAATTGTCAGCATAGAGATGCTAATTAAATCCATGGGAGCTGATGAGCTCACCAAGTGAAATAATATATAGAGAGAAGAAAAGAGTGCCCAGGACAGAGCCCTGAAGGACACCTAGTTAGAGGACATCATCCGGAGGAGGGTCCTGAAAAGGAAACAGAGAGTCAGGAGGAAAACAGGGGTGAGGGAGTGGTCTTGAAAACCTAGAGAAGAGATTATCAGAGTATCAAGGAGGAGACAGTGATGAACAGTGTCCAGGGCTGCAGAGAGATTCGAGGAGAATGAGGATTGAGAAAAGGCCCATAGGATTTGGCAGCTAAAAGATCACTGATCACTTTGCAGAGAGCGTTTCTGTGGGATATGTTTGGAAGCCAGATTGTAAGGGGCTAAGATGTGAGAAAGTGGAGGCACATGTTGTAGACGCCTTTTTGAGGAGTTTAGTAACAAAGAGCAGAAGAGATATAGAGTGATAGTTAGAAGAGATGGAGGGATTAAGTGAGATTTTCAGGATGGGGAAGACATGGGCACGTTTGTGAGAGGAGGGAAAGACTGAAAATAAGTGAAAGAATGGGGTGATGGAGGAAATCTGCTGGAGGAGATGGGATGGAATGGGATCACTTGAACAAGTAAAGGGTCAGCCTTAGTAAGGCCACCTCATCATGTGAGGCAGGGGTGATGGAGGAGAGAGGGGCCAAAGGCACTTGAGTGATTGGAGAAGAGAAAGAGGGGAGAAGAAGGAGCTCACGACAAATGGCCTCTATTTTTTCTGGAAAACCTGAGACAAAGTTCTCCGCCTAGATGATGAAGCAGAGGGAGCCTTGGGAGGTTTGAGGAGGGATGAAGAAGTTTGGAAGAGCCTCTACGAAGAGTAGGAACTTGAGTTGATTAGGGAGGTAGAGTAGGATTACCTGGTAGCAGTGAGAGCCCAGTTGAGGTTGTGCAACATTTTGCAGTTGAGGAACAAAGGTTAAAGGACTTGCCTGAGGTCGCACAACTAGTAAGATCTGGGTTTGAACTCAGGTCTTCTGACTCCAGGCCTAGCACTCTAGCCTTTGCTCTTCCAGCTGCCTGTAAGAGTTGCAGGAGGAATCATGGAGGACAGGCACTTGAGTTGGGAATTAGGTATTTTTAAAGCTCTTATTACGGAATTGTGCTGAGGACAGACCTATAAAGAAGGAAATAATCCCTGCTTTCAACAACAGGTAGGATCTCCTCCAGTCTTCCAGTCAGGAAAATGGGGGTAATCCCCTAAGTGGGGTAGGAGGAGTTGAGAAAGGAATGTATTCTTGGTTTAGAGAAAAATTCACAAAAGCCGGAAGCCAGATGATAAGGAGTAGCCCAGGCTGACAGAAAGCTGGGAGTGTGGTAGGAGGCTAGAAACATCTCTTAGGCCTTAAATGCCAGGCTGAATAACTTGGAATTTACTGGTCTAACATGGTTTTGAGCAGAGCTATGTTTTAGCAAAAAGATTCTGATCCCATTAAACTGGCTTGGAAGGGGCAGGGAGCCCAGGACGTCTTGTCTCTCTCCTTCCCTCATTTTACAGATGAGGAGACTGAGGCGAGGTGACTTGTTCAAGATCACAGGAGTAGTAAATGGTGGGATTTGAGCCCTGATCCTCTGACCCAAGATTCTAAGAAGACCAGGCACAGCACAGCAGGAAGAGGGCTGGATTTGTAATTCAGGGACCTAGGTTTGAATCCTGGCTTTGTCACTTGCTACCTGTGAGACGTAGGGCAATCTACCCCTGAGCCTCAGTGTTCCCGTTTGTAAAATATGGGGATTGTGTATGAATGCGTGGGCTTGTGTTACAGTTTGGTTTTTTTTTTTGGTGAGGCAGTGGGGTTAAATGACTTGCCCAAGGTCACACAGCTAGTGTCAGAGGTCAGATTTGAACTCAGGTCCTCCTGACTCCAAGGCCAGAGCTCTATCCACTGCACCACTAGCGGCCCCTTTTTTTAATTTAATTTAATTTTTTTAAGTTTTTGTGTTCCATTAAGAACTTTTTTCCTCAGTATTTTTAAAATTTGCATTGTGGATCTCTTTTTCCCTTCCCACTCCCGCAACCACTTCCCACTTAGCTGTCCCCTCTCGGTCCCCAGTGGACACCCTTCTTCATAACCAATCAGCTTAACCAAAGCTGTATGGGCCAGATGTTCCGCACCCACCCAGTGCCCCCGAAGGAGGAGGGCAACATTCAGTGTCTTCAGTCGCCGTGTCACTTATTTCCCCAGTTCTGCTCATCTGTGTGTCATTCCGCATTCATTCACACCCACCATATGTAGCAGAAGGCCACGATTTCATCTGCAGGCCTCTCTTTTGTTCCTATATCGGGATGCCTGTTTGTTGATGAAGCCCATGATAAAAAATGCAGTGAGGGTTGGTGTACCCGGGTGGGAGGTTCGTTGTGTGTCCCCGTTAACAAGGCCAAGCTCTGGCAGTGGAGGAGCCTGTACCATGGCGCTCTGCCATGTAGGTGCTCGGTGCCATCCAGAGGGGGAAGGGAAACACCACCAGTTACTGTTCTCGCCTCTGGGAGCAGGATCGGCAGCTGCTTTAGAGCCCCGGAGGGAGAGGTGGAGTAGGAGCTGTGAGCAGGGCCTGAAGTCATTTGAGCAAGTGGGCCCAGCGTCCTGGGGCTCTGTCTCTCTGCTCACATCTCCTTCCTCTTCCCCTCCAAATCAGCTCTCTGCCTGGTCCCGAAGATGCCGCAGAACCAGCACTGCCCCATGGCCACGCTTAACCAGATGCATCGCCACGGCCGCCCCAAATGGCCCCCGGCCCGCCCCGGCCCCTTGGACGGCTGTCCCCAGCTCAAGGCCGTGGTGCTGAAGACGATGATCCGGAAGCCCAAGAAGCCCAACTCTGCCAACCGCAAGTGCTGCCGCGTGCGCCTGAGCACAGGCCGTGAGGCCGTCTGCTTCATCCCCGGCGAGGGCCACAGCCTGCAGGAGCACAGCGTGGTCATGGTGGAGGGAGGCCGCACCCAGGACCTGCCAGGCGTCAGGCTCAAGGTCGTGCGGGGCAAGTACGACTGTGGCCACGTGCAGAAGAAGAAGTGACGGGGTGGCTGGGACGGATGGACAGATGTGGCGGGAGCCTGGGCAGCGAACAGGCGAATAATACCGTTGTGATGACCCTTTACTCGTGTCTAGCTTCTTCCAATTCCCAAAGCTCTCTCACATCCATCTGCCCCTCACAACTGGCCTATGGGATAGGTTGGCCAGGTGTTACCCCCATTTTACAGGTGAGGAGCACTGAGCCCCAAAGAGAAACTTGTCTGACATGCAGTCAGTCCCAGTGGGTTTTTCAGGCTGGGTAGGAGAGTGGGCCTCTAATCGGCCCTCCCAGGACCCCTGTGACATTCGGGGAGTGACAGGCCCAACTGAAGGAGCCCCACCTCTTACCGGAGAAATAAGATTCAGTGAAATGGAGCTAGACCCTGGAAGGTGTCGAAGACACCAGGCAGCCTGTGCTCCCCATGAGCCTGAGTGTGTCTGGGCTGGGCTTCAGGGCCTGCCTGAACATGGAAGAAGAGGGCCTTGGGGTGGAAGAGCTGGAGTTGGCCAAGGAGAGCTCGACCCTGGCCTTGGAAGAATGGGCAGGCTTTGGAGAAGGGGAGAAGAGGTGTCCCCAGTTGGGTATGAACCAGAGGACGGGGACAGCCAAGAGACTAACCCGCAGGCTGGGGAGGCCCCCCAGTAGAGGAGAAGGGTGCTGTGGGGTGACCTCAAAGGGTGTGGGATCAACCAGTGGAAGGGCCCAAAGGTAAGCCCCTGGCTACCCTCCCTACTAGGGTATCTCCAGCAGAACTCCACCAGCCTAGCCCAGGGAAATTCCCCACTTCCCGCCACCCCCTGGAGCGGCTGCTGGCTGAGGCTGGTATCTCAGGGCTGTGCTTTTGTTAGGGGTGGGACAGTCACACAGGAAGAGCAGGCTTGGAAAGATTGCAGTCAATGGGACATCTCATTACCTTATCTTTCCCCTTAAACTCACCCCTTTTCCCAACTTCCTTATTCTTACTGGCATCACCATCCTTGTAGTCAGCTTCCTGCACTTTGAATCCTATGGTTGCTAAATCTTGTTTCTCCAAAACATTTCTGCAGCCCTTCCCTTCTCGGTCACCCAGGCCCTGCCCTGTGCAGGCCTTTGCCCCTGAGCTGTCTCCCTCAGATCACACTCAGCTGGCTCTCAGGGGGATCTTCCTAAACCTACGTCACCCCTGCCTCAGTCAGCACCAGTGGGTTCCGGTCAGCACCTGGCTCAAATATAAAATCCTGTTTGGCTCTTAAAAGTTCTCAGGAACCCGACCCGACATGCCTTTGCTGTAGTCTCCAGGGTTATTCTCACACTTGTACAAAAAGGCAGCTCAGCTCTGCAGGCATGGATAGGGAATGGAGGGACAAAGCCATCCCAAAATCAGAGCTGGGTTAGAAAAAAGAACGAGAGGAGAGGAGAAACTGATTGCGGGAACGAAGGGGGAGCCAGCTCACTTCCCAGTCAGTCACATCAAGTGCCTGCTGTGTGCCGGGCACTGCACTAAGTGCTGGGCATACCAAGAGAGGCAGAAGATGGTGCCCCTGCCCTCAAGGAGCTTACAGTCTAACAGGAAAGACAACAAGCGAACAAAGCAAGTGTCCTATAGGATAAATAGGAAATAATTAACGGGGAAGCTTCCTAGAGGAAGTAGAATTGTAGCTGGAACTTAAAGGAACCCAGGGAGGTCAGTAGGCAGAGGGGAGGAGGGAGAGTGCTCCAGGCCTGGGAGGCAGCCAGAGAAAATGCTGAGATAGAGGGTCTTATTCTCGGAACAGCCCAGAGGCCAGGGTCACTGGATCGAGGAATATATACAGGGGAGTAAGGGGTAAGAAGGCTGTAGAAGTAGGGCAAGGTTATGAAGGGCTGTGAATGTCAGACGAAGGATTCTGTATTTGATCCTGGAGGTGATAGGGAGCCACTGAAGTTTATTGAGGGGGTGGGAGTACGGGTGGATGGCGTGGTTGGACCTGGGCTTTGGGAAAATCGCATTAGTGGCTGAACGGAGGATGGGTTGGAGTGGGGAGAGGCTTGAGGCAGGAGGTAGTGAGGGCCTGTACCAAATGGCGGCAGTGTCCGAAGAGAGAAGAGGGTGTGGGATATTGGGGGATGAGAGACAGTGAGGGGTCCAGGAAGACTCCTGGGTTGTGAGCCTGAGGGCCTGGGATGATGCTGCTGCCCTCTACCATGTTTGGGGGGAAAGACAATGCATGAGTTCTGTTTTGGACAGGTTTTGTTTATGACATCCACCCCAGTTGGAAATGCAAGATTGGAGGTCGGTCTGGGACAGAAAAGGTAGACATGACAGCCCCCGGCATAGAGATGGTCATTAAATCCACTGGAACGGATGAGATAAACAAGTGAGGTCGTAGTACCGAGAAAGACTAGGAGAGGGCGGAGGAAGAACCCCGAGGGATACCTAGGGTTAGAGGGTGTGATCCAGCAGATGAGACTGAGAAGGCGACTTTTGTTTGTGCCTTTGGCCATTGAAACACGACTCTGGAAAAGCTGGTCTGTTCCCTGGCTATTCTGTGCTATTAGGATACTGGTTGTATTGTGTCTCTTCCATTCAAAAGCATATTAAAACTGAAATCCACCTGCTTGTCTGGCTATGTGGATGACCAGTTCAGTGACTGAGCCTGTTTGTTAGGGGAAGGCTTGGGTGGGTGGGGGGGCAGAGATAGTGATGCAGAAGAGAAAGAATGTGAATGAAACAAACTGGAGAGATGAGGGGACAGAGGCAAACAGGGCACTTTTGTGATCTTGGCCATCCAATTGAATAGATGTGTTAGAAAGCCCAACAAAGATTTTCCTATACATGTAGTCCCTTTTGTGCTTTTGGGCTGTGTTTAATTTGCTAGTTTACCATTTATTTACTAGTCTGCCCTGGCCCACCCTGGTTAATTGTCTCCAGGACCCACCCTTATCCCTGGCTAATTTTCAGACTGTCATGAGAAGCAGTGGCAGGTGTGACTGACCATTGGAACCGCCCCTTCTTTCCCCTTCAGAAATATGGGCCTTGGGTGGGAAGGAGGGAACATCTGGAGGGGTAAGTATTTACTTTTCCCTGGGGCCCTGACCCCTCCTCCCTCAGAGTTCCCTATCTCACTCTGGGATGGATCTTTAACTGAGTGGATCAGTGAAGGGGTCTTGAAATAGATCTTGACGCTGACGTGAGTGAAGTGGGCACCATAGGGCCTGGCCCAGAACAGGGTCTTTGCCAGCATCTTCAAAAAAGACAAAGCAGACACCTTTTGGGAAATTGGTGAAAATGTGGGAGACCTGTAGAGGGGTGAATGGAAGACAGATGGTGTCTTGGGCTCTCACCTTCCCCAGGCCTCGTGGTTTCCCCCCTAGACTTCCTCCTGTCTCCCCCATTTTGAAGGCCCACCTGGATGTAGGGATTGTTATTCCAGCTGGGGATGGAATTGGGCTCAGCATGAAATCTGGCCAGCACAGTGCTTCCATTAGAGGCCACCAGTTTGAGGTGAAGCTGGTATAGGCAGCCTCAGGCTCCCCAGGGCAGGGAATGGAAAATCCCCCTCAGGGCTGTCTTCAACCAGTATCCACCCCCACCTTGAATCTGTCTTCCTGCCCAGAGACCCACCAGCCACCGATAGGGAACTCTGCCTGGGGATTATCCATCAGCTATGGCCAGGGCCCCTGGGGGGAGGCCCACAACCTGCTCCACCTGGGGAGGGAGCAGCGCTGATGGCTGTCGTCTCCCAGTGGGGTCACTGAAGGGGATTAGGACTTGGGGCACTTGCCCGATGGAAGACACAAAGCAAGTCTGGCCTTCATCCCCGGCACAGGTCTCAATTCTCTTCCATTTTCCAGTTTCCACCAAGGAGGCACATGTGTGTGTTGGGGGGAGGGGGTTGCAAAGGTAAAGAGGACAAAACCTCCCCCAATTCCCCATCCAGGGGCCTTTCCCCTAGACCCCCCTCGCCCTCCCCACAGGGATTTTGGAGCCGGTTTCATCCAGGATGCCCAGGTGGGCCCAGGAACAGGGCTTGGCAAGTAGCTTCAAGCACCCTCAGCCTGGGCCCAGAGAAGACGCCATATGCTGGCCTTCTACTGGTTCCCCGCTGGCGACACACAGCCCAGCACCATATCACCAGCACCGCTGGGGGCACATGGATCAGGATTTACAACAATTCCAGAAGCGGGGGGGCCTCGAGTTGAGAACCAGCCCCATCTCTAGTCCCAGCCCAGGCCTAGAGCCTGACACACATGCGGCTCCCAGGCCGGTCTCCTGTGGGAGACCCACTGACCCTCCTGACCCCCCTCAGAGATGGCCCCCTCCCCTCGGCCAGCGGGGCACCCCCTAGCCGGGCAGATCTTGCTCCAGGCAGAGAAGACTCCCATCCCCTGCTGAAGCATCTGCCTCTCCACCCTGGGGAAATCCTGTTGCAGTCCTCAGGCTCTGGCTCCTCAGTGCAGTCAGATGGATGCTGGTGGGTGGAGGGGCGGGCATCCCCTCCCCCTGCCTGCCTTGGTCCTCATTCTTATCACTTGTGTTCCCATTGCTCAGACAGCCTTGTTGCAGCTCCACCCTTGTGACCAACGCTCCTGGACCAGCCCCGGCGACATGCAGGTCCAGAGTCTGATACTGGCAATGGGCTTGGGGCCTGGCCCAGGCCCTGGAGGAACATGCACAGGAGACAGAAGCTGGGGCTGGGCAGAGGCTGTCAACCGCCCAGTCTCTCCACTTCTAATAAGGGAGCCCCGAGCAAAGACCAGGCCACAAAATACACTCCCGATATGGCTGACACAGGAAGCCTGATACTTTTAGCACCAAAACCGCTCCTCAAGACACATACTAATCGCACCAATATTAATGCTGATGATGAGACTCAGAATGGGAATACAAGCCAATAGGCTTGTGTAATAATAATAATAATAATAATAATAATAATAGTGATAATAATAGCTAACGTTCGTATAGCGCCTGCTGTGTGCCAGGCACTGTGCTAAATTCATTTGCTGCCCACAGAGCTCTTCATGAACTCTAAGGTATGGCAGAAATGTCGATTGTTCTCACCATAGCACTGTTCTGGGCACCATGGGCGAGATAAAGATCATCCTGCTTTCTCACCCTCCAGAAGCTAATGATGCTGCTGTAGCTCACTGAGCACGTGGTAGGTACTTCGGACATGCTTCATCCAGGGCTGATTTCAGCAATGGCCAGACGACTCATGGCAGCCATTCTACCACTGGAGAGCTCTGCCTCCCCCAGGCTCTCCAAAATCACCTGCTTCTCCCCCCAGCTGCAGAAGATCCCCCCAAGGCAGCCCTTCAGAAGACAGCCGGTGGCCATGGCACCCCTCCTGAACCTTCTTAAGGCTGAACGTCTCCATTTCCCTCCACTGATTGTCACCAGATCCGGTCTGGGGGCCTCCTCATCAGGCCTGCCTTCCAAATTGTCAGTGTCCCTCCAGAAGATGGAACGTCATGTTTCGATTGTGGTCATTAAATTAGCTTTGGGGGGCAGCACAGCCATATTAATATAATTCATTGAATAATAATGTTTATCTCAAATATCATTGCATTATTACTCATTCGGGTATGCTTACATTAATGACATGGTATGAATAACCATTGGTGATTCTCTCTAGTCATGGTCTGCATAGGTCAACTATCAACATTTGGCAGAGTAGGTCAGTCTGCCCATTTGGTGCTGACAAAATAGCTTCATTGTGTGGGGCAGTGGGAAGAACCCTACCTTTGGAGTCCCAGATCCCAGGTTCAAATGCCACCTCCTGCTGGTGTGGCTTAAGGCAAATCACTTGCCCTCTCTGGGCTTTAGTTTCTTCCTCTATAAATGGAGGGGGTAGACTCAAAAGCCTCTGAGGTCTCAGCCAGCTCTAGGACTGCGATCCTAAGTGTAAAGTTGGGTACACTCAGAAAGAAACATGGCAGCATGCCCCTCAAGTGTTTGCTGAGGCTTGGAGTTCTAATTGGGTGCCCACATTAAGTTTGGCACCAGTGTGCTGAGAGTGGAATCATCTAGTCAGAAAAACAGAAGAGGTTAAAGCTTCCGTAGTGATCAGTACCGGGATTGGTTTATGAGTGGCTGCGAGGGGCAGCTAGGTAGCACAGTGGATAGAGCACCAGCCCTGAAGTCAGGGGGACCTGAGTTCAAATCCGCCCTCAGGTCAAACATGTGACATTTACTAGCTGTGTGACCCTGGACAAGTCACTTGACCCCAGTTGTCTAAAAAAATTTTTTAAAAGTTATGAGTGGCTGCGGCATTTCCAGCATATGAGAGAGAGACAGAGAGGGGGAGGGAGGAGGGAGGGAGATGTAATTTGCACACACACTGTCTTTTAAGAAACTACTTTTATGATGGAAAATGAGCACCAGTTAGTACAGGTATTACTGGTTGCTCCTGGCTAATTAAGTGATTCTTCAACTTTCAGGGGGCCAGGTCATTAAACATACAGGAGGTTTAGGTAACAGTGTGAGAGCCCTGCTTGTGCCCTCCTTCCCACCATGGCTCACAGGACCACAGGTCCACAGCTGGGGTGGCTTTAGAGGCATTTTACAGGAGAGGAAAGATGTGACCACCAAGTCACTGAGGTAAAGGTGGTGAAGCCAGGATTCCTCCTAATTCCTCTGAATCCAGCATTCTTTCTCCTGCATTATACTTCTCCGCCCTCCTCCAGGGCAGAGTAGAGCCTGAAGGTTCCAGGGCCCTTCTGGAGGCTCATTCCTCCCCACCCTACCTCTCCCCACAAATGCATAATGCCCAAGCAGACACTAAAAGGAGGGGGCTCTTAAGGTTGCAAACTGAGACCTCGCAGGGGCCACAGAAACGCACCGGTCCACCCTCTGATTTTATAGTTGAGGAAACTGAGGCCCAGAAAAGGGAAGTGACTAGCCTGAGCTTACACAGGTGAGCACCAGAAATAGGATTTGAACTCTGGACCTCTGACTCCAAGTTATTGGGCTTCCCTCCCTGCCCCCACAATGACCAGCACTTGTATGTAAGACTGCTGCTGCTGCTGCTGGCATTGCTGAAAATCACTGCTGTAAATACTAAAAACACTACAAAAAATCAGGGGGCCCTGCCATGGCACCTTGGGGCCAAGATTGGAGGCAGGGCATACAGCTACTCACCCTGGTTGGCACGGACACCCTGAGCAGCCAGGGGACCCTGCCTTGGCATGGATTGCAGGCCAGTGCCATGTTAGAATTGGTTGTGTCCATATACGCTATCCTAGAAACACAACAAATATTTTGAGAATGTCATGCGGGCCCCCAAGAGGCTGGCGAGTCAGCCTTAAGCTCAGGAAGATGGGGTTCTAGGCCTTCCTCTGACACATCAATAGATGAATGCATGAAAAATCACCTTGGCTGTGTGACTCTGGTCAAGTCACCTAACTTAGTGCTCCAAGAGTGCCAAGGGGCTGACTGTGTCAGGAAGCAGGAAGTTTCCACACTGGGAATTCTCCACACCCTAATGAAATCACCAGTCTGGGCCAGGAGAATAGATCATGAGGAGAACAGAACATGGTATTAGACACAGCCCCCCTGGCCCCTGGGAGCCTTCCAAACATGGCCTTGGTTCCAGGTTGGCTCATCCTGGAAGGGGCCCGGCCAGCCCAGCTCTGAAAGGTGACCAGCCTGAGTTCCTCCTGGGTTTGGACTGGGTCAGAGTCCTCTGATCACCAGCCTGTTTCCTCTTGGTCATGGGGATTTTCTGATACTACAAGTATGAGTGACACAGTGATTGATGGAGGGGTGGGGGGGAAGAGGGAGGGTTGAGTCAACAACACCCTGTCTGGCTAATCCTTCTGGGATGAATGGGGATGATGCGGGGCAGGGGGATCTTCCTTTCTCTCTTTGGGGCCAGATCGTAGCTCACAAAGGCTGCTTGTATGTGCCCTGCTAATGCCCTTTTCAGCACCTGTGGCTGGGTGGGTCTCACACACACACTGACATTGGAATAGGCCCGCTGACCTGCTCCTGCTTCTGGGTGTTGGAAGGGAATTGTGAGTAGCTGGGACACCTGGATTTTCTTTCCTGGCTCCAGGTTTCTTCTGGCTCCTGGGAGGGAAAGGGGGTGGTGAGGTGGAGCTCTCCCTAAGGCAATTCGGCTAGAGGAAGCTACCCCCTCCCCACCCCCAGCAGCCTTGTCCCTCCCAAACATCCTCCCCTACTGCCTAGGTGTACCAGGGCCCCTTTCTTCCCTTGGATCCACCCCCCAGGGGTGGGCGGGTGGGCGTGCCCCTTTCCCCCAACCGGCCTGACCAGTGAGACCTGGGGGTTTAGCTGTCTGAGGAGCCCATCACCCCAGACCTGGGGTTCTTCCAGTGCTGGGATGGGCTCGAGGGTGGCTAGAAGCCTAGCCAGAGGAGAGCCCAGCTGGTACCATCAGCTGCCCCCTGAGGCCAGCAGAATCCCTGCCATAAAGAGGCCTGGGGCAGTCTGGGCCTGGGCACTGACTTCTGCCAGTGGGGTAAGTAAGAGTGGACAGGAAGGGCCGGCTGGGTTAGCCTGGACCCCCCAGTCAGCCATCTGCCGCATCCCAGCACCTCTGGGCTTTCCTAGCTGGCTCCCTCTCCTCCTGCCCAAGCATCTACCTTCCTCTACCAGGAGGGAAAAGAGGTACAGAAAGGCTCTGAATAGTTCTAGGAGGGAGGAGCCTGAGGTGGGAGAGGGTGTCCAGGAGGGCTCAGGGAAGGGTATTGGGAAGGGGAGGCTTGAGATGGGAGAGGGAGCTGGGGAAGGATGCTGGGAGGGAGGAGCCTGAGGTGGGAGAAGGGGCCCAGGAAGGCTCAGGAAAGGATGCTGGAAGGAGGAGTGTCCAGGAGTGCTCAGGGAAGGGTGTTGGGAAGGGGAGGCTTAAGATGAGAGGGGGGACTTGGGGAAGGATGCTAGGAGCAGGGAGCCTGACATGAGAGAAGGGGCCCAGGAGGGCTCAGGAAAAGAATGTGAGGAAGGAGGAGCTCGAGATGGAGGGAGGAGCTTGGGAAGGATGTTGGGAAGAGGGACTTTGAAGTGTGGGAATGTAGCAGAGACTGGCGAGAAAAGGAGAGGTAGCCTAGGGAAGGACTTAAGAATAGTGGGGGATGTTAGTGGGTGCTAGGAAGGGTTCAAATTCAAGGGCAAATAGTGGCTGGTGGGGAGTCAGAGCAGGACTGGGTGAAGATAGGGTGGCAGGGGAATAACCTGGCAATCATACTGTCCTTCCTTCTCTCCTGTGCCTAGATCAAAGAACCTGCTAAATCCCACTTGGCAACATCCCCTGGCTCCCTTCTCCCTCAGGATGATTGCTGGTCCCAGCCTTAACTGTTACTGCCTCCTCTTTCTCTTCTTTTTGGGGGATGCAGGGGTTGAGGGCTCTCAGAAGGCTGCCCCAGAACAAATACATTTGTCCTACCCAGGTGAGTGCCCAGGAACCCGCACAAGGACCCAGACTCCCTTCTGGTCTGAGCCTGCCCGCCTGGAAGCCAGAGCCCCCATGTCGTGGGCCCAGTCAATTTCCCTTCTCCCTCATTCTCCCTGTAGGTGAAGCTGGTTGCATGACGGTGACCTGGACCACTTGGGTACCAGCTGCCTCTGAGGTCCAGTTTGGGCTGCAGTTAGGGGGGGTTCTACCCCTGCGGGCCCAAGGCACCTCCAGTCCCTTCGTGGATGGTGGCTTCCTGAGGCGGAAGCTGTACATGCACCGAGTTACCCTCCGAGGATTGCTGCCTGGTGTCCACTATGGTGAGGGAGGTTCAGGGGCTAGGGGTGGGGTCAGGGGGCAAGTAAAGACTCTTAAAAGAGCTCAGAACAGATTTACTGCAGGGGATATCTAGGGATGAGGAAGCAAGAGAGGAGAACCAGCCCTTAGAGAAAATGGGGACAAACTGACCCACCCAGCCTCCCCTCTCCCACCTGAATCAATTCGGCTGTAATTAGCATTGTGTAATGACCTTGGGGTGCTAGGTCCCCACCCTTGGTCAAGCTGGGGAGGACTGTGGGGCAAGAGGGGTCAGGGCTTCCGGGCCCAATCCCCTCTCTTCTTCCCTTCTCTGGCCCTCAGTGTACCGCTGTGGCAGTGCCCAAGGCTGGAGCCGGAGGTTTCGCTTCCGGGCTCTCCAGTCTGGGCCCAACTGGAGCCCCCGCCTGGCTGTCTTTGGGGACATGGGGGCTGACAACCCACAGGCTCTGCCCCGACTCCGAAGGGAGACCCAGCAGGGGATGTATGACGTGGTGCTACACGTGGGTGAGGTGTGGGTGAAACTGGACTGGGCTGGGATGCTGAGGGAGGAGGGGAGGGGCAGGCAGGATTGAGACCTGATCACTTCCCCCTCCCCATCCCAGGAGACTTTGCTTATAACATGGACCAGGACAACGCAAGGGTGGGCGACACATTTATGAGGCTGATCGAGCCGGTGGCTGCCTCCGTCCCCTACATGACATGCCCTGGGAACCATGAGGAGCGCTAGTGAGGAGAGGGCCCTACTGGGGGGTGTCTGTGTGTGAATGGGCCCTGCCTCATCCCACCATGGCCCCTGGCGTTGTGGGGCTCCAGTCTCAGCTTCCTCCCTCCTGAGGAAATGCCCGGCAGGGTGGGTTCCCGTATGGGGACAAAGCAGCATCTCAGGCCGGCTGGCAGGCTGAGGAGGGGTCACCGCTGGCTCTCACCGCCCAGCTGACACAGACCTCCTTCCCTCTCTCCCAACCTAGCAACTTCTCCAATTACAGAGCGCGTTTCAGCATGCCTGGGGACACGGAAGGGCTGTGGTACAGGTGAGCCCCTGCCAGGCCTCTGTGAGCCCGGCTACACCGGAGGGGTAAGGGACAGGGCTGGGCTTGATCGTTGATGCCCTCTGCCTCCTCCCTTTCCCCTTCCCTCTCCCTACAGCTGGGACCTGGGGCCTGCCCACATCATCTCCTTCTCCACTGAAGTCTATTTCTACCTCCACTATGGGCGCCACCTGATTCAGAAACAATTCCGCTGGCTAGAGAGGGATCTGCAGGTGAGCCGGGAAGGGCATGCTGAGCCTTAGGAACCTGGCAGCACACCCCTTATTGGTGTTCTTTGGGCCAGGGCATCTCTCACCATCCTTCCCCACTGACTCCCTCCTTGCAACATTGTCAGGAGCCCGTAAGGCCCTTGAGGGCAGGGGCTTGTTTGTGTATTTGTATCCCTGGTGGTTGGCATGTACTAGTTGGAGGAATCCCTGCTAGGCTCTGTCTCAGGAAAGCCACCCCCACCCCTGACCTCACAGCTGCCCTTCCTTTCTCCCAACCAGAAAGCCAACAACAACCGGGCATTGAGACCATGGATTATAACGATGGGGCATCGTCCCATGTACTGCTCCAATGCCGACCTGGATGACTGCACACAGCACGAGAGCAAAGTAGGGGTGCGGGCCAGACTCAAGCTGACTGAGAGGAGCTGGGGCAGGAGGGACACCCTGGGTGATCTACAAAGGTTCGGCTCTAAACCCCACTGAGCCCCACTTTTCTCTGTTCTCCCAGATCAGAAAAGGCCTTTCCGGCAGTCGCTATGGCCTGGAGGATCTCTTCTACAAATATGGTAGCCATCCCCCCATCATCCTTCCCTTCTTCAATCAGCATGCAATCATAAAACACCTACTATGTGCTAGGCAGCATAATCAGGATATACCAAAATAGATAACAGGGCTGTGGGAGAGCACACTAGCTGGGGGGAGGGGGGGTCCCTCTTCCTGTGATAGGTGACACCCCAGCTGCCCTCTCTGGGCTTGGAGACGGGCCTGTTGACCCTTCTTCCCTCCACAGGAGTTGATCTGCAGCTGTGGGCCCATGAGCACTCCTATGAGCGCCTTTGGCCTATCTATGACTACCAGGTAAGGGGGTGGTCTGGGCCAGTCTTTCTGTCCTCAGCTTTCCCTGAGACCCCTTGCTCTGCTGTCCCTGATAAGCACATCTTCCAACTGGGTGATCCTTTCCTGAGCCTAACCCCGAGCTTCCTGCTACAGTCAGCCGGCAAACAATTTCCTCCAAAGCCCTTCCGTTCAAGATCTGATGCTGGTCCCCCCCTCCCCAGGCTTGTTCTTCTGAGGGGTAAGGTGGGGTAAGCCCAGGGGTGTGCTAGTGAGAGTCAATGGTTAAATTTTCAGTGTGACTATTTGTACCTCAGAAATTGGCAATTGCTAAAAATCAAGGCTCGATTTATTGTTTTACTGATTGTCTAAACTTAAGAAAGTGATGTAGAAAATGCTAATAATAATGCAGATTAAAGTTTAAAATGTTTTTGGAGAGCTGATTGTTAAACATTCACCAGCACATCACTGGCGGAGCCCACTACTGGGGGGTTTGGAGAGCTGATTGTTAAACACTGACCAGAATGGCACTGGGTAAGCCCATTGCTGGCAGTTTGTGCAGTCACCTGGGTTCAACATAGCTTGCTCTTGGGGTGGCCTTGTCTGTCTCTTCACCTGACCTTCCTCCCCTTTTGGCCCTTCCTCCCAGGTCTATAATGGAAGCCGAGAAAGTCCCTATACCAACCCGCGTGGACCCATCCATATCATCACTGGATCTGCTGTGAGCAGAGCCTGCAAAAAGGGCTGCCAGGGTGGCTGGGGAGGGGAGCTGCTGTCCATGGTGCCCAGGGAGGAAGGGGCTGCCCCAAGCCGGACTGAACTTCCCTCTCTTCTTTGGGCAGGGCTGTGAGGAACTGCTGACCCCTTTTGCCCCTTTTCCGAGGCCTTGGAGTGCCATCAGAGTGAAAGAATATGGCTTCACCCGGCTCCACATTCTTAATAGTACCCACCTTCACGTGCAGCAGGTGTCCGACGACCAGGTCAGCAGCGGGGAGGGTGGGCTGCACCTGGGCTGTGGCTGAGGCCCCCTCCCCCGGGAGCTGGCAAGTCTGAGGGCCAGCAGCCCCAAAAGCTTGGGGCAGGCTCCTGAGCTAAGCAGCAGTGGGGGTGGGGGGAGTGAAATCGGGGCTTCTCCAATGATGGGTTGTTTCTCTGTTTCAGGATGGGAAGATTGTGGATGATGTCTGGCTGGTCAGACCCAGGCAAGGCCGTAGGACCTACCTCTAGGAGCCCCAAAGCCCAAAGTGCAGTCCCAGGCTCGAGGGGTGGGCAAGGCCTGACCTCCAGGGAGGAGGCCAGAATGCTCTTCTGCATCTAGGGACCTGGGGTCCTAGGCTCCTGGGCACAGGAGGCCAGCCCTGGGGTGAGTAGGCAAGGGAGCTAAGATGTTTACAGAGAGGGATGGAGAGTCCACATGGAGCCAATGTTGAGCTGGGGGCTTCTCTGCCCACCGTTCCCCCAAACACTGTTTTCTGCCACATGGTCATGGATTTCAGGATCTCCAAAGGATCAGGCAGCTGGGACCTCCGCTTGTCCTGGGACTCTGGGCACAGCCCTCACCTGCCGGGGGATGTTTCGTGGTTCTTATTGCCCCAGGATGAACCTCACATTCAGGGACCTCCAGTTTCCAGCCTCCCTCAACCATTCGATTTTGCTCACCTGATTCAAGCCTCACCTCCCCAGGCTCCTCTCCATTCCAGCCTCCATTCTTCTACCTCTATGATGCACCATTATGGACGCTGGGAATGCCCTCCCCACCAGCTGCCACTGTGGAAGCTGTAGTCGCTCTTTATGGTTCAGCTCAGATGATGCCTGCCTCCTCTGCCAGGGGGCCCTCCTTGACCCTCTCCCCTCCCCCACCAGAAGCATCATCTTCCTCCTCTGAACCCTGACAACATTGCGTACCCTTCATTTTTTGTGGGGAGAAGGGAGGCTTTTATTTCCTTTGTACTGGTTATCTCTGGTGAGGAAACTACCCCAAATCAACCAGATCATCAGCTGATGCTTGAATACTTCCCGGGAGGCTGGCGGACTTGCCAGGCGGCTCAGACAGATGACCAGCCCACAGTCACAGAGCCAGGACTCATCTAAGGGGAGACTCGAACCTGAGACTTTCTGACTTTGAACCTACTCTCAACCAAGGAGAGAGCTGGCTTCTGACCAATACAACAGCTGGCTTTTACGTCATCCATCCTGGGTGGGAGCCCCCTGAGGGCAGGGCCTGTCAGTAAGGGTCTCTTTGCCCCAGCATAGGGCGCTGCACTGAGCAGGTGACCAGAAGGCACACCGGCAGGAAGCTGGTGAGTGCCCCGTTATTCTCTAGCTGGAAGGGAGCTCTCCACCCTTCCTTCACCCTCAGCTGAGGCTGTGACAGCAGACCAAGTTCAGCCATGATGCTCCCAGAGGGAGGTCATTAAAGCTCTCAAGCTACCTCTCCGCAATGATCACACTCCAGGAGGGCTTCTGGCCCCAGAGCCCCTCCTTCTCAGACCTACCAGATATCTGAGGCACCCCCATGCTATCAGTCAGTGCTGTTGGTGAAGGCTTAGCACAGCAGAACCGTGGAAGAGTCCCTGGCTAGGGGCTAACCGATGACCCTTCTGTGTCACCTTCATCCTTCCCCTGGGCCTCAGTTTCCCCACCTGTATAATGAGAGGGAATCAAGTAATATTTCTGCAGTTTCTTCTAGCTGCAAAGCTCCCTCTCCTCCAGAAAGGCCTCTTGGCCCTAGTGTCCTTTTTCTCATCCTCGTCTCCCAGCCTCCTCGAACGACTTCCCCTCAATTTCTCCATCTGTGCAGTGAGGCCTGTGTGCTGGATACTCTTTGAGATTCCTTCTGGCTCTGATTAGGACCAAAGACCTGCAGCTGGTAGGAAACAGCTCTTCAGAGGTCCTCTAGTCCAGGCCCCTCATTTTACAGTTGAGGAAACTGAGGCTCAGGTGATATAGGCAGTAGGTGGGATTCGAACCTAGGGCCTCCCATTCTAGAGCCAGTGACCTTTTTATTATGCTGAGCTGCTTCCCTCCCCCGAGTCTCCTTCCCCGAGCCTCAGTTTCCCCACATCTATAAACAGGAATAATCCATCCTTGCCCTGCTTCCCAGAGCTTCTGGGAGGAAACTGATTCTTTCAATCATGAATCACACTCAGGAATGCGTGCTGTCGTGACCAGTGTCATTCAAGGAGCTTATGTGTTTGTTCAGAGCCTGACACATGGGAAGGGCTTAATGTTTGCTGAATTAATGAACAAATGAGCGGCCCAAAGGAGAGGCCCAGAAGAGGGGCCTGTGGGCATGTATGGGGAGGTGCCTCTCTTTCCAAGTTCACTCAATCAGCAGGTAATCAATCATTGCCATGTGCCAGCCATTAGGAAGGCTTCCCAGAGGAAGCATGTGAGCTATGTGTTAAGTATCATTTGATCATGCATCTTAACTGGTAAAGGCCTTCCGAACTCGAGTCGACCTTTTATGTGATATTTATTTATTTATAAATGATATAGCTTCTCTTAGGCTAGGGTCTCCCTCTACGTATGGGTTGGAATAAATGGCCACCGACGGCCCTTCCAACTCTGAAATTCTGTGAACCATAATATATTATGTACATTATGAAATCTGTGCCAAAAAAAAGTTTTAAAAGGATTGAAAAAGATGAAATAAACACTATTTGCAAAGCATGTTTATTGTTTTTATGAAATGCATCAACTAACCCCAACCTTTCTGACCTGCTTGAAAACAATGATGAAATATGCTTCACTGTTTTTGAAAATCTTTTTTTTTTAAGTGAGGCAATTGGACTTAAGTGACTTGCCCAGGGTCACAAAGCTATGAAGTATTATGTGTCCGAGGCTGGATTTGAACTCAGGTCCTCCTGACTTCAGGGCAGGTGCTGTCTTCACTGTGCCACCTAGCTGCCCCTGTTTTTGAAAGTCTTGCTTTGATGTTCTGTTATGGAATGGTTTGAAGGTCTGGGCTGATGTTCTGCTTATTTCAATACTGAGTTCAAGGTTTCAAAAACAGCTTCCACAGCAGAAATGAGAAGAATTTAAGATCGTAATCAACTGAACCCACAAAACACCATTTTTAAAGGCAAGAGAGTGGTTGTCAGGAGAAAAGGTATTTATGTACTCAACATCAAATTCGTTGCTCTCAGTAGTTTTCCTCCCTATCCTGGGGAAAAAATGTGTATACAAAAAATGCCCCAGGTCTTTGGAAGTGTGGGTGCAGGTGGTGCCCCTCCAGCTGTCAATACTCAGCCCCCAGCCTCTAAGTCCCCTCATCAGCCCAACCAAACTAAGGATGCATTGATTTCTGCATTTCCTTATCATCCCACAGCGTACATGGAAGAGTGTAAGCTTCTTGAAGACAGCCATCTTTGTACCTACTTTCTAGATATGCTTCATACATGCTCGATGAACTGAGATGAAGCCTCTCTCTTTCCTAATGCCTGCGATCATTAATATAGTACTTAACGGTTTGAATATTATATATGCTATATATCTCTATATATGCTTTATCTGTGTTGCCACATGTGATCCTCACAACCACTCTGAAAGGTAGGGGCTGTTATTATCTCCATTTAATAGTTGAGGAAACTGAGGCAAACAGGTGAAGTGACTTCTCGAGGGTCAGGCAGCTAGTGTCGGAGGGGATTTGAACTCAAGCCTTCCTGACTCCAGGCCCAGCTAGAGGCTATACACTGCTCTATCCAGTGGCCATCTATTAGAACTTCTATTTCTTTCTTGCCTTTTTTTTTGAATGGAGAAAAGAAAGATATTTAATATTTGGATTAACACCAGCATGCTCTATGGGGCCATGTCAGATGGTCCCATGTCGTGGTTGTGACATGATTGTGGACCCAAGGCAGGGACTGGGGGGGTGACTAATTGGGTCACAGGTCTCTGAGAGAAGGGAACATGAGATCATTGTGTGGAGCCCCTTTATTTTACAGATGTGGAAACTGAGGCTCAGAGCAGTCCAGTGACTCACCCAAAGTCACCCAGTAAGACAGAGCCAGGTGGGCAGAAGCAGTATCCTCTTCCTGATTATTAAGGGGCTGACTTCACTAAACCCAAGGGGCAGCAGGCAGGGTGCCCTGGTGGGTAGTAACCACATGAGGGATGCCAGCACAGTCCCTATGTCACCCTGAAGTCTTCACAACTGGACATGGGACCATATGGCATATGACCCCAGTGCCAGGGTCCATCCTGATATTAAGTTAATTAGTAAAGCTTAATTTCTTTCTTTTTTAAAAAAAAATTAATAAATGGATGGCCACTAGGTGGTGCCACATTGCACAGACCTCTGAGCCTGGGGTCGGGAAGAATGGAGTTCAAATCCACCCCGGGCACTTCGTAGGTGGAGTCACTTGACCGCTGCGTGCCTCAGCTGTAAGAGCAGGGGGTTGGACTGTTCAGTCCCTTCTTCTCTAGATCTAGGAGCCCTCCTTGGATCTTTAGAATGCCTGCTTTCCTCCAAAGCCCACAAGGCTGGGGGGGGGGGCTCGCACCCTACTGCCCCTCCCCCAAGTGACCTTGAATTGATTTCGTTTTCTATCTCCTCATTATACCCTAACCTCACGCCTGTCCAGAGGCCAGCTCCCAGGGGGGAGGGGTGTTCGGGCTTTTAACCCCCTCCCTCATCTGACAGAGGAGGACACTGAGGCTCAGAGAGGAGCTCACGGGCGGGAGTCCACGCGGGGCCTGGGGCTGGTCGGGGGCCAACCCCCTGCTGGGCACTTCCCGGCCTTAAAGGGGAGAGAGAAGGAAGGGGAGGGAGAAAGGGAAGGAGGAGGGAGAAGGGCAAGGGAACGGAAGGAAGAAGGTCCAGAAACGAGAGGAGAGGAAGGCAAGGAGGAATGGGGAAGGAGGGGCGGAGAGGAGGCGGGGCTGGGGCCCCTTGAAAAGCCACGTGCTCTGCCCCGGCCTCCCAGGCCCTTCCCCCGCCTCCTTCCGCTCAGGCAGTTCTCCGTCTCAGCCGTAGGGGGCGCTCCGAGACCGGAGTGTGCATGATGGGAACGCTGGTGGGAAAAGAAGCACGTCCTTCCTCCAGTCTGAAGCTTCCAGCCCCGGCCCCTGCCCCGCGAGTGTGTCTGAAAAACTGGCCCTTCTCCTTTAACGCCGCTAGCATCAGTACCGGCTCCCCGCAACGAAGCGTGTCTGGGAAGTCCGTTGGTTGGCTGAGGAGGAGGAGGACCCCCACGGCCATTAATCCCCTAAATTGGCCAATCCCTGATCGGCATCTCCCTCTGGCGCCCGCCTATTGGGCGGTTCATGTGGCGGGGGGGCTGGAGGCCAATCGGAGGCCCCTTGGGTGGGTGTGCCTTCAGGCCCGGCACGCCCCACGCCCGGAACAGCCGCGGTTGCCATGGACACGGGTGGGCGGCAGGGGGGGAAAAGCCCCGGATGTTGGTGCGGGATTCAACATGGCGGCGGAGGCGGCCGTGGTGGCGGCTCTGACCAGGGCGAGCTGAGGTGTTGCGAGGAGGGGACTGAGCCCCGGGAGGAGCGGCGACCTAGCCGGGGAACAAGGTTAGAGAATCGGGGGGGCGGGGGCGGGGACGGGCGGCCGAGGTGGGGGCGTGGCTCCGGGGGTGGGGGGTGGGGAAGGCAAAGGTCGACACCTGGGTGAAGGGGGCGGGGCCGAGGTACTGGGGAGAGGGGACCCCAGTGTAGCGGTCAAAGGTCAGAACCTGAGAGGGCGGGTCTTAGGATAGTCAGTGGTCACTTTTAAGGGGCTCGGGGCCATTACCTGGTGTGGTGATCGTGGGAATCCGGGAGCAGCCAGGGTCAGGTTCGAGGGGTCAGGGGTAAGGGGTCAGAGAACAGGGAGGGGAGTCAGGCCCCTTCCCCCCTCCACTCCTGGCTTGACCAGAGTGCGGGGAGAGGGGCCTGGCCTCTCTTAACGCCTCCACCGTGGGAAGGGGGGAGGGGTATGTGAGACACACCCCTTGCCCGCAAATGTTGCCCTACTTGATCCGCTCACGTGACCTCTGTGCATCTGCACATGCATGTGGGTGTCTGCACGCACATGTGTGTTTGGACATGTGGGTGTGTGGTGGCGTGTTCGTGGTGTGTGCTGTGCAGCATGCACGTGTGCACGCATGGGTGTGGATGGACGGCCCTCCAGAGAGGCAGCGGCCGGGGGTGTCGGGGACAGACCTTGGTCCTGACCCGGGCTGCCCTGCCAGGGTGACCAGGCTGTGCCTTAACTTCCCGGGGCTCTAAGCAGTCCCAAGAAGGCTTTGATCTGTATGGGGAGAGGGAATTTCCTGGTGCTCAAGAAATCCCAGGTCCAGCCCAATCCCTACTGCTACGGATTTCTGTATTTCTGGGTGTAGCAAGGAATGTAAACTCTTTGTGGGCAGGGAATGGCCTTATGTGTATTTGCACGCCCAGTGCTGAGCACCTTTGTTGAGGTGCTTAATCAGTCTGCTTTGATTTGATCAGTTGGATTGATTAGAGGAGGAAGGAGAGGCGGAGCTGGGCAGGTTCAGTGGGGGCTGGGGGTGGGGACTTGCCAGCTCCTGTAGTGAGCTGGTCGTCTGGCAGCCTGGCGTCTGGGCTGGGCCCTTCACGCTTTGGGCTCTCTGACCCCTTTCTGGAGGGGAAGGAGATTAGCTCTCTTGGAGAGGAAGAGGAATTCCAGGGTACTGGAATGGGTGGGTGTGGCCTGGGGAAGGAGGGTTCAGGGCTGGGCTGGGGTGTTGCTCGGGCAGCAGGGGAGTTTGGCCTTTCTGGGAGGGTGCCTGAGTGTGACCAGGGCTGGGCCGGGGTGGGGAGTATCTGGTGGAGGAGGAGGAAGTGTTGGCCTCCACGAGACCCTGGCTGGTTACTGCCAAGAGCCAGCTGGGAGTGGGGGAGGAAGAGAGGGTTCTGCTGGGCTGAGCCCTGGGGACAGGCAGGTGTAGCTCCAGTCTGGGACCCAGGCTCAAGCTTGCTTTGTAGAAAAGCAGGCGTGTGTACCTCTGGCACTGGGAGGGGGCCGTGGAGGAGAGGGAGAGGGTAGCCTGTGTTCATCATCTCTGGACCCTGGCTAGAGCCTCCCCAGGTACTGTATAGAAATCAGCATCCCTGGGAGCAGCAAGCATGCATTTCTGTGGGACGTTTGTCCCAGGGGTGTGGGTGGGCAAGGTTGGGAAGGGAATCAGCCTAGTCTGTGTCTCTCTGGAGAACTTTATGTCCTGCTAGGGGGTTATGTGTAGTGGAGGGAGGGATTCCTGGCAGTGAGCTATCTGGAGAATTGGGGCTCTATTTGAAGGCCCCTGACTCTGAGGGGGGCCCCTGGGGACTTCTGGAGAGAGCAGCCTGGCTCTCTGGATGCTTTGACACCTCCTCCCAGCATCCCATGGGCTTCAGAGAGAGGATGAGCAGTTCTATTGAAAGGCCCAAAATGACTGCCACTGAGAAGCAGTTAGTGGAGCTGGCTTAGGGTGATTCCTGGGGCCCTCCCCAGCTGCTGCTGCCGCTGGGGGGGCCTGGAGCAGGAAGACCTGCCTGCCCTCTGGGAAGGGGAGGGGGGCTTGAGGCTTGCTGGTAGCATGATGGTTTCTGGTTTTGTTTATTTGGGTTTTTTTTTTTTTGCTAGGCAGTAGGATTAAGTGACTTGCCCAAGGTCACATAGCTAGTAAATGTCAGGTGTCTGAGGCTGGATTTAAACTCAGATCCTCCTGACCCCGGGGCTCTATCCACTGTGCCACCTAGCTGCCCCCGACATGATAGTTTCTTACAGAGGACCTAGGGTCTCAGGCTCCAGGGATCCCACTGAAATGTAGAGAGAAATCTAGATTTCTCATCCTAAACCCTGGAAAATCGCCCTCAGAGGTCCATCTGCAGTTTATCCTTTCCTCTGCTTTGTGACTCAGCCCTGCTCAATACCATGTTAGGGTCTTGGCCCGAGTTAGGTTTAGCTGGCTGTACTGGACACAGAGGACAGAAATGGGGAAGGCCTGGGGTCCCCTCCTAGCCTGGAAGAGCTGGCTTTCTTTGGCTCACTTTCAGATGGGGGCCTAGGCCCAGCAGTGATCAAAAAGGGGCCCCTCCAACTTGAAGAGGTGGCCAGGGGGAACAGAGATCTTTACAAGACCTAGGAGCTTCAGGAGCTGCTTCCAGTCTGCCTGGGGAATGGGGATTTTAGATGGGGACAGAGAAGAGGCTGCCTTCAGGGGCTGCCTAGCTACTGCTCTTCCCTTGCATTTTACAGATGAAACGCCAGCACCCAGAAGTCAAGGAACTTGCTTAATGGGAGTGATAAGAGGTAGGATTTGAACCCAGAGCTGTGGAGTCAAGACTCTTTCCACTAGACAGCAATATGAAATAGGTAGAGGGAAGGCTGGAGCAGCGGGGGCAGGCTTGGCCCCCTGCCAGTTCTCCTTACTAACTCTTTTATCTGTCCAGTGCTTAAAGGGGCTGACATCATGCAGGAAGACTTTGAGGTGGAGGTTTACAAGATGAATGCATGATGCTCCCAAGTGGGGAGAGGAGGCCTTGACCAAGTCCTTCCCTGGCTCGTCTCTCAGGGATCCCATCTGTGCCTTAGTCTGGGGCTCTGGGGCAGCCTGGCCCCTGGGAACTGCTGTGTCCCCTGGGGTCACCCAGCATGTACCCTAGAACCCCCCAACTGCTACAGTGCCCCTCTCAGGCCCCCACTGTTGTTGTTCTAAGTCAGGTCCAATTCTTTGTGCCCTGTGGACCGTGGGGTTTTCTTGGCAGAGATACTGGAGTGGTTTGCAATTTCCTTCTCCAGTTTTATGCAGGGGTTAAGTGACTTGCCCAGGGTCACACAGCCAGTAAGTGTCTCAGGTCAGATTTGAACAGTACAACTGTACTTTCCATACCATATAGTGAACCCAGTGCACCCGGCCACCCAACTTGCAGGTCTTTTTGACTGCAGGCCAGGTGCTCTATCCACTGGGTCGCATAGCCAGGCACCTATGGTCACACCCATTTTGCTGGCGCTGTCCTGTATTTCCCTCTCCATTTCCACTGCTGCTTCCCATCCCCCACCTAGGGGTGTCCCCGGCCAGCCGGTATTCCCATTACCCCAGCTGTGGTGTGTGGTCATTACGGAGCTGGCCAGCAGGAAGCTGTCTCCTGTATATGTTGGTGGGGGGGGGAGGAAATGGGACCTTTTCCCACTTCCCATTCGAGGCTAGTCCCAGGCTGGACTCATTGACTGTCCCTGTCCTTTGACCGCCCCAGCTGGTTTCTGAATTAGAGGAATCACGGCTGCCCTTCCAAAATCTCAGAGAGGAGTCAGACAGAGCCAGCTCTCCAGGGGGAGGCAGCTCTTTGCCTCGGGCTCTGCTGCCCAGCTGGCTGGAGGAGGCCTTGGGCTCTGAGGGGCAGAGGGCCTGTCAGGCCTCCAGTTTGGACACCAGCTAGCTCCTCTTTCCCCTGGAGCCCCCTCAACACAGATAGGTTGTTCATCATTAGATATTCTGACCACCTAGTCTTTGCCTTGAGTTGTACTTTCTATGCCATAGTGAATCCCGGTGCCCCCTGCCCCCCCCAACATACCCATGTAAAAGAGCAGGTACCCGAGAGCCCTTGGCCTCTCCAGTGAGTGGCGCCTGGCGATGGGGCCCTTGCAGGCTGGGTCGGAAGGCCCGGCCCAGCTGCCTTCTCAGGTGACACTTGCAGTAGCTTTGGCCTCCTGGTCCATGTCCCCTTCTCCCCGATGTGGGAAGCTGCCGGCTGGGTCTGCTCCCACCTGGGCCCTTCTGCCCCAGAGCAAGTTCACTGACAGGGAGTGGGGAATAGAGCTGAGTCTGCCCCCCAATCTGAGACCCCTCCTTGGGAGAGGCCAGCAAGGCTTCACACCTCAGTTTCTTCATCTGTAAAATGAGATCATTCTGTTCACATTATTTCCCAGAGTTGTTTATTGTAAGGAATGCTAGGAGAGCGTTCTCCTGAGCGCCCTAGAAACAGTTTTTTGTGCCCTACCCCCCCCATCTCCTCACCTCTGGGGTACCTTTCTCCTCCCTCCCCCTCCCCCCCACCAGTTCTCCTAGCTAGTCTCTTGCCCTGCAGCTGATCCCCAATGGCCCTCCTCTGAGATCCCCTCCTTCTGGGAGCACTTCCTTGTTGGCCAGCTGTGATTTCAGGCTGGGCTTTGCTGAGGTTGCCAGGTGATAACTCTGGACTTGCGCCAATGTAGGCCCCAAGCCTACAGCTCCTAGGAGCCCACAGTACCAGTCATGTCCCTGCCCCGGAGACCACTGAGGCTTGTCAGGTGGGAGCAGGGCCCAGCAGCGGCAGCTTGCTCAGACTAGCCCTGGGGCTGTTCTTAATAGGGGGGAAAGTGTGAGGTGGGGCTGGGGAGTATGAAGGTTGAAGAGGAGAGTGGGGACCAAATCATGGTGGTGAAGGGGGTTGAATTTGACTGGAACAGTGAGGAGTTATGGGAGGTTGGTGTGCCAAGACGGGGTGGTAGGAATTGCGGGCTTCCCCCTCAGGTGTATGTGTGTCTCTGTATCTCTGTGACTCTGTGTGTTTGAGTGCGTGCGCACATGTGTGCATGAGCATACATG